GCCACCGTGATAGAAGGGCTGGGCTCACTCTTTATTCATAAAAAAGGGGGGATAGCACCACAAGGTTGGCGGAATGGATGGATGGTTGCATTGTTGGCGTTCCGGGCAATGTGGAAAAGGTTTAATGAAATATACTTGTTACCGTTACCTGGTCGTTCGTTCCATTAGATTTAGAGCGATCAATAGAGTGAAGAATGTATGAGGAAACAACACGAATACGTGAGACAGCTAGGCCTATACTCACCGTGCCTATACCAGAAAGGGGGGATGTTTGTCCATCACCGCTACTCAACAGTGAAGGTACCTCCGCAACAATCTTATCTCTGGAGTAGGGTTGAGGGGCTCGGGATTTGTTAGTGGGTACAAGTGAGGGGCAGGTAGGCCGGTTGGGAAAAAAAAAGTTGCCCCGCTAGCAGAAGGACCTCCAGTAAGGGCCTGTGACAGGGTCCACGTGTAAATTGTACTTGGGGAGAGCTCTGCTGCAGGTACTGTCTGGTGCGTTGGGCGGTGAGAGATACCTAAGGGAGAGTTGAGCAAGGTACCTGTTCCGGCAGGTTACGCGCCCCGTATCTTCGCCTAAGGCTCCGTCCCTGACAAACGAAAATCTTGCCTAGGGGATTGTCGTGGCGGTTGAGGAGGAATTGAGTTGGGATGCAGCTGGAAGTGGGAGGAATTGTCAAGTAATTGGAATGATATGATGCGAAGACATACGTCAGAATAGAAGAGAAGAGCCTGCTGACCCTTGCAGGTCGACGCAGCAACATGACACCAGAGCGTGGTGTGTCTTATCTGGCCTGCTCTCGCTGTACTTACCCTTCCAACGAAATCGCTCAGTCTCTACGGCTCCCTGCATGGCTCTGCCCCGCTTCCTGCTAACAAATTTTGCCCCGCCATCCCAGAGCAATCCATGTCCGCTGGCTGCGAAGCTGTTCAACAAAACTCTTCTCCTCCTCCCGTCCCTCACCTCCTTCTTTCTTCCCTTTCATCCATCCCACCCATCCTCCTCTTCCTCACCCTTCCATCAACCACCAGCCAACACTCACAATGGCCGCCCCCGCCCACAAGTTCAAGGTCGCCGACCTGTCCCTTGCTGCCTTTGGCCGCAAGGAGATTGAGCTCGCTGAGAACGAGATGCCCGGTCTCATGCAGACCCGCGCCAAGTACGCCGCTGACCAGCCCCTTGCTGGTGCTCGCATTGCTGGCTGCCTGCACATGACCATCCAGACCGCCGTCCTGATCGAGACCCTCACAGCTCTCGGTGCCGAGGTCACCTGGACCAGCTGCAACATCTTCAGCACCCAGGACCACGCCGCCGCCGCCATCGCTGCCGCCGGTGTCCCCGTCTTCGCCTGGAAGGGCGAGACCGAGGAGGAGTACAACTGGTGCCTCGAGCAGCAGCTCTCTGCCTTCAAGGATGGCAAGAAGCTCAACCTCATCCTCGACGACGGTGGTGACCTGACCTCCCTCGTCCACTCCAAGTACCCCGAGCAGCTCAAGGACTGCTTTGGTGTCTCCGAGGAGACCACCACCGGTGTCCACCACCTGTACCGCATGCTCAAGGAGAGCAAGCTCCTCGTCCCCGCCATCAACGTCAACGACTCCGTCACCAAGTCCAAGTTCGACAACCTCTACGGCTGCCGTGAGTCCCTCATTGACGGTATCAAGCGTGCCACCGATGTCATGGTTGCTGGCAAGATCGCCGTCGTCGCCGGTTTCGGTGATGTCGGCAAGGGTTGCGCCATGGCCCTCCACACCATGGGTGCCCGTGTCATCGTCACTGAGATTGACCCCATCAACGCCCTCCAGGCCGCCATGGCCGGCTACGAGGTCACCACCATGGAGAAGGCTGCTCCCCGCGGCCAGATCTTCGTCACCACCACCGGTTGCCGTGACATCCTGACCGGCGCCCACTTCGAGGTTATGCCCAACGACGCCATTGTCTGCAACATTGGCCACTTCGACATCGAGATCGACGTTGCCTGGCTCAAGGCCAACGCCAAGGGCGTCCAGAACATCAAGCCCCAGGTTGACCGCTTCGTCATGCCCAGCGGCCGTCACATCATCCTCCTCGCCGAGGGTCGTCTGGTCAACCTTGGCTGTGCCACCGGCCACTCCTCCTTCGTCATGTCCTGCTCCTTCACCAACCAGGTCCTTGCCCAGATCATGCTGTACAAGGCCGGCGACGCTGCCTTTGGCCAGAAGTACGTCGAGTTCGCCAAGGCCGGCAAGCTCGAGGTCGGCGTCTACGTCCTCCCCAAGATCCTCGACGAGGAGGTCGCCCGTCTCCACCTTGAGCACGTCAACGTCGAGCTCAGCACCCTCACCCCCGTCCAGGCCGAGTACCTCTCTCTGCCTGCCGAGGGTCCTTTCAAGGCTGACATGTAAGCTGCCCCCCGACACCCCAAGACCGCCTTAATGATCCATATACTGACATCTTCCTTAGCTACCGCTACTAATTTTTTTACTGTAATCATCATACCCATATCCAAGGGTCCTTCAACTGGACTCTACGTGTAACGACGGCTGTGTTTATTGTTTTCCGGTGTTTGTTTCAACTCAACAATGGCGATGGATGGGCAAAATTTGTGGTTTCAACAGCATAAAACTTGCGTGGCATATGGGAATGGGAAAGAAAGGATTTGGTTTTTCCCCCTCTTCACAAAAAGCAGAGAGAATTTTCGAACTAAAACGAACATGCCATGTAACTCACCCGTCCGAAGGAAGGGACTGGGGGTGTTGCAAGTTAGATATGAGGTCATCTGGGTCTTAAACATGATACCAGAAATAAAGAAATTTGGAGAGGAGATTTATCATCCCTCTCAACCCTCAAACTAGCTCGCTCAAATTACTGTGACTGTTTATATCCTTCCACTCTTGTCGCTCATAGAGGTTTCAATGTGAGGTACGTTCGCTAGCATGGTAATGGCTTAATAGGGAACTGCTCCCATGAGGGGAGAATCGGCGGGCAATCCAGGTATATATCGTCTTGGTCATCGGTCGTCGTCTGCAAGGTCTGAGGCTAGTCAAAGATTGTATTTACATCTATGCCGTATATCTAAAAATCTAAAAATCCCTCCCTTCCAGCAGCTTCGCCTCCAGATCCCGCTGCTCAGGCACGATCGTGATCAGCGCCCCCTCCAGCGCGGCCTTCTTCACGTTGTTGATGGCGAACGCCTCCATCTTGATCGTCGTCTCGATCGTGTACGTGCCCAGGTGGGGGACGAGGAGCACGCGGTCGTTCCTCAGCAGGCCCTCGTGGACCCTGGGCTCGTCCTCGAAGACGTCGAGCCCCGCGCTGGCGACGCGGCCGGAGTCGAGGGCCTCGACCAGCGCGGCCTCGTCCATGACGGCGCCGCGGGCAGTGTTGACGACGACGATGCCGGGCTTCATGATGGCGAACTGGTCCTTGGAGATGGTGTGGCGGGTAGAGGGCTGCAGTTTGTATTGTTAGCAACCATATAATCAAAACGAACAAATGAAATTCCGTTTCTTACATTTAAAGGCAGGTTCAGACTCAGCACATCGCTCTCCTTCAGCAACGTCTCGAAATCGACATACTCCGCCCCCTCCTCGTGCTCGGGGTCCAGCCTCCGCCGGTTGTGGTACCGGATCTGCATCCCAAACGCCCTCGCCTTGTCGGCCAGGTTCCTGCCTATGCCGCCCATGCCCAGGATGCCCAGGACCTTGCCCCGCGGGTCGTGCCCGAGCGCCAGGTCGCCCCCGCGCCACTCGCCGCGCCGCAGGGCGGCCATGCCGGCGGGGAAGTTGCGCAGGGCGCCGAGGATGAGGAACATGTTGGTGTCGGCGGTGGCGTCGTTGACGGCCGTGGGGACGTTGGAGACGCAGATCTCGCGGGCCGTGCAGGCGTCGACGTCGATTTGGTCGTAGCCGGCGGCTGTTTATTTCCTGTTGTGAGCAATGCGAATCTTTCCTTTGGAGAGAAACGAAGGGGTCTCACCTCTGTGGCAGATGAACTTGATGCTCTTGGGGAGGGCGTCTAGGAAACCGACGTCGACGTTGCCTGTGACGGCGGCCGACTCGCCGGTGCGGTAGATGGCGGACACGCCGTCAAAGGCGCCGCTCTTGCACTCGGCGAGAAATTCATCTCGGTTGGTCGCCTTGGGCTCGACGACGTCGGCGGTATCGGTGACGGCTTTCCAGGCGTCGTGGGCGCTGGTGAGGGGGGAACGGGACAGGCCGTTGTGTCAGTTGTGGATTTAAAACTTCAATGGGCATATCTTGGGTAAAACTCACTGCTCTATTTCGCCTAGCAGCAGGATCTTTGGACGGGTCATGATGAGCAAAAGGTGTGTGCGTTTAAGGTTGGCTTGGTGGCAGGCATACAAACGCAATTCAGGTATAGGCGAAGCGGAGAGAGGAGAGAGAGGGAGCTAGACGATGGCAGCAGGCTAAGAGGGCACAGGAAATCTGCGCGGTTCCATGACAATTCCACTTGTCGGATGTTGAGACCCAGCGATAACCCCCCTGCCAACCAAGATGGAAGCTCGATGTGAATCTGGCCTGCAATCCATCCACCAGGCGGGGGCGGGGTTGCATCTGCATTCCGTCATCGGTCCCTGATCAAGGTTACACGTGCGTCTCCCGCGGCCGATGAGCGGTCCCTCAACATCACTCTTCGCTCGCCTACTCTGGATGAGGCCGCGGACAGGACAGATGTTCCTTGAACTGAGTTGAACTGTATCCTGTCTGGAAAAGCTGGCCATTCAGCCCAGCTGCTTTGATCTCCAAGCCCTGCAGTAAATATGTCTGTCTTCTATTCAAGCCCTCCGAGGGCATATGTGCGTCTGTAGTAATTATGGTGTATAACGACAGATGAAATACTTGGTCATGTCCATGACATCTTCCATCAATCAACGCAAATCCCGAATCAACAATGGAAATTGGAAATACGCCGCCCTCCCCTATTATCCCAATCCCTTGCCCGTGCCAACACATCTATACTTGTACATCCCAAACTCCAGCCTGGCCCATAAAGTCCCTCACATCAGCAGCCTCCAAGCACCGAGAAGCAGAGCCGCAAACCCGGTGCACACGCCCATCAGCCACTGCAGCGTCTGGAACTTGACCTGCTCCAGCTTCTCCCGCAGCGCCGCCACCTCCTGCTCGATCCTCGTCTCCGTCTCCTTGAGCTTCAGCTCCTGGCCGACCGCCTCCTCCCTTATCCGGCCCTTCTCGAGGTTCAGGTCCAGCCGCACGCTGGCCTGGGTCCGCCCGATCTCGTCCCGCAGTCGGCTCGACAGCTTGGCGATCTCGTTGGCTAGGCGCTCGTGCGTGATGCGCGTCGTGTTCGACTCGGTGCTGTCCGCCGAGAGGAGCTCGGAGCGGAGCTTGGCGAAGTCGACCTTCTGGGTGTAGGTGGCCTTGGCGGCGTCCTCGCGCAGGACCATGGTTCGGGTGAGGTTTTGGATGCTGTGGGTTGGTTTGGGTTGGCATGAGTCTTCGGAAGGGGGGGCAGGACGGTTTGGGAAGGCCAATTCTAGCCAACATACCTCTCTTCAATAACGTCGTTCAGGACCTTCATCATCGATGCTGCCTGGTCCTCGGTAAACCCTTCGCTCTGGAGTCGCTGGACGAACTTTAGGGTGTCGAAGTGGTGATCTCGCTGGCGTCGGGCTGTGGCATGGAAAGCTGCCGCGCCAATGATTGGGCTGCGCTTTCGTTGGGGCACTGCCAGCCGGTGCTGTGCTTGGAACGGCGATGCTCGCGGACGCTGCGCCAGTGCAGTATGTTGATGCCGCCTCTGGCCCGAGGATCGGCTGGAGACCAGCAGGGGCGAGGTGGCCTGCCAGCTCAGTCGTGGGAGCAGGAACTTGGGCAGCGCCTCGACGGGCATGATTCTGGAGGAAGGCATTTTCTTTAGGTTGATGATGAATGAGAGACGATGAGTTGGACTAGGTAATGAGAGTCAGGAGCAGGAACCGATGGTCTGGTTGTGATTGTGACGGAGTGTTTCGGTGCGCTTCTTCTAGAGTTGGACCAGGGCCTGGAATGCCGATTATCACTCACGACGCTGATTGGCCATGACGCACACGAGCCCCACCAGAGCAAAATGACATAATGAAACAACGGCAACAGCATTGATATCCTCCATTTCCATTAAAGAACTACACCCGGGTACTTTTTTTACTTGGAATCATCTCGATACGTCAGGGAACACACGTCAATGCGATCACCTAAAAGCTCTGCCATGCAATCAATAGTGTTGAGGAATCAGGCAGCCTTCTCGAATCCTAGCCGCAAAGAATCGCTCAGCACCAGAATGTGAAGTCAACTACTAAGATGATTGGCTTATTGGATTTCTACGATATATCGTAGTTATAATTGCCTTCAGCAAGATTTAGGAGTAATTGGGAGAAAGTGGAATGTTATTCAGCTACCTATCAGGCAAAGCATGAGATGTGAGACTTTCCCACTGCTCAAAAAGTTCAAACAAGACCAGAGACATGGCCCCTTTCTTGTTCTTATCCTCATCGAAATCCTCAATCTGTGTAATCAAAAGCTAATCCAAGAATTTGATCGAAGTATCAAACGTCTTCTTTGCGCCCGCCAGCTCCTTCTTTTGAGCCTCGCGCATCGATTCGGAGAGACCATCCAGATGTTCCTCACACCGCTTCTCGAGGAATTCGAACTTCTTCTTGAAGTCCTCTTTCCGCTTTTGCTTCTCATCGCTTGTCATGGAAGTCCCAGCCAATTCAATTACTTGGCCGTTGAGAGCCACCATTTGTTGGCAGACTTCGATGCAACATCCGTGCTCCATTTGGCTGGCAGCCACATCCATGTCGTCGTCGACGCTTTCCTTCCACTCTTCGAGGCTTTTGGACATTTTTTAATGCTGTTGTTGGCGTAATGAAAAATTGGGAAAGAACTGTGTCTTGTTGGTTTGCGGGATGGTGCTTTGAGGTAGGTGCTTTGAAGTAAGGTGCTTTTGCGGCGTGGTGGTATTGAATGCAAGAGGAACTTCTCGTGTCAAGTAGGGGAATATGGGGGATATTTATATGCGAAAATTTCCCATGTCTTCGCTTTGTTTACCCTTCAAAAACGAACTGTCTTTGATTTAGATACAAGGAAATGTCTCTTATGAACAAAGAATCAAGACTTTCTCAATCACAGACATAGATCAGCACAATTTGCGGACAGAAGTACAAGGCAAAATCCAGGCTACGACCCTTGAAAGAAGTGCTATGTTTGGCTACTGTACGTGCGATTTAGTAAATCTAGATGGGTCAATTCACATACAAGAAATCGCGATGTCGTGAGTATTTATTCTGGACACAGAAGAAAGGACCAAGCGTATCAGAAACGACACCGCAATTCTTGTCTGCAAACAAAGCCAATAAAACAAGCTGAACATTCAAGTCAAAGGTTTTCTTTCTCGGCTCGTTGATGCTAAAATATAGGTGGTGGTGTTTTGGACAAAGGTGGTAGCAGCATAGGGCAGGCAATTTAATGAGCCAGAATGTCTAACAAGGGTCAAAGCAAGACTTTCATATTAATCTTAGCTTTAATTAACTTAGCTTATTCTTTTTAAGACCTAGATAAATATTTATAACATTGGATGCATTGTTCTGTTTTATAGTTAGTCGTTGGTGAAATCTACTAAATGTTTCATCTATCCAGGGGTTTCGAGGGTAGGAACACAAGCGTGTTTTTGGTCCTCAAATGTCGAGTACAACCTTTAAAGAGCTGTGGTAACGGAAAGCCATTAGTCGAGATTGATTTCAAGGGAAGTACGTACTTATCTCCACAAATTGTAGTTTGGTGACCGTTTGCATACCAGCCAAGTAAGTTGGTCGTGGGCATTCCTCAGTTTGCCGCCAGATTATTCATCATCCTTGATGAACTCCAACACGTGCCACTGCGATGATTTTTCTTTATGGGTAGTTTTATCGCCTGCACATGCTTGTGTGTATCCTGATTGATGACGATGTTATGATTTTCCCCATGAGGAACATTTGGAGAGACACTGATCACTGAGGAAAAATTGTCGCCCAATCCGTGGGAATTGGCCATGGTGCCGGCGCTAAAAAGTAAGTTTGAGTGCATCCTGACTAAAGTGTCGAAATCAGGGTTAAAAATGCTCGAGAACGGATGCATCGCTTGTTCAACTCATGGAAGTGCCGGAAGAAGAGGATTTGGAGTTTTGGACCCATACATGTACGATAAATGCAGCTCAGTTTTTGCGAAGTTGGAAACCATCTAAACCTGGATCATAAAGGAGCCCCTGCCCATGCGGAAAGCCCAGATGTTCAGTCTGGGATGGGTAGATATGAAGGTGACGGGGAACTTCCTGTCTCAAACGGTCCGACCTCTTCGCAATCGATCAAATCTACGCATACATATCATCCGACATCTCTCTAATGGGAATGGATATCTTCTGCATCGGGAGAGAAGAAAGAGCAATCATGGACCCCGATCAAAGTCAAGAGACGAGAGACTTCTCTCGACCCCCAGAGCATCTTTTGAACCAGTCCCTCTCCCTCGCAATGGACTACACCTGGGACAAGATGCAACTTGAGGAACACTGGAGAGATGAAGCTCTTTGCAACGTTACCATAACCACAGAACAGGTCTTTCTTTTCCAATGCCTTGGGAAAACTCCCATCCCGGATGCAGAGCTCTACAAGCGCTACATACTGTCGGAGCAAAAAGAAGATGGTTCTTGGCCTATTGCTACGAAGTGCCATGGAGACATCTCGACAAGCTGTGAGGCCTACCTAGCCCTCAAAATATTAGGCCTGAGTCCGTCTTGCCAAGAAATGACAAAGGCGCGACAGTTTATACTCAAGGCTGGGGGTGTTGCCAAGGCCAGGATACTCACGCGGATTTCCTTTGCGCGGTTTGGCCTCTTTCATTGGGACGCTGCCCCTCACCTGCCTGCTGAATTGATACTGCTCCCGCCGTCTTTGAAGTTCAATATCTATCGACTATCATCCCAGGCACGTTCTACATTAATTCCACTCTTGGTCATCACCCACCATCGACCTGTTTACGCACTTCCAAACGGGAGGTCGGCCGACAACGATTTTATTGATGAGCTGTGGGTTGATCCGACAGGCAAGATGACTTCTCATTACTCGCGCTCATCGCTTTTCTCCCCCCGTGAGATCGATCCTACTGAGCTCCTTTTCTCAGGACTAGATACAGCTCTGTCTTATCTGGGAGGACTGAGGCGATTCCCTCTGCGAAAGAAAGCCCTACGATATTGCATTCAGTGGATTCTCAACAACTTGGAGCCACCTGGTGACTGTCCAGGGATTTCCCCCCCAGTGCATAACAACATCCTAGCATTACTATTGGAAGGATTTTCACAAAATAGTCCTATGGTAAAGCTGGGCATGGAGGCTATCGAAAGATTCACACACCAGGACGAAACTGGCAAACGGCTGCAGTCTTGCGTGTCACCGGTCTGGGACACCGCGCTCATGACCCGTGCTATCTGCGACTCTGGTTGGAACAAGCACGATGCCCGTCTTGAGAAGTCGGTAGATTGGCTTAGCAGGCGGCAGATACCTAACATACGTGAAGGCTGGTCCGGCTACCGTCCGCGAAAAGTCTTTGAAAGGTTGTCTTTGCAGCACTACAACAATTTCGGGCCCGGTGTTGACGATAGTGTTGTGGTTCTTCTCTCAATGTTACATCAGAACTCTTCAAACATCGAGTCAGACACGGTAGCGAGAGCCGCAATGTGGATTTGCGGGATGCAAAATTCCGATGGCGGCTGGGGGGCGTTTAGCAACAACTACAACCAGTGGCTCAACAAGACTCCGCTGAAAGCTTTGCGTCATAGTTCGACGGCGGATCTCACGGGTCATGTTCTTGAGGCGTTCGGCATGGTTCTCAACATAGCCTCGCGGAAGAGCTCTGAAGACCTGGGCTCTCGACTGGCTCAGACAAAAGTACTTGGCGCGATCGTGACGGCATCACAGAGGGCTGTACGCTATTTGGCCCAGGAGCAGGAGGGATTTGGTCCGTGGTATGGCTGCTGGGGTGCTAGTTATCTTTATGCTACCAGTGCCGCAGTCTCCGGCTTGGCTTGGTTTGCTGATGGCGATAACTGGGTGAAGGAAATGATAGCATCCGCTGTCTCCTGGATCAAAGAAGTCCAGAACTTGGATGGGGGATGGGGAGAGGGTCTTGAATCATGCAATGATCAGCAGATGGCTGGAAGGGGTCCATCCACACCATCTCACACAGCATGGGCCATTATGTGCCTTCTAGAAGAATTGGATCCAGATGATGCCTCGATAAGAGCTGGGATAAATCATCTCTTGGCCGAGCAGCAAGATGTCTCTCTGAAGAGGGAAGGGGCATCCTGGGAGGAATTAAACTACGCAGGCACGGATTCCCTGGGGTCTCTATATCTTCGATCCCAGGTTTCCAGTCATTATTTTCCTATCATGGCTCTTGGGCGATATAAAAAAGCAATGCTTTGTACCTATTCTAATTAGTTCAAGCCTAGCCACGGCTACATCTCTTCTACTAGATCATCGCCTAACAATGCGTTGTCGGACTGTGCGCCTTCTACGTAGTTATATTATCAAGCGAAGCTTGATGCTGTGTGAAGGCAATAGCCGGAGCGCAGCTTCTAGATTCATTTCTATAATGGGATGTTTTGCAGTTATATGATTTATGATACTAACTGGCAATTGGTTAATTTTGAAATATCGACTGCCTATTGGTCATAATATCATTATGACTTCGTATATATACAACCAGGTGATAAAAGTTGTTAGAACGTGGGCTCTGCAATTAGCAGGTCAAAAGCTATAAGCACGCCTCTTACATTAAGGAAGCAAATTAGGTTATATAACTATACCTATAACTAGAAATAACTCTCTAGAGCCTCTAGAGGCTATGTAGATTATTTGATTTAATTAACCTTCCTTATATAACCCTTATAAGCTAGCTATTATAAGCTATATATTTTAGTAATTAAGAATCTTAGAGTTACTCTTCTTTAAGGTAGCTATATCTATATATATAAGCTTTAAACTATTAATCCTAGCTTTCTAAAATATTAAAGACTTTCTTTAATAGCTTAAATAACTCTGTTGTGCGTCGAAACGACGAGCATACATCACGCCGCTATTTCAGCTTACCTGTGCCGGGGAGGAGGCAATGAGAGGTGCTGGCCATGGCGGAGATGTTACATCACTGGTAAAAGAAAAGACAGGCAAAAAGGTATCTTGCGTTCATTAGAGCGTACTTGATCGGTTATATTGAGATCGGCTAGATATCATCACCCTAGCCTAACCATTAAAACGATGGTGGTAAGCCACGGCACACCTGCATGGCAGCCTTTGCGATGCCGCCTGCGAGATTTGCCGTTCCAGTTTGAGAAATTAGATATCTATGTAACTCCTCCAGAACCCGATTGGGGTGCTCCCCGGGATTGAGGTTGCCAATTCCCGTTACATGGACATTTCCGTTGAACCCATGATCAATCCAAGCATTCCGCTCATCCGCTTTCGTCAGTCGGTCGAGGCGCAATGCTTTCTGGTTTTCAATCATATGTTCGGAAGATGACGGCTGAACTGTTTTGCTGTCGGCATGCTTGAGATATGCCCAGAGAAATATCGCCCTTGTAAGGAAGCACAGGGGCTCCCAGAGTGTCATATGCCGTCGAGAGTGCAGGGTACTGAGTAGGGTAGCGGCATGCCAAAGACATTTGCGTATTGTTGGCTGGTGGTCATGGAGCCATAACTTGAAGTCACGTTCGGCGATATCTATATATGTCTTGCTCGCTTGCCACCCTGTTAATGCGTAGAGTCCTTCGAGGCGAACATGGCGCATGATGTGAACTTCATGGTACATGCAAGCCTCCATGATGGAGAGATCGCTCACGAACGGATAGATCGTGAAGTTGGGCTGGAGGAGATTGAAGTCAGCGTCCATGGCCTTTATGCGATTCTGGAGACGAAAAGGCGTGTCTCTCTCGAGGGTTGGCTGAGTTGAGGACCGGCTGCGTGCCAGTGATGAGGGATTCGAAATCCCTTCCGCCAACCATGATTTTGTTCTGAGAAGCTCCATGTTCTCCTCAACGAATAACGTCACTGTGAGGAGGAGTCGGATGAATCCATCCACTTCCGGTAGAACCTGTTGCATGGAATCGATACCATAGAGAACTCTTTTTAGTGAGTTTTTCGATGCCTGACCTGCTAAAGAGGTTGGTGACCTGCAAGTCTGCGTGCAATGACTAGTATTAAAGGGAGCCACATACCACCGGACCGCTCACCAATCGCCGATTCCCAGTCTGATTGAGTAACTGCACTCCATGCGCTTTCTTGCTCCGGCAAAGGGACATCAATGTCTTCAATGTTCATGAGAGGGCGCATGCCGAAGAAAATTTGGCTCAAGCATTCGAAGACTGAAGCCAGGAAGGTCAGTGGCATGCTATGAGGAACAGACTAAGGACTCCGATACTTACACCAAGCGCTGTATATGAACCAATAATTACTCTGAGTAGCAACCCAGGTCTCCCACCTCAGACCATCAGCACTTGTCGGTTGCGTATCCTCATGCAGCCATGTCATTGTAGCAATTCGGCTATGGCATAGAGTCGTGAGGATACTTCGTTCAAAGCACATGTTCGTTAATCGGGGTTGAGATCCATCAAACGCTAATGAAATTTGATGCAGAAGAACACGTTGGGAGAAAGTCAGCTCTCCTTCTTGCGGTGACTTCGGTCGCTGATCTTGTGAGTTCTTGTTAAGAAGTAAGGAAAGGCTGAGGGCTGTCTTACGTTTCGTAGGATAGCATCACGATGGAGAACCAGCATGGCCGACATATACTGGTCCATGGTGTCTGCGGTGACATATCGTGCGCCAACAGCAGCTATCCCTATATGAAGAATCCAGGATGTGCCTGGTTGTGAGAGGGTTGAGGGGTGGATGAAAGGCCAGTGTGGGTGGAAATGCTCAAAGTATAATTGTATGAACGCATTGAAAGCCGGGAAGGGTAAAAACCTAGACACCAATGCACCAGTCGGTTCTTGATTGTCGTGAATAGAGTAAAAGAACTCGGACGCCTTCTGATGGGCTTGCTGCAGTAGCTTCGTATGGTGTATGTGACAGTAGATCCCGTTGTACAACGCCTGTAGTTGATCGGACTGGACATCTGGGAATGCGTAAGGTTTCGACGGCACAACATGATCATGAATTTGTTGGAAAGATGGTTCCCTCGTTGACTCCTCGAACTGCGTCACTTCTGGACTAGTCTGTAGGGGGGGAGACAACGCAGATGTCAGGTAGTTCCTCGGTATGTTTGTTGAGGGATATAGGAGGGATGAGGGGAAATCAAACGCATAAAAGGAGAGGCTCGGAAGGTCATCCAATGCAAGAGAATCGAGGGCCATGCCAGGGAGCGGTTCTGAAGTGACAGAGGTATCGACATTGTCCACACCGGATTGGCCTGAACGAGGATTCTGGGTCTCAGAGACAATGGAAGCATAGTCAGCAAACTCAGAAGAGCCCGAGAGAGTTGAAGGTCCCCAAAATGCTTGTTGGCTTTCCGTGATTGTGTAGGAAGCAATACCATCCATGTTTGGTGTCGTTTGGTGCCTTTGGGGCGTAGATAGAGAGGCGGGCACGTCGTCCACTGACGGTTGTATAGTTACCCTTCGGCATGTGGTGGATTCTGTGGAGGTACTGGAGGCCGATAGATCCTGTTGGTTATGCCTGTGGTTCGGGCCATAAACACAGGTTGCTTGCCTCTTTTGGCAACGGCCACAAGGTTGTTGACCGTCACACGCTTGCTTAGCTTTGGCACAACTTGTGCAGGCAGCCTGCCTGCTCTTTGATCTTGCCACTGATTCCTCCTAGCTTTGGATGGCATTCTGGCCATGCATGGCCAAATGTCTTCGCAGAGTGCCCCTAAACAATCACACATTGACGCCTTAGCCTTGCAATGTGTTGGGGAGCTTAATTCAGGTCAAACAGGGCTAGTAAATGTTGCCGTAGCTCTACCTCCTAGGGAATGATTTATGGCACTCGTTACATTCGAAGGGCCGAAGACCAGTATGGCGTTGCTGATGTCGTTGCAAATGTTCTTGCCGAGAGAACCTGCTAGCGCAATAGGAACAGCTGAATGCAGCGGCGCCGTCGGCATGCATTTTAAGGGTTAGTCAGAATATGGGAGATGTTGGACTGGGCATTAAAGGAAGCGAGATATCCGGAGGTAGGAAAGAAGCGATTGACATTGACTCCCTTTTTCGGTGACTTGCTTGCCGAGTGAGGTTTAGATCAATGCCGAGCGGCATTCTAGAGTTCCCCGGATTTTTATGTCTTGGATGCAGGTGCATGGGGCCATTCGCCTAGTCTCTGCCTGGGTAGCTGGGCTCACCCTTATAACCGGATAATGACATAAAACGAACACCTCATATGATGCATATATTCTGCCGCTCTTGGATAGAGATTCGTTTCACTGAGCTACTAAGGGCTCCCGCGACATTGTTTTACACCTCGACGACCGTGGATCCACTCATTAAACAACCGGCGCAGATTTCCTTCCGAGAAAATTCTTCAGTATCCTACAGCGCATTCTTTTGTTAAATCTCTATTATACAATCCCCCAAGACCGCGTATCCATAGTCATTGACGTTACGAGGCCCTAGCCAATGGGCGCATAGCAACGGATCCGACCGCGGTTGTGGATCTCGTCAGTTCACATCCCCTTTTCGCCCATCACTACCTAGGACGGTAACGACGTCTCCAAATGTTCACGGCAGTCCGCCATGCGACTTCTCCTACTCTTTCTTGCTGCGCCTGTTGCGGGCACCTTTCTGCAGTGGTCGCTCTGCGACAACAGTCGTGGCAGTGGGGCCATCCCCTATGGGCTGAACGCGCGGCTCGTGAGAAGCCCTGAAAATGCGGCGACCTCACGGCTGGTAGTTAGCCTGGCCCGACACCAGAGCGGAATCACCTGCCGCGACACACCAGGCACTGCCGCCTTCGACAAGGATGCATGGCCCGAGGCGATGGTACAGCTTGACTGGAACGGACTAGGCAGACCTGAGAGCTTCTCCGGCAAGACCAAAGCGCGACTCGACTGCGAGGATTTCATCGGTAACAATCGGCCTGCTTATCTGCCCGTCAATTCAAGCCGCGTGAGCATGGCGCTCCTGGACGACGACATAGGTGCGCTGCCCGCGCTATCTACCCTCCGCTTCCAAGCCTACCTCAACTCGCCTATCTTCGCCGAAGCACAATGCATCGCCTCTCTCATGACGCCCGCTGTCCCGCTGGCGCTCTCGTCTGGCCTGCGCTATGGGGCCCTGGCCATCTTCCTCTTTGTCTTCCTCGTTTCTGGCCTGCGGACCATAGCCGCGGCGTCGGGGTCGCAACAGCAAAACGAGGACGAAGACTTGGATGGCAGCGCCCCTGCCGCGGTACCCGTCCTCCCTTGCGTCTCCGATTGCCTTCACTTCCTCCAGTTCGTCTTCCTAACTGGCGGCCGCAGCCTCTTCTATCCAGGCTTCTACCCTGCCGCGGTAGGCCACCTTAACTGGTTCGCTCTCTTCGCCGACTTGGCGCTCCCCATCAAGAGTTTTGTCCCCGGACCGACAGCCGCGCTTGTGAGGATGGCATCCACGTACCCCGGCATCAGCGACGGCTTGTATGAGGTCAATGGTACCTATGGCGGCTACCTTGGACTTGAGGTCATGACACAGATGGTCGGCGCGCCTATGACGTGCGACACGTGGTTCCTCATGGTGCTCTTCACTGCCTGTATAATTGCAGCGCTGGGCTTGTTCCTCTGGCTGCTCGAGACGGTTAGGCCGCGGAACGTCTTGGGGTTGCCGTTGTTAGGTCCCGGTGCTGGAGCCGGCAGATGGGCCCTTGTGACACGTATCGGGAACGGGGTCCTGAGACTCGTGCTCTCGTACATCACCCTGCCGCTCATCGCGATGTCGACCTATCAGCTTAACTTTTCCGGGAGTCTTGGTGCAGGTCACATGTCGCTTGCCATTGTCGTCGTCCTCTTCATCATGCTGGCCTTTGTCTGGCTCGCGGTATGCCTGCCTGTGGCGAGCCTCGGCGCGCTTGTCTTCGAGGCTAGTCGCTCATACCAGCGCATTGGAATACTTGAAGCAGAGCGCGACGAGGACTTGGAGGAAGAGAGACAAGCCCGGCGCGACCACCAGTTCGTCATGGCTCTATTCATGCTTAACATAATCAGGGGCCTCACAATTGGCGGACTGCAGAAGTGGGGTGTGGTGCAGCTGGCGGTCCTGGTAGCGTGTGAGGTTACCATGTTGCTAGCTGTCCGGACCTGCAGACCGTTTCCATTGCTGTCAGGTGGTTTTGCGGCTATACTGCTGAGGCTGGCCATCCTGGCGTGCTTTGTGCCTTTTGCTTTCCCTGCGTCCAAGATGCTCAAATTGAAGAGCGTCTTCGCCTACGTTGCGCTGTTTTTGAACGTCGCGGGGTTGATTGGAGTTTTCTTTGTCCCATCAGGCAGGCAACTGTACCGCCTTGCTCTTCGGGGATTTAGTCGATTCCGAGGTTGTGATGTTGGGAAGGTAGGCGCTTCTACTTCCAACGCCCTTGGTTCGATATCCGGGAAGCCTTTCCCTTGCTGACGCGGCTTTCTTCCAGGACGTCCCCGTTGTTAGCCTTCGTCAGCTGCAGCGCCGTGAAGCACCTGGGCTTCTGCAGGTTAATGACCCTGGGGCTAACCTCACCCGGCTAGGCGACCATGGGTCCATTGGCAATGGATGGGATGCACCTCACACCATCGTGCCCCACGGCTCCCTGACCCCCTTCTACCGGCTCCCGAGATCATCAATTCCCGCCGCACCCGGCGAGGCGTCCCGCGTCTTCGATAACGGCTCTAGGGGATCGTCTCCCTCATCTTCTCTCACACCGTCTCCTGCAGAGTGCCCCCCTCCTATCTCGGGAGAGCCTGTGGACTTCTCACCAACCCACTCCTCATTTAGTATGGACAGGCAACACTTGGTAGGCTGGGCCTCAAGTGGATCCTCGAGCTCTGTGTCTGTGGCGAGCAAGGCCGAAATCCTAAGACCCCTTGGTCCGCGATGGGACGACTACTCCTTCCGAGAGGCGGATTTGTTCTACGCTCGGCCGCCACCTCCACAGGCAGAGGCTGCCAGGGAGCCACTGCCTGCTTCTGAACCGCCCCCCAGGGCGCGGCAAACATGGCTGTCGAACTGGGGTTTACCTAGAGTGTGGAACTTGAGTGGACGGAAGCTGACGCCATCGGAGGAGAAGGGATTCTCGGTCGTCAGGCCGAGCCGAGTTCAGGATGTTGCGTAGGCTGATGTCCTTACCAATGCACGTGCGCGAGCCCTGGCCAGACTGTCCCCATCGTTTAGCTTTGCGACGCTTTCAATCTGAACCTCACTTACACTAAAGAAATATCCCTCCATGCGGCTAGTTTGTTTGGAGTCTAGCCAGCGCTCTGGCCGGAATTCCATCGCATCGTGACCGAATATATCTTCATTATGATGGGCGACCCAGGAGTTAATACCGACAATTGCCTAAAAGATCACGTTAGCACACTACCCCGCATAGAACAAACAAATGGGCGGCTTCACTCCTCCAGGGAAATAATTACCGGCTAATTGCTTCCCACCCGGAGGAACAGATCTGGGCATTGTGAACCCAGTGGCTGGGTGAAGCTGGAGGCTCTCCTTGATAACAGCCTGTAAATAGGGCAACCCCTGGGTTTCTCGGAAAGTAATAGGGAAAAGTTCGCTCTCGCTTATATCATAGCGTTGTCTTTCTGGCAGTTCTACAACTCAGAACTCATGCATCGAGTATGGAGCAGCGACACAATATGGCTCATGTCACAGGCAGATGGACAAGGCGAACCCAAAAAAGTGCCACTCAAAGCCTACATCCCCCCCCCCCCCCATCCGGATGCGACCAAATGCGATGACGATGCCTCTGAGTGTATCGAGAGAAAGGAACTCATAAATAAGTATCCTCGCATTCAGTCTCTCGGAATATTGCTCTTGGAAATTGGACTTGGTGAACCTCTTGACCGTCCATATTTGAAGTCTCAGAACCAGCGGCTCAACAAACGTCACATGAATGCCTTAAACAAACTCAAAGAGCTTAAAAAAAAATAAATGGGACATCAATTCTCAATACCTAGAGGCCTTTGTCAGAGCCATCGAACACTGTCTGCATTATAAAGCCTTGGCGGGCATGGAGGCAGATTTGAAAACCTCAATATCCCATCTTAGCCGGAGAGAATGGCTGCATCGGCGGGTGGTGGCAGTACTCGCGGACCGGGATGAAAAATTCCCGAAGATAGACTACACGGCCAATAACTACCTGTCCACCAAGCCACTTGGATCTGAGCTTACATCTTGCGGTCATCGCCCGGTGAATAAGTATATCCCACTCGCCGCGGCCATAAGCCCAGAGCTAGATCATGCCAGTGATAACGCCAGCAAGCACACCAACTCCACACAGCCAGGGGAATTGAGGTCCCCCAACCAGCGGGAGGGATTTTGAAATTGCTATAATTTGCGCCCTTCATATCGAGGCGGACGCCATTGCGGCTCTTTTCGATCATTCCTGGGGCGGCGATAATCACTGTTACCACAAATCTGATGCTGATGACAATACCTATTCCACCGGCTCCTTTGGCCGTCACAATATCGTTCTCATTCATATGGGCCGCATGGGGAAAGTCCACGCTGCTTCAGTTGCGTCGAGTTGCAAGGGAACATTCCCCAACATCAAGCTTGCTGTTGTCGTGGGTGTCTGTGGTGCGGTGCCTCTTCCCAGGGGTCGTGGCGAAATTGTCCTGGGTGATGTCATCGTGAGCGAGCGTATCGAACAGTATGATTTTGGACGGCAATATACAGAGTCATTTGAACCAAAGGACACTAATTCGGACTCACTTGCGAGGCCCAGCGACCAGATCGCCAACTTTCTAGCAAAGCTGAAAACCGCCAAAGGAAAAGCGACGCTTGATGAGAAGATGTCCGGTTATCTAAATACACTCCAACAGATATCTAATTTGGCAGCATGCTATCCGGAGACAAATCCAGACATCCTTTTCGACGCAAAATATGAACACCGAGACAAGACTCTATCGTGCCAAGATGCAGACTGTTGCGGTGAAAAAGTGCCACGCGATCGTCTCATCAGCGGGACACCGAAGCCCGCGATTCACATTGGCCTTTTCGCCTGGGGATAAGGTGATGAAGTCTGGGACACAACGAGACGTATTGGCTAAACGGGACGGCATTCTGGGCTTCGAAATGGAGGGCGCCGGTGTTTGGGGAAAATTTCCCTGCGTCATGATAAAGAGCGCCTGGTTGTACCGCTTGAATGAAGGCTTTGGATTCACGTTCACATATGAAACTGATCAAAATTATTAGGAAGATAGTACGCTCTTAGGTGTAAGAGCATGGACATTAGCTTTTATATCCTAAAACGTTGAACGTTAGTTCTTAGTTTCTTACTAACTTTCATTCGGCACGTGGTTCACCTCTAGCACTTCAATACGGTATAAAGCGCTTCATTTGGTCACTTGAACTCAATGCAATCCATTGACATGTGAGTAATCTGGCTGAGATTTAGGGAGCCATAACGTGTGCCCATTTCCTAGCCTCGCGCCAAGTGTCTATATTAGAGTAGGGACTTTAATCTTAGTATACAAAACAAATAATACAGCTGCTCAACAATTGCAAATCCGTTGGCCAGAGCTTTTCTCGTCGGAAGATTCTCACTTCTTCATACAATTAGTAACGCCATTAGCCGCGAGAGCTTTCGCGTACATCAGATGTAACGGTGCTATAAATTCCGGGAGAGGTGGCGGACTGGCCATTCCCTCCCCGTTGAAGAACATGTTCTTGTACTCGAAGCTGATCTCTGTCTCATCATCATTCATGGAGACTTGAATTTCGGACAGAACGTCCAGTTGTCGCAGCCCGTCTTTGTTGTTTGGATTGGGTTGACCGCCTCTCAGAATTATAGAGCGTGGCGATTTTTGTAAAACAGAGAATTCTTTAGCAATCAGGGTTCCTAGATTGAGTTGTCAACATAAGGAATGGCCTTGAAGATCACTTGAGTGAGGTTTGACTACTAACCAAGGTTGAACTCGTCATTGAGGATTTCTATAGTCGAGGAGACATCCTTCACCCCCGGCGGAGGTTGCACACTGCTGAATGACTGTACGAGTCCCCGCTGGATGGCAAAAGCTTCAGATTTTCAGTCAGAAATCACCATTTATATGTATATGTAGGCTGATTCGAGATCATTGGGTCTCCTCTTACCCCATCTGCCAAATATTCCCTGGCAGTACCGCTCAATCAACTTTGAACCGCCATTCCTGAAATCATCGACCAACTTTCGATCGAGATCCTCCACACGGACAGTCGATGCATAAATATCGCTCAATGCCTGATTATTGTGTGGATTGAATGCCTGATGAAAATGACCCTGCACAAGCGGATCGTGATCGGGAAGCGGTCGAAAAACCGCGTGCCGAGTTGAGAACCAGAATGAGCCCCAGCCGCCAATTCCCGTCACAATTGCGACCCCGACGACTGTGTTAAGACGTCTCCGGGTCACAAAGGTTCCCAATCTGTTCATTTTATCACTTTGTCGAAGAATTGGTCAGCGAGGGACAATAGGGACTGGGTGGGTTGGGAATGTGTGTGGACAATGCATCATTAAAGCTACGGGCACAATGTTTTTAGTAGGTTTTGGTATTCAGTGGAGAACCTTCAGCCCGGATCACTAGAAGGCAATCGAGGCCTCCTTTCTTCGGTTTGGGTCGTAGTTAACTCGCTCGCTCTCGGAGCTGTCTTGGAATTGTGGACCTCGGTGATTCGGCCCTCGCTTCGTTGCCTATTTTCGTGATGCTAAGACGCTAGATATTGACTAGATATGCAGGGAGTTGTCATAAACAGAAGTCTCCCATAGTCAACTATGATTCTTAAAACAGAAGAGTAATTGCATCATCTGGGCTAGGAATGGCCAAGAACTGACCCAGACTGATCTTCGAATTCAGCTGGCCTCATCGTAGAATCAACTAATCAACGGGACGGGAGAAAACTTGGTCACCCTTGGAAGAACTCGATCCAACAAGAGAATGGAAGACGACAGGTCGGTTGCCGTTTCTATCCCAATGAAATGATAACACATCTAGTTGCTAGGTGCCTATATAACATGACTATTCTGCAGAGTCGTGTAGGCATACACATAGACTTTGTGGCACTAATAAATGTGCATTTGCGTGACTGAAGAAAAATCGGGTTGAGAGTGTAGAAATACGTTTCACACAAAATTGATGCAACTTATTGATAAATGTTGAGCCCCGAGAAAGCCCCTACTTGATGCGTAGTTTACTACTTTCTCCAAATGTGTCAACAATTTTCATTTGGCAATTACTTCTTATAGTGGAACGAAGATTCATATTGATACTTCGAAGTATACAAACACAGACTGGGAGCATCAAGTCGAGGTACATATTTGATACCACGTTGGATATGGCTCCGTTGTCCTACACATTCTTCTCTGAACTGCCAGCATCACCCGCGCCTTTGTCACTGTACTCCCGAACCTCGCTCTCGGGGTACTGTTTCCTATCCTCAACCGCCCAGATCGTCACGGCGGCAGGGAAAAGGCTGAGCGTCCAGAATATCACATTGATGACCGTGGTGTAAAATGGCGAGAATTTGCTGTTTTCAGAAGTTTAGCGACGACGGCATGAAGTGCAGGAGAAGATTTTGCATAACCCTTACCTGCTGCTGATCCCAAATGAAGCACACTGGCCCCAGCTCTCCACTCCTCTGAGAAGACCGGTCGATCTGCTCAGTTCGAGCGTTCCGTCACCGAGAGTCCCTACCAGGAAGTAGAGGAAGTTCTGGACCATGTTGCCTGAAGTCTGGAGCATGATGTAGATTCCGAAGGCGCGGCCGAATCCGGGAGAGGACCAGTCCAGAGTGGCGGGCTTCTTTTGCTCAAAGCCGTGCTGCACAATGAGGACCCAGATCCATAGGAGGGTGAAGAGTCCGCAAGAGAAGACGAAGCCGTAACGGATACGAGCCTAAATAGAACAATCAGTATGATATTCACTTTCTTAGGAGCGAAGCTGCGTGTATCTACCTTGACAGTGAGTTTGTTGGAATCAAGGAAGATGCCGAAAAGAATGCATGCCAAGGTACCAGTGATGGCTGAGAGGAAGGACGCAAGTGCTCGGGCGCGGACGCTGAAATATAAAGTCAGGTATGTCGATGCGTAACCCTGAAACGGCGCTGGTTAGCATTCATTGGTTAATTCTCAGAATCAAGCGGTATTACTCACCCAATAGAACCAGCTGGAAAAGAAAATGGGGAGTAGGAGTCCAATCTGGCGGGTAGTGACGGTCTGCCAGAGCTTCTTGAGCTGCTCCTTTGCGGGTGTTCGTTCCTCGACGATAATCTTAGAACCATCGGATCGTTCCGTCTTCTCGGGCGAAGAAAGTACGAATCCAATGGGGACGGCGAGTGCTTGGAGTCCAACAAAGACCAAGATCGTAACGTAGGAGACCTTTCCGCCAGTGGATCGGGTGGCATTCAATCCGAGGTTAATGGCACCGCCGATGAGCTATGGAAGGTTAGTATTTGATTCAGTTTCGTCAGATGAGTCACGCCACCTACCTGGCCACTGTTCTTGAACGCAAGCCAGAGGGCAAGATATCTACCTCTCTTTGCGTGTTCTGGATATGAGAGGATGATGGATCCCTCTGCCGCCCAGTACAAACCGGCACTGACTCCGCAAATAGCGGCTCCAAGAATAACAAACCATCTGCAAACCTCAAAGTCAGCGACAGATTCAAGTCAGAGATGCCCCATTCAACCTACTCAGTGCCATAACGGTTGTTCTGGTAGAGCGAGGCGCTGTAAACTGACCACCCAAGGGTACCAGCAATCAGAGTCTTCTTTACACCGATCCAATTGACGAAGATGGGCGACAGGATACAAAACAGGCCCATCAGTCCGAACACAAGCGAGTTGCCTGCATTGACCTGCTCAATATGGTCAGCCACTAAGGCGGGGGAACAAGCGGTATGGGGCGGCAGCGCGTACCAGGTAAGGCTCAAGTGCTCCTCCAGCACCAAGTGAGTTGTTCGCATTCTGCACGCATCGTGATTTGTTAGCACGGCGGGGTTTCGCTCACGCCGAGGGGAGACGGGGATGGAGACGAACCCATAGACCAGGTCCGAGCAGAGCAACCAAGCCACAGATGATCATCTGTGACAGAACGCTCCTGTAAAAAGCCATCTTTGTCGGAATTGCCACGTGCCGGGGCGGAGAATCTTCCCAGAATGAAAAAGCGAGATGGACGAACAGGTGGAGTTGGGAAAAGGGGAGATGCCGCCGCCCATTATATTTGTTTTTCCAAGTCCATGTGCAGCAGAGTCTCGCAACCCATTTTTTAAACAGCCAAGCCGATCACGAATTGCGCCTTCGGATCCCACAATGGCGCAAAGGATGAGAATTAAGGTTGATCTGAGCCCTGTCTAGGTCTGCCTGGAGGGGCGCCAATGCAACGCTGACATCGGAGAAGTAACTAGAAAGAGTATCAAAGCACCGAAAACTCCGCTGAGCTCATTCTGAAATTTTCATCTTGGTGTGAATAAGAAGGGTCCACTGAGGGCGGCCGACCCGCCACATCCGACGACCGACGAACATGCGGGAGAAAAGTGAAAATTGTTCTAAAGCGTGCCCTTTTTTGTGGATTAATTTTCCGATAGCCTGATGCGCTTTCCAGAAGATTTCTACAAAAGTTCTTGAGCCCCATCGAATAACTATTGACCAAAATCTATTGGCTTGGCTTCTGGCCACTAGCTGGCTCGCAGGGGGCAGCTTCATCATATATCTCTGTACCGATCAGCGGAAATCCCGCGTTCTGTTCTTGTTCCTCACGCCATGTAAATGTGGAACAAGTCAGTGACTCTCCTAGACTGTTTTGACTTCTCTAATTAGAATTCGCTGGCAACGCTACAGTAACTCAGCAACCCCTATAATCCTACTGTACAACTTCTTGAAAATAATGGATAAAGTTCCCCAGCAAGGTTCTTTCCGTCACCATGGCATGTCCCCGTCACGCCTCCTATGGGCATCAAAGAAGAATATTTCAAACAACAGTAGGAGACAATGACGCCCTTCCAGAACACCCCCCTTGCCCGAAAGAAAGGGAAGCGCGAGCATGGCATATCAAGACCGTCAGGCACCTACGCAGCCGTGGCAGCCCGATTCTCATCGCCCCCTAGGAGAGGGCTTGTCTCGTCTAGAAGAGGGCTTGCCTCATCTGGTTGTACAGCTGGCTCGGCTGGGGCGGTGGCATAATCTGCGATAATATTGACCACCATAATGAGACAGGCCACAGTTGCCCAAGCGACGATAATGACGCTCAAGACGGACAGCACGACGATGGCATTGACTGGTAGGTATCTACCGTTTTGGCGGGTGAGTCCCAGCCTGATGAGGGATGAGAAGATAACCTGAAAGGCATCTCGCCCGAATGATAAGAGATTGATGATGAGTAGCGGCTTATGGTATGGCTGTTACGAAGCAAATGTCAGTTTCGTTGCGCATATCACAGGCCGTATATTTCGGGAGTTCCATGTATACTCACGACTGGGGAAGAACGAGCTTTGGATCGGAGAATGATCAAGTTCAAGCCAACTGCAACAAGTTTGATGATAGCGATGAGGCCATCAACGATAACAAGGGCAATGATGGATCGGAGGTGGCCCATGTCGCCGCTGTTGAAGTAGTGATACTCGGATAAGGCAACGCTGGCTACTAAAAGAGGCAAGAGCAGAAGAAGACCCAAGATTATGAAGCGATACACCCCGTGAACAAAGCCACGGATCGAAGACCCAGCGTTCCAAGTGCTGATAGACAGGATGACGGTCTGAATGATGAGGAGCAAGCATACAGCCGATGCGCCCGTCAGACCATTAAGCATAGTCAGGTGTTGTGAAAGTCTATACAGGAAAACGGGCAGCCGGCGAGTAATGATGAAGATGGAATTTATGATAGCCGTGGTCAGCCATATGGCGATCCATCTAGTGTTGTGAGCTATGCGCGATTGTCATGAGTACGTGCCGCGGGACAGGGGAGACTCACATCGTCGTCAGGATAGCGCATGTCCTCAACCAAGCGGAAGTCGTCGTATCTCTGATGATCTTGGGGACTCTGGTGAAGGAGGCGTTGGCCGCGTAGATGGCGCCAACCAACGCGACCGCCAGAGCAGCGGACCCGCAAACACCGACTGCAATAGCGCTCATCGTCAGCAACAGGCGGGGAACTTGAACAATCTTTCCGAAACAGCTGGTCTAGATCTCTCGACGAGCTTTGCAAGACAGCAGGCGATTGGGGACGTTGAATCAATGGCGGTGTCACGAGGCGACGGAATCAGGAAGGTCGCTCAATTGCGGGGCGCAGCAACGAAATAAGTAAGCGGGAAAGAGCCCCTTGAGATGACGTAATCAGCATGAACGCAGCCATACAAAATTGATCAGACAAGAATCATATGTCGTGGTGTTAAATGAAAGAAATTTACAAACTCAGGGCAGAAACCTGGACACTGAGCTGGCGACTCGCCTGACGGGACTCGGCCGCGAAGGTGTGTGTGGATGAGGATTTATGGTGGACTCGAGTCATGTTGGAGATAAAACCAACGAGATACCATCAAATAAACATCGATTCCCTTCTCTTATAATATGCAGTATATCATTGTTGTACGCTCGTACCTTCTATTATTAATATGCACGGAAGCGACGTTGTGGTGACGATGCAGTCGTTCTGGGGTCTGACAATGTTGATGGCCATGGTGTGCTGTCCTTCACTCGATTGAAAGTGAGATAAGGGAGTAGAATCGAATCGGTTGTACTTTGTATCATAATAAGCCCATTAAACTTGACACTTGACTGTGTCTCTGTTCAACAATAGATCACAGAAATTTGGGCTATCTTACCAATCCCGCGGATGGCTTAAGCTATCCTAGCGCTCTCCGTGTAGCAACAAATCTTGCACAGTTAGAGAAATTTAGTTGCGTTAAACATGGTTGAATACTTAGGCCTATAGCCTAGGGGCGTGGAACTTACTTCCAGTATTTGTAAATATCAGAGATGACCTATAGCTTTCACATACAGTCTGTGCCGGGTTACTTCCAAATGATTCTTTCCATAGGCGAGCCACTTTCCACTAAGCGTCTTCGTAATCTTCTCAGCACTCCATCCGGCCCTTACCATTGCAGACACCAACTTGGGGTAATCTACAAGCGACTCCGGAAGCTTAAGCATCTGAGCACTTGTTCCTCGTGGCGTTGATCTGGCCTAGTCTTTATCTCTATGTGCTCAGACCAGGTAAGGTATTCGCTAGGTCGCGCGTTGACTCACTAGATGTAGTGCGTTGAATGTTTTCCACAATTTCAGGATAACTACCAAGGCAAAAGCTACTTCTTCCTAATTCTTCTCGGTAAGCAACCCACAACATCCACCTTCCAACCATCTGCCCGCCTCTTTTGCTAGGCAACTCAAGTATCATCAAGTCCGCTCATAGCTTAATCAGACAATCTGCTTGGTCCTGAAGTTGAAGTGGTGGTTATCAGCCGAGCCAATCCAGTAAGCATAGACATCCCACACTCCCGATACGGCCGACTTCTCGGCGTACTCCCTCCCAGAGTAGGAAGCATCACCATTGTCGGCACCAGAGAATAAAGCCGTCCCATAAGCCAGCCACTTAGTTCTATAGTCGGCAAGATCTCCCGCGTTCGGGTCAAGCGCGACTACTTTAAGCCCGCTTGCCCCAGTGTAATTGGGCTCGGCCAAGATGCGGTTCGACCAGGTCGGCTTCTGGGAAAGGCCGGTTGTGTTTGGATTGAGATAGATTCGGGCAGTGCCAACGTTATTGGACAGGTCCAAGGAGTCTGCGAAACTTGTTAGGGGGGTACGAGTGGAGGATGCTGGGTAGAGTTACAGGTGACAGGTGCATATTCGGGATTGTTCAGAGCCTTGTAGTCGCCGAGATAGATTGTTTCTGTTGTCAGGTTAGCAGCTGTCAGTGTTATTTATAAGATCCATTACACTCGCATACCTCCGTTCGAGAAGACCTGAAGATTGTTGACCTCAGTCGTGGTGCTGTCTCCATAAACATACAGCGGCCCGGTGTATACTTGTGCTGAAGCGAAGCTAGCTAAAGCTGCTATGAGGGTGTATGTGGCCTTCATAGTTGTAACAAGTAAGAATTGACTGCTTACCAATTTTCGTTGATGATACTAATTTGGAGCTGAAGGCATTAACGTCGTTCGGCCCCTCGAGCTGCTTTTATATTTTTTCCAATCATTGAACAGGGACTATCTTTGCATATGGGAGAGCATGATTATTTATGATTACAGTACACGCCATAAAAGTCAACCTTCCGAAACTGAAACCACTTCCTGGCCGATACGCGCTTACTTTCGATGCTTGCCTGTGTCACTATTGAAAGGTTGAGAAAGACCGCCCATGTATGATGCGACGTGTCAGCGAAACGATTGGTCCGTTTCCGAGAAATGGTTACAAAAGCAACATAGCCCATGATCATCTACCAGGGTCGCGGCAAATCCCCTGCAAGTGCGGAGGCAAATGGGTACGGAGAGATGCGGTTTGCCGGCACACGCCGCCGATGTTGACTTCCAAATCTAGTTCGGCAAAAGTTCCGGATCATTGCGTGCCACCATCCAAAGTGGATTCCATCGAATCATGTTTCTTGAGCCCTGGACTTTGCAGATGAGGATGCCTTCGTGGTATTGATCCCCTCAAACTCCCCTTATCAAACGTCTGGGGCTCTAGTCTTCCATAGTAATCACTGCCCGGAAACGTATGTCACCACTAACCATGGCGTCTTTTGTGTTCATAGCATGTTAGCTCTCATCCCTTACTCTCGAGATTATACGCAAAATAACTTACTATATGCTTCGTTGACCTGTTCTAACGGCCATGTCTGTGTCATACAATTGACCCCATGCAACTTGGTAAACGCGATTGTGTCTTCTGTATCTGTTGCGTGACCTGAAGGCCAGGAGTGAACAGAGAGCCCGTAACCCATCTGTATAAATGAGAAATTGTTAGCCTGACTTTGAACAACACATTTACTCTTCTCCACGTGGGTAGATGACACTTACCAGAGTAAGAACGCTAATCGACAAGTCACCAGCAACTTTTCAATAAAGCGTCTTGTTAGCTCGATATTCCCGATCGAGAGTCCATGAACAACTTACCAGAGAGAACCAGTAACTTTCCAAGAGGGCCCAGCCCGCCGAGCAATGGTGTTATGTCCGCGCCGTTGGGAGATGTCGAAACAACAAGAGATGCACCACCTAGTTCCTTGAGGGTGCTGACAGGATCTTGGGTAGCTGCATCGATGTACTCATGTGCTCCCAGGCTCTTAGCAAACTGTTCCTTGTCGCGCCCACGGGAGATAGCCACAACCCGGTAGCCAAGTTTATTTGCGTACTGGATGGCAAGATGCCCCAGGCCACCAATACCATGGATGACAACCGTCGATCCATGGGGCACATTGAGCTGGCGGATAGAGTTGAAGGTCGAAACACCAGCGCACAGAATGGGTGCATAAAGCTTAGCGTCGATGTCTTCGGGGATTCTGACCCCTGACTCGGAGCGAATCTTGCAGTATTGGGCATCTTGACAAAGTTAGAAGAAATCATCCCCTTTGCTGGCAGTGTATGTTTGGAAACTTACATCCTCCTCCGACAGTCTCTCCATTTATAACCTTGTTATCGCACATCTGAAACATGCCTTTTTGGCAAGCATTGCACGTGCCTGGAGTAGCTCTGTTAGAGTAGTGACTAAACCGCTTCACTCGGATGAATTTCTTACCATCGTGTCCTCCATGCCAGCCACCACCGATCCGGTCACCAACTTTCCACTTCTTCTCGCCTGAAGGGACTGCAGCCACTCTTCCGATAAACTCATGACCAGGGACGAAAGGGCTGGAATCAGGGGTATCAGTTTCAGTTCCTCAACGATTCAATCAATGAAAACATACAAACCAGCTCCCATGCCGTTGAACTGAGGAAACTTGTCCGAATGGCAAACGCCACAAGCTTCCACCTTTATCAAAACCTGCCCATCGGAAGGAAGAGTCAACTCAACCTCCTCGACGACCAGAGGCCCGCCGTTCTCCTTGAAGGCGGCTTGTTTGAAAGTCTTGGGGAGGCTCATTGTTCGATATTTTGGGCGATTGCTGGATTGTTTGAGCAAGGTTTGCTTTTCCGAATTGATTGATTTAGAGATGTTCTGATGTCTTGAAATTGGGATTCCGTTCTTCTCATGCGACTTATATGCTTTATGTACTATTTCACCACCCCGCATGGGGCCTACTGCCGCTCTACAATAAAGATACGTCTAGGCAATCCACCCTTGCGCTTTAAGGAAATGTGGATGGAATAGCGGTTTCCGTTGTGCCGGAGTTTCGGAGCTTGGGAGTTAATTGGGAATGTCATGGAGTTAAGAAGCAAGCCGTGAGTGGGCGACAAAAAACATGACGCACCACGACACTACGCGCTCAGCCTCTCATATGTAAGTCATTGATTATTATCAGTTTATTGAAAGAGAAAAAAACCCAGAACAAGAATAAAATGGACTTTTTTGTTGAGGAGACCGTTTATTCTGTCATTTATTGCGCCCAGAGATTGCAAGTTCTTTTGTCAGAATAGAGTGTTTAGCGAGCAGTGTTTTTTTGTCAGGCATCACCAGGGCGGATATTAGGGTAAGCGCTAGCTGCGGTAGTTTGCCATATCGAGTAACCGAGATCATCGTAGCATCAAAAGGTGGGTAACGCGGCACGAACAGACACGCTGGCGGGAGGAAGAGACATGCTTGTAACCTGCGAGCAGACTTCATAAACATACAATGAATTAAAGCAAAGTGCGACCTGCAGTCACCTACTACATAACTCTATCTTATAACTTGATACTGTTTTTCTATTTAGCTAAAGCTAAACCCAGGCTAAAAGGATTATCAAAGAGCTAAATACCGAAGTGAACAAACGGGGCCCAAGAGATAGATCCCCCGCCTAAGGGAACCATATCCCTATCCTGGGATACATCCTCCTTCTTCCCATATGTTGCCTCTCTAATCCGTTGTTCAGCTCTCGTTTCATCATCATTAAGGACCCATTCATCCCGAAGGCTTCTGATAGCATGGTGAAGTCCCTCACTCACGGAATCATCGGTTAACTTTTCTTTCTTGATCCAATTATAGGTCATCTTGGCAACATGATAACATATCTCATCGTTGACCATGCGCAACGTCCCAATGACATGGCGGAAACCAGCCACCTGACATGAACTGATAAGGTGTAGTCCTTCATCGGGAAGCCCTTCCGATGAGATATATCCTGTGTTACATGCGGAAAGGTAGGCGAGAAATGGCGCTCGTTTGTACAGCTTCAAGTCAAGAAGATCCTGCATTGTGATAGTCCCGGGATTGATTTTCAGGGAGCTTTTCAATGGGTCAAAATGGTCCGCCTCCCCATGACCAGCAAAGTGGAAGATTTCGCAATCTACCAGCGAGCGAAGGACCTCCTGTCGGTCAGCGTTTGGTTTGCTTACTTCCAATTCCATCAAAGAACATATTTCTCGAGTTCATCAATCTCTTTAGGTGCATGTTTAAGTTCCTGGACACCTACTAACACCGCTTTTCCGAGTGGCCGAGAATTCGAAATCAATGTACGATGCTGGCTTTGAATCAGTGCTCGAACCGACGAACTATATGAGGAAATAGCTCGGTCCATGACGGTATTCGTAGATCCGTGATAGTGGTATCCGGCTGCGTGGAGTGGGAGGTTTGAGAGAGCGCCTGTGGGGATCCAGATGATACGCGGCCAGGAGGTAGAAGCTGAGTCTACCGACTGAAGGTAACCTAAGTCCTCGAGTACCGGGCACACTATCACATCCCAGAGCCACTCCAATGTATTCCGGTCGAAATCTGGCAATTTCGCATGGGCTTCTATATCTTTCTTTTTGAGGCCTGGAAGCTCTAGAGCCCTGATTTGGTTTGGTTGAATTAGGAGAGCATCACACCGACGAATGTCAATATTGATGATCACTATAGGGCCGCGAGCTGCAGCAGATTTTAGATCTTTCTCTGAAGAGGAAAGCAAAAATCTATCGAAGCCGGGAAATGACCGAATCTTCTGTATCGTTGCCTCCAGCTTTTGGCTCAAATAATGACGCGGGTTAGTCCTACCGCTAGCTGACCCTGGGGGTGTATCGAGTTTCTCCCTGAGCCGGGTGAATTCCTCTGCTAATTTAGGGTGCAATGCTTGAAGGTCAATGATATCAAGACGAAGATCGCCTAATGAGTTTAAGATGATGCCCCTGCCTAGTTCAAGGTACTGAATAACCTTGTACAACTCGTCGCCCACGTCTAGGGCGAGCCCTACCACAGACGAAGCCAACCCAACCGCAGTCTCTAGATATGACTGCTTATCCGAGACCTCGAAGGATCGGGGAGTTAATTTTGGCATGAGCGATAATGTTTTGACGGCTGCGCTATAGGCTGCTGGTATTCTCCCAGCCTCAATGTAACACGCAACTAGGCCGCAACCCACGTGTACACGACTCTTCACCCGGGTCGTAGGATGCTTAAAAGCTTTTTCAAGCATATAAATTCCGATTTCAAGATTTAGGGAATGGAAGTCGTTAACAAACTCCCAGCAGAATTGCATGCCAATGAACTTCAGCTGTGATGCTTCCTCAGGTCTGTTCAGGTCATCAGCTAACTGCAAAGCATTTACGGCTATTTTCAATAGTCCCTTGTAGTCTGCTTCATAGTAATTCCCATCATCCTTCTGACTGCATACAGCTCGCAAGGAATTCAAGTATACCGGAAACCAGGTGTGGTCTGTTGGGCACAGCGCAACAGCGGTCATTCTGCACCTGAGCGCTTTATCGATGTCATCGGTGGATTTTGCGTCTTCATATCTAGATAGGTAGGATTTACTCAAGCCCAGGAGTATACTGGGCTGGTGATGCATATTCCGGCCTTTAGCGAGGGATGCAGCTCCTTTATAGTGTCGGATGGATTCTTCAATATCCTTGTAATTCCCCAAATATTCGAATCTCAATCTGAGGAGCGTTCCAAAGATTTGTAATGCCCCAATTGCCACTTCCGCCTGAATCAGCACAGGATCCCAGTAGTCTCGCATCCAAATAAGAGATTCTTTTGCAAGATTGGGTAATTCCTCTGACGCCTGAATCAGCAGAGGATCCATGTAGTCTCGCATCCAAAATAGAGATTTTTCAAGATCAGCTAATTCCTCTGTCCGGGAGAACCTTTGTCGATAATTCAGGGCCAAGGAGAGTTTGGCCCATGACTGTAAATGTTTGTATTCCACCGAGAGATCCAAAATTTTCTCACAATGTTTAATTGAAATGTTGAGGTCCAATATCGCGCCACAAAGATGGAATCTATCTCCATAGCCGACAGCCAGTTTCTGAAATAACTCCAGACTGATGAAGAATGTAGAATCGGTGGCAACAGCACATATATCTTCTTCATATTGAGTAATGGATTGATCAAGGTCATTCGAGACATCCATGTTCAATGATCGATTGTACATCTCCCTCAAGCATATGAATCTCTCTTCTCTGTAGACGGTTTTACCCTGCATGAAATCTGAAGACTTCTTTAAGTGATCTCTAGATGCTTTCAGATCACATGACGCACCGTTGATATCGAACCTGAACCCATAGGCTTTTCCAAGTGCCAGATGAGAGATAGCTAGATCCGGTTCTTCACTTGGTGGCGTGAGGTAGATATGGTACTCAAGGAAACCTATCGATCGGTCGAGATCATAGCTGTCGCCATAGCCCCAGAATACCACATTGAAGTATGCTCTTCCAAGAAAACCCACTTGATTTCGCCATATTAGAGACGGAACTTTCTTTTCCGTAATGCTTTCGAATAATAGAATACAAGTTTCCATGAGGGATATATTCTGTGAGCGTAAACCCTTCATGTAGATAGTCGACGCCAGGCTGCCGACTTTTTGATTCCGTAACATTTCGTCCGCATCTTGGAGCGAATAGAAGCTTAGGAGAACCTTGGCCTGAATGGCAAGGACTTCATCATCGCTTGTGAACAGAATGGCTTTTTCAAAGACTTGTATAGCCGAAGCAAGACTTTCAGGCTGTGCGGTTCTTTTAAATTTGGCTGCATGCAAGCCGCCTAGGGAGAGTAACAACGAAGATTCGCAGTCACGATCATCCACATTTTTGCAGTCAATGGCTTGTTGGAGATAGTTGATAGCTGTTTCAAGATGGGCGATTTGGCGCGAGATAAAGTATTTGACTTCAAATATGCGTCCGAGTTCTTCGTACGTTTCGTAGTCAGTTTTGTGGATTGGATGATTGACCGGTGTGCTTGTTGTGAGCTCTTGACCACAGTCTGTCGCCTCATCCACGTGTTCTCCGCCACCCACAACTCGAAACGGCTGCACCACGCCGCAGTCATCAGGGGCCTCTGTTTGGTCGGTTTCGAACGGCATCTCTTCGAGCAAAAAGCCCTCGATCGGTTCTGAGGCTGCTCTTGCTTTCATCTCGCGATTCATGGCCAATTTGCGGTATGCTGACGATCCGTCGCCCTGGGATCTTAGATCAGGAGACAGATGTGCAGTTTTCATTATCCGTTAGGTAGCAATGCAATCGAACCAATTGCTAACGCTCATCTGGCTAAGCACGTGATTCGATGAATAAGACGCCAATTAATGCTTTCAGTGAAGCTTTAATTAAATAGAAAAATCAAGATAGAAAGAAGATTTATTGGTTTATTAAAGTAAATAAAGATTAAGCCTTATAGGCTTAAAGCTTTAGCTAGCAATTTTGAACTTAAGAGCGTATTATTGAAGGCAAATAATATAATCTTTAACTTGTAACTACATGTATAGAAGTCTACTATATCAAGTAACCAGGATCATCGTAGCATAAAGAAGTGGGTAAGGACGCAATGAACAAAGACGCTGGTGGGAATAAGAGACATGCATGGTAGATGATAAGGCCGCTGCCTTGGATTCTCGTTCTCGAGACATGTTGCTCAGATCATGAACGTTCAATTGCCTAGAAAGGAAGCACGCTTCCCATTCCAGGATCTCCATCGTCTTAAGTCTCCAATATCAAGTGCCGCCCCTCACCGCCGGTCCAGCTTGCATGATCACTCACGATTATTGACAGAAGGGGGTCTGAATCACCGGGCCACTTGACTATTGAGAGGGGAAAGACATGCATGCAGCTATTCCGTTTACACTCTTCCCCGCAGCCCCAGCTGCGCGGTGGCTGGCTGAGAACCAACATCCAATCTCTCGATGAAGCAAATATGGTAAAGTATTACGCAAGCACACTGACCCATATGACAACATGAGATTCGCCGATATGCCTCTTCCCAGCCCTGTTCCCGAGGATCACGCGGAGAAACCTGTTTCATCATAATATCATACACCGAGGTCCCCAGAATCTCTGGCGGAAGCAAAATTAGAAAGAAAGGCACTAAAAAGGAAACCCAGGAAGAAAAAGAAACTTAGACAAGGGGTCCAGACGAACTCGGCCGTACTCAGCCCTGTCTTATCTGCGATACCTGTCCCAGAAACTGTGAATACGATCAATCTGCCCGTTGGTGAACTCGGAATAGCACTCACTGCGTAATCAATCAAGTCAGCCATTACGAAATCAACAATGCGGAGAAAGAAAAAAAAAGAAAAACCTGAAACATTGACGCACTCTGACGAATAATCCATGTAGTTATGGATCGGGTCCAAACCCGGCTTGAGAGGACACGAGTCCCTCCCCTTGGGACACCCAGCCGACGCGCTCGCCTGCGCGGGCGTGTCGTCGACCAGGTCGTTGTCGCCGACGCAACCCCCCTCGAAGGTGTGGATGAGGCCGAACCAGTGGCCCGCCTCGTGGACCGACGTCTTGCCCAGGCGGAAGTCGACCATCGAGCCCCCCGGCACCGTGGACGACAGGACGGAGCAGCCGTCGCGGTAGAAGTCCTCGGAGCCCTGGGCCGCGTCGGTCGGGTAGTAGCAGTACCCGAGGTCGCCGTGGAGGTCCTCGACGTAGTAGATGTTGAGGGCGCGGTAGCCGCCCGAGCGCAGCGCGCGCTTCATCCCCATCTCGTCCCCGTCCCGGGACCACTTGGTGTTGATGGTCTCGGTGGTGCCCCTGAGGTTGAAGGTTATGCCGTACGGCAGGTATGACTTGAGGAGGACGGCGAACTGCCTGTGGAGGGTGCTGATCTTGACTCTTGGGTCAGTTTTTTCTGACGGCGTTGATGCCCAGGATGTACCTACGCTGACTAGTTTGTCCCTCGACGTGGCGACAGTGTGTAAATAAACATCCACCTCTATAGTCCTCTTCACCCTTGAAATACGGTTATCATGGCGCGCGATACTCTCCCGCTCAGCGAATTGCCGTCCCACTGCCAGGAACTCTGGGCTAGGGGGTGCCGTCCCACAGCCCGATCCATCATGGGCCTGGGCGAGCAGGGCACAGGCCAGTAGAATGAAGAACGGAAACAACATTTAAGCTATATCTTGGATTAGAGCCAAAGCAAGTTGGCTAAAAGCAGGGAATATGGTGGTATATTTGTGTTGTATTGAAGGAACCCTCAGTCTACCATCTACTCAAGACGAACCGCTCAGGACATCGGGAGCTTAATATATAACGGCGGTGATGAGACATCGCCCGTTGCGCATCCGGCGCCTTCATCCGCGTTAGGCGAGCACGACACCTCCATCGCAACTCATGCAAGGTGGAGGAGCTCCAAAGAGGGGTGTCTGCTGGGAAGAGCAACTCACACCCCTCCCGAGGTCTCAGCCTCGGAGAAATAACTCTGGCCACGCTTACTACCGTGAAACCCCCCAGAGCAGCTTGGGAGCCAAAGATGTCGGCGATGGACGACGTCCCATCACACGGCTCAGACCATGATGAGTCAAGGGCAAATAAGCTATCGTTCGATCCGGTCATGTGGTGCCAATATGCACAATAAGGATCAATGATCTATCAGAATACAAAAGTTCCCTCCTCGAAATGATCCCAACCAACCAAGGGATGCCATGGGAAATCAAGAAAACCTGTTTGCTTACTTGGTTCTTTGGCATGCGAGAAGGAAATGGGAGACATTTGCCTGTCCCCTTTCTCAGTTGGCTGTGGGGAAGTCCTCACATCTCCAGATCATGGCGCAGAGAAACCCTTGTATGGAGAGGGGCGGGATGAGCAAAGGTTTCCGTATGACTCGTGTGAGGAGCACAGTCGATCCTATTGAGAAGCCTGGTTTGGCTCGCTCCGTGGAATGCAGAAGACGATGGCACCATGATATTTTCCAAGGATGGAATGATGAAGCTGGCCTGGGGCCCAGAAGTAATACCCTTCCCCCCACGGGCGCTGAGTCGGTGTCTCTGTTGTAGTTTGTAGCCGGAGGAACCCGGTTTCTATCGACGATCCGATGCAATCTAAAGCCCGTACGTGAGGTTTGTGTCTGTCCCTATACACCGGAGAAGGAAAAGAAAGATCTTCTCCTTGAGGGATGTGCCAAAATTAGATGATTTCGCCTCGGCATGGAGTTTGTTAGTTGTCGTATAGGGATCGGCCAGCGCTGTACTGGCATGTCCCAAGTCTAAGCTCCAACAAGAGCAGAGAGCCGAGCAATTGCCTCATATCAAAACGCTTGACCTGCACACAAAGGAGCCAAAATCACAGAATATCCTGCAGATACGTCCCCCGGCGCAAAGACTCCGAAGCGCTCTTAAAAGCCGATGGCAAAAGTTCCTTGGGCCGGGCCGCTTCTTCCCGAGAGCACTGGTGGAGAAGGGGGATTTCACTCCCAAACCATGACCACCGAATCCCAGGTGAGCCCTCCGCAATCCGCTTCAGGTCAAATGCTCCTTCTCGATGTGATGTGTCACCGCTGTCTCGTCTCCCTCGAAGCCACCGCACAGCGGGCAGGTCACCAGGACCTCCTGCGTCCTCGATGACGTCTCCTGCTGCGTGGGCTCAGGCCCAGGCTCGGGCTCCGCGGGGAAGAAGTCGGCCAGGCTCCTTGGCGGCGGGCCCTCGGGATACTCGTCGTCGTAGCGCACGTCGGTGTACCGCTGCGTGAAGTTGGCCCTGCCTGCGCTCGGCTTCCCCGCGTCGGCCGCACCGCTGCTGCTTCCTGCTCCTGCTCCTCCTCCTCCCATGCGCTGCACCCTGCCGACCTGGCCGTCCTGCAGGCGGACCTTGATCCCTCGCGGGTGGTTGCCCTGCGTCAGGACATCCTGCACCACGCCGGGTGTCTCCCGGCCCGTGGGCTGGTCTGCTTTGAGGACTATCGACACGCTGGCGCCGGGGACGACCTGCTGGACTGTTGGGACGGACCGGGCGTGGTTGGATCGCGAGGGTCCGTTTTGTCGGCCGTTGTTGGGGCGTTGCTGCTGCTGCCCCTGGGATCGGGGCTGGCGGTTTCTAGGGCGTTTGAGCATTCTTCTGGTCGAGGGTAGAGATGTCGAGGGCGGTCCGAAGGATGGATGTAGTCGGATTAAAGGTTTGCTCGTCAGCCCTGTGTGTTGTCGTGGGAGGACTTTGCGCCTGGTGCGACTTTTAGTCCCACTTGGTCCCTTGCCGGCACGGCAGAGTCGACCCCTGTCAGTAGCGCGTCAATACTCATTTGTTAGTTAATAATCAAGTGTTCAGTAGACAAGGAATGGGGCGTCAATAAAGCAACACGGACGGACTCTTCGTTGTCTCTCTGTTTGGTTCACCTTGTCAGAGACGATCTGGTACCGCTGGTTCATTCATCATCACAACCACAACTAGCCAATCGTATTATGCAGGGGTATATTCTATTTGGTATAATACTATGATTTGGGAGAGCTTTTACTTCTCGCATCTATAATCCGGCCATCCTTCCTTCCTATTCATGGCCATAGCCCAGGCGCAGGAATCATCATGAGACAAAAGGAAACCAAAACGCCGCGTCGCCCAGATCCATCATTTCATCACGACGGCTTCCCACCCGACTCATTACTTTTTAAGAAATCCCACGGCCCAAAAACATCCGTCATCCAGGCCATGTCATTAAAATCCATCGGTCCGTTCTCCGGGAGGAGCGGGTTCTTGTCGCCGCCCATCGCCGCCGCGCCACTGGGAACCGGGCCCGGCACAGGCATGCCAGCTACCGATCCAGATCCCAGGCCGCTGAACCCTTGACTACTGGGTGTCGGCAGGCCGCCCAGCGCCGCACTGGCCAGGGCGGGCTCCCACATTGCCTTGATGTTCCTCATTATCTTGCATCCCTTCTGCCAGAGAGTCTCGTCGCCCGGCCCGGTCTTGAGCACGTAGACCTGGTTCAATTGCTGGAATCGATCGTGCGCCTGGTCGAGAAACTCGAGCAGGTCGACCGTGTGGCGCATCATGTCCTTGTCCCAGGCCGGGTCTTCAGTGGTGGCCAGTCGGTAGAGAGAGACTTGGCATTGGAAGAGATGAATGAAGCAGCTGAATGGCAGGCCCGGGAGCTCGTTGATGGGGAGGGAGAAGAACAAGTCGTGCCAGCCGCGAATTGATCTCACGCATCCGTACATGGAATCGATGCGCTGCGCATCAACCCCATAGGGCGTGTCCGTGAGGGACTGCGAGTACAGCCCTGTGGAATGGATCTGGACCTCGCAAAAGTGAATGTGGAGACGGATTACATCTAGCATCAACTCTCAGTCAGCTCTGATCTCAGCTGGGTTTGGATTTCTAGAGCTTACAATGTGCTGCAACATTTGCCGGCATACTGTCCTTGAGCGTGCTCAATCGCGAGAGCATCGCCGTTCTGAAAAGACAGCTGGGCGCCACGTTGGGCCCTCCCCCAAGCAGATCCCGTACAAGGAGGTGGTGTGCATCATCAGTGATCTGCTGGACCTTGACCAGGTTCGTAAGGATGACATCGAAGGGGCTTTCCTTTTCCCGTTCGAGTATCTCGATGGACTCATCTATGTGTGAGGTCCACCGGAGTGTTTCCATTTTACCAATAAACGAAGCAAATCTAACCAGAGTTAGTATGAAGAACGGAGATATGCATGGAGAGGTGGATAGGCACATACACAGATGTGAGGTACCAAGTGGACAGAAGAGCCCTGCGTTCTTCCAATGTTCTAATCTTGGGCCCGGGCGGCCGTCCTCCCCAAATTTTGAAACAATTGTGAAAATACTGCTCTTCAATTGGCGATCTCGCCAGCGACAGCTCGTGCAGAACGCTCGTGGCCAGCTGCGTATACAACACCAGGAAGGGCTTCGAATCGGGACCGCTAATCATCGAAGCCCAGCCCAGATAAGCAAGCAGCCCCAACAGGATATCCATACTCGGCTCGTGGTCCATGACGACTCTCTGGGCCACCTCTCGCCGGACTGTGACTTTCATTCTTTGCATCTGCGGTACAGACATTGAGGTGACATTCATGATACAGAGCCAGAGAAACGGACGTTCCCGGCGAAGTGCGGCAGCGGTGACCTCGGGGGGCAGGTACATGAAGGGGAACCTCTCAAGCCAGCCGCGGAACTTGTCCAGGTAGACCTCGGCCTCGGCCGGTGTGGGCTCAGGCGCGTCGTCGGCGGCGGCATCAAACATGGGCGCGCTGGACGGGAACTGGGAAGCATGCAACATATTGGTCGGCGTCGAGGCAGACGCGGTGGCAGCCGTCGCCAGAGAGTCGAGGCGGCTGGGCATGTTGTGCGACTGCTCCAACGGCTGCTGTGGGTACGGGTCTTGTGCGACGGGGTTCGAGGGCGGCGGTTGCGGCTGCTGCGTCCCTCGCAGAATCGAGACCAGGTCGTCGAGCTTCTCCTCAAGCTTAGCCGTGCGCGACGAAGGCGACTTCTTGGGGGCTCGCTTCCTCAGGGCGATGATGGGCAGGCACTCCTTGCCCAGGCGGTCGCAGCGCACGCAAGAGGCATCGGGGTACTTGACAATGCACTTAGCCTTGGCCCGCGAGCAGTTTGTACACGACCGGCCATAGCCAGCTGGATTGCCCGTGCCGCCAGTCCTGGTCGGCGAGGGTGAAGGTGCCGGAGCAAATATTGGCGGCGGGACCATGGTCTCTCCCTCGGGGGGCTCCCTCGGCGAAGAGCTGCCTCGGCGCAGTGGCCCGTTTCAAGCTTTTGCGGCTGCGTGCTGATGCAAGGCTAGCGAGCGTCCCCTGGATCGTCGTGGCGGCGCCGAGATGGGCTGGATGCGCATCAACGAATCCCGACGAGGTCAGTGTTGCAGTGGTGTGCGCAGTGGCGTGGTGGTAGGACGAGAAGCCGCTCGGAACAGGGTTGCACGAATTCCGCTGGCAGTTTGCGGTGTTTAGCCCGAGCGGGAATTGAAGTCCTTTCGGCGCCACAAAACGGTAGACTAATCACCTCGGTAGGTATCAGAGTCAAGATAACACTGGCGGTGGAATGCAATGGGCGTCCTCGTCTTGGAGATGACGCGGAGAGATGAGACTGCGACGAAACGGAGTTCAGGCGGATTTATTTTATTGTCCCTCCAATTTTTTTCGCCAGAGGGGCTGCAGTGTTTGGGGGCTACCAAAGTGCTGCTCTATCGTGCCATCGAAAGCCGACTCAGCCGGTGAATTAGACCAGATCAGGCTTCGGGAGCGCCGGAATTTACTGCCCCCGCCAACTCCTAACACCGCCACGGCCAGGAACATTCAGTGAACATACAGATTCTCAGTATCGCGATTCGATTCGAATGATTCTCGCTGCAATTGATATGCCTAAGGTGGCCCCAGATTGATAGACGATTCTCTGCCTGTTTACTTGTGCAGGCCGTCTTTCACACGGTCCGACATCAAGTTAAGCGAGATGGCTCATTGATCTCAGGCTGGCTACCATGTCATACATCATCCCATGCACATCTCCTCGTATCTGGAAAGTAACCACATGGCAGCTCCCAATGCAACCCAACATCCAATCCTGTCGCAAGTCCACCAAGTATACCCGAAGGCAGCCACCAATCTTATCTGAGTTGTCGTCATGGAGTGAGGCTGGATCTGCACCTCGGGAACGACCATCTCTCCGCATTCTGGCTATAGGGTAGGTAGGCAGGCCTCGGGTGGGCCACACTTACGGTGAGGCTTGTTTTGTTTAGTTCGTTCGAGTCGCTTCCTGCATCATGCATGTGCTTCGTTTCCTCATTGGCGACGATCGCACCAGAGCTCCAGCCGCCATTTTGGATATCTCCATCCTCACCGAGTCGGACCCCTGCCTCAACGACACCCCTTTCCGCTTCACCAAGCAGAAAATGAAGACGATGGTGGCACAATGGCTACAGCTCAGCAAACCCGTACCCGCGCCGCTCGTCTAGGCGCTGCCCACGGCAACAGACCCCTCCAGGTGCCCAAGGAATTCAACGCCGCCGTCAGCCATGTCCTCGGCACCACACCGACGGCCACCGTCACGCCCGCCGCGTCCTCCGTCTCCCTGTTCCTGACCAACCTCAGATTGCTGGATCTGGACCTGGTGGTCGGCTGGCCGGGCATTTCGCTCGATACTTTTGCTGCTGCAGGTGCTGCCGCCGCTCAAGGGCAGAAGAAACGGATCCAATGCGTCGAGTGGGCGCTCTTCCACCTCTTTGCCCTGTGGGACCCTGAAGAGACGGCAAATGTAGGTTTCCCACCACCAAGAGCCCATTCTTTTGTCTTTTACGGTTATTTACGAGGCAAATACTAACGTCAATCTTCCCCTTAGAAACTGAAACCCTTCTTTCCCCCACTCGACCATGTCCAAAGTCTCAACCTCCGCGCCGCCCTCCTCCGATGTCTCGAGCAGGCGAAGAAGAATGGGGCCCTGGGGCGGGATGCCATCCTCCGGAAAACAATGCTGGACGACTGCAAGGGCGAGCGGCTGGAGGATCTCCTGGCCGCCTTTTCCTCCGCCGTCCTCAAGAAGGTTGCGTCGCAAGAGTCTGCCGCCAGCGGCGAGCACCCGGCGCTCGCTCTATCCATTGCCCTGGAGAACAGGGGCTACACGGGTGACAAGACCGAGCTGAGCCTCCTCGTTCTCGCACACAAGGCGTCTCTACACCGACTCAAACGACAGAGGGACGTCAATGCGGCCAAGTTTCGAGACTTTGCCGACCTGCTGGGAGTCAAGGAGAGGACCTTGGTCCGGAAGAAGGAGGAGGCTCACCTGAGGGTGGAGAAGGGATCGTCCAAGACCGTCTCGGATGAGGCCAGGCTTGAAATGTGGAGGACACTGCGCAACAACTGGTCTGGCAATGAGCGATGGATGGAGACCCTGCTCTACGGGGATGCATCCGTCAAAAACGACGGCCCGTTTGGCATGCCGTTTGAGAGGATGTGGAGGCGGGTCCAGCAAAGCAGGCTGGCAGAGGTGGAGAGTCAAGATAGCGGGCTTCTGGAACAGCTCGAGGGTCGAGTGAATGCACACAAAGAGAGGCTCGAGAAGTGGCAGAGATACAGAAGCACCATGTTCCCTCAGGGTCAGGTCAACGAGTCGCCGTCAAAACGCCCGGCGCCGGTGAAATCGAAGAAGGGAGTCGATTTCGGATTCCGCCAACATGAGAATCTCGTGCTTGGGAGAATGAGCCCTGGGAAGCGGCAATCTGGATTAGGCGGTCGGATGACGGGAGAATATCGCGATATGCTGAGTGGACTCAAGAAGGAGTTGGCAAATGTGGACCAGACCCAGCCAACGGCTCTTTTGTTCCTTCAGCAGAGGAGAAAGCATGGGAAGAGGATATCTGGTGCTTCCGACCAAATTTCCGAAATCAGCTCCCTGGAAGACGACAGCTTGGAGATGTCCCCAGTGGAAGAAACAGAGCCTTCTCCGCCATTCAAGAGCAAACCTGATGCCCCGCGAAGACTCGTCAGACCAAATCTCGCTCGACCCGATCTCGGGTCTTTCAACTACCCCAAAGCTGCCTCCAACTCCGAGGCAAACAGCGTCACATCTCCTGATAATTTGGAAGACGGCTACTCACATCGCTCCTCCAACCCCTCCACCCCACGGGCGAGGTCGATTTCAAGTCAGTCGCCAAATAGGGTTCAAATCACAAACACAAGTGACGGGCCGATGACCGAATCTCCTACGCAGGAGCTCGCTGACCAGATCCTCGAGTCTATGGACCACGTGTCGCCTTCGCCCACCAAGCGACCAAAGGCGCGCCACACACTTTCCCTAGCTGAACGAACTCGCCTGTCGATGGCACCCCGGGGCACGTCACTGTTTCTTCAGGACGAGGAGGACCAGGAAGACGATGAGCCCACTGTGACTCTCAACATACCTCTGAACGACACCACCGAGATAGATCCCAATGCGGAAGTAGAGGATGATCTCATCAGCCGCACACGCAAGAGCATGGCCGGCTTCGAAAAGGCACGGCAGAAAGCCCAGCTGGAGCGACGTCGATCGCAACGCAAATCGAGGGCCCCTCCCCCGCCCAGGGAAAGTAATTTCCCCAGCCTGGAGGAGGAAGGCGACGACCAAGGCATGCTGGCTCAGGAGCTGATGGCCGAGGAAGACATGGAGGCGGTGTTTCGTTCCAGGCCTAAGATCCAGGCTAGTCCGCTGCCAAGCCCCACGAAGGAGCTGGATGAGTGGGATGATTAGTATGGATAGATTCGATCCTAAGCTTACGAATTATGAATTGAGGTTTCATTGAATAGAATGTACGAAGACTTTACAAGGCAAATAAGATTTTATAAGGCAAATAAGATTTTATAAGGCAAATATAACTGTCAATCTGTCATCTGAATCATGATCTTGATGTATATATTGTACAACTAGATAACCCTAGTATTACTCCTCATGTTGTACTGTACAAAACCCATAGCGGCTCAACATACATACAATACCAATTGCGCGAATGCTTTTTCTTTTCCCTTCAGTTCCTCACCATCTAATACACCGAACAGAAGAGGCCTCTTACCACCCCTGCTTCTTGAGCTCCAGAACCCGGCTGGCGGCGGCCTTGAACCCGTCCTTGAACCTGAACCTCCACCTCTCCATCCTGAGCCTCTTCCGCTTCATGCCCTTGCGCTCGTGGAACCTCTGCTGGTTGAAGAGCCGCTTCACCTTCTGCTCCTTGACCAGCCTGTCCAGCACGCGGAAGGCCGCGGCCGGGTTGCCCGCCTTCTGCGCGCCGCCGTACCGGCCCTCGAGGAAGACGGTCTTGCCCGTGACGGGCCTGGCGTACACGTTCTCCGCGGGGCCGCCGCGGGTGGTCGCCATGCCCGTCTGGAGGGCGTAGTTGTTGTAGGCGTTGTTGAGGAGCTGCGTGAGGTCCAGGGGGGCGCTGGCGTCGTAGGCGTGCGCGGGGGCAGAGCCGGCGGAGAGGTCCTGGGTAGGGGGGAGGCGCCCGAGGCGGGAGGAGGAGGAGGAGGAGGAGGTGGTGGGAGGTCGGCGTTGGGGGGCACCTCGGCGCTGGAGGCGGGAGCGCGGCTCGGCCTGGGAGGTTGGCTGGCCTGGGGGCGCTCTGTTGAGATGGGCGGTGTCTGGTCGGGCTTGAGGGTCGAGCGCTTCGGGGGGACGAAATTGCCTATGAGGGGGCTTCGGCGGACTGGTGCAGAGTCATCCAGGGCGAAGCGGGATGTGGTGAATGACCGGATGGCCAGTGGTGAGGTGAAGGGCGGGCGAGCTGCTGCCCTGGTGAGCAGCATGCTGCCGTATCTTGACGTTGAAGCCCTGTTCAAGGTGCGGTTAGTGATCTGTTCGGTGCAATTGAGTATGAGGCATGGGAATTTCTGGCTCACATGATCCGTTGGGAGGCTCACACGATCAAGCACCTCGAATGCTTCCACATCTTGAATTGAGGCTAGCTCGCCAAAGTTGACATGGCAAAATTGGTCGTCATCGGAAGAATGTTGATGCGGGTGGGCTGTTGCATCTGTGGCTGCATCTGAAGCGCCTCTGTGGCTGCACGTGGCTCAAGCGTTGCAAACGATAGTGGTGGAGATTGTGCCCAGAAGGGTTAGATCAATTCAACTGTTTCTTCATGTCTAATGTCTCGGCAAGATGCAAGCCACTCAGCCCTCATTATTACCTATCCAATCTCCATCTCTCATAGGGCCATGGCATGATGAGTTACAGGGGCAGTGATCGCTGACTCGCTGCAGCGTTGCAGTGGGGCCCCGCCCAGAAATCTCCTTCATGGCCATGCCAACGCTTGCATGACAGTCACTGCAGCCACCAGCAGGAGGCTTTTCTCCTCTGCCGTATGCCTCGTTTCCATGCCCTTGTACCTACCTTAGTCTCCAGTAGGCCGCAAGGTTCAGGGCCTGGGCAACGCGGGCTGCTGAGGCCTGAGCACGATGAGACTTGCCCTGGTCCCGAGTCAGCAGTCACGGGCAATAGACCCAGGCACGGGGAATTCCCCATTTTTACTCCCACGGACGGGTATTAACCTTCACGGCGTTACACTCTCGGCACCGGGACTCTCCCATCTTGCAACCTCTATCAACGACTAGCAGTTGACCTAGTGTGCAGATGCGTGGGTCTGGGGTTGGGAATACGCCTCGCCTCTCAGACGGCATGTCAATACTTTGTCTGTTTCTGTGGCAGCACTCTCCTCTCTGTTGCAGAGCCAGCAGCCCTTGGCGGTGGGTTTGCTGATCCATATTGGCGTTGGCAATGTTCAGCCGCACCAAGCTTGGGTTGGTTGGGCGCACACACACGCACTTCCGGATTCAACGGCTCTAGGATTCTGCCTGGTGCTCTTGGCCTCTTCGCCGCTTGTCCTAGATGGTCCAGACACAGAAAATGCCCGACGCCATCGATGGGCCATTCCATTTACATGCAGGCCAATGCACTTCGCCTATTGTTGCCCCCCACAGCGCGTCCCCCAAGCTCTCTTTGTTCTTAATCTCTGCCCGTCCCGTCCTCCCCTTCCCTCGCCTTCTGTGCTCCGTGAAGCTCTCTACGTGTGACTGCTACTCAATTCATTCTCGCTCGTGTAAACCAAGGAAGCTCTTCACTGTGCCAATCCAGCCTGATTCACCAGCCATCATCATGCGTTCCGCTGCTTTCACCCTCTTCGCCGCTGGCGCTGCTGCCCAGTTCACTCTCCCTCCTCTGGCCAACTTCGCCGCCGTAAACGCTGACTCTTGCGGCACTGTCGCTCCCGTCATCACCAGCTGCTACTCCAAGTTCGGTGGTTCCAACGGCATGATGACTGCCGACCCCAACGCCATCATTGGATGCGCATGCTGCACTGCCGGTTCCAACCTTGCCCCTGCCTACTCTGGCTGCTCCTCCGAGCTCAGGCCCAGCTCCAGCTCTGCTGCCGGTGGTATGTTTTCCGTAGCATTCTTGAGGCATTGTCCCGAGCTATAGATCTAACAGCCCAATGACTAGTCTACGGAAGTCTTTACTCCATCTGCCAGCTCGGCGCAACCTGCGGTGGTTCTACTGCTACCTCTACAAGGTCCGGTTCCAGCTCCAGCTCCAGGTCGAGTGCCAGCGCCAGTGCCAGTGCCAGCGGCAGCTCCCGCACCATCACCTCTGCTCCCTCCACCAGGACCAGTGCCAGCAGCAGCCCCAATGCCTCCGGTAACTCCCAGGCTTGCTACGATATGTTGGACATGTACTCCCAGTGTGTCTCTTCGACCAAGGGCTTCTCCGACCTGCCCTTCCAGTCCCAGGCTCCTTGCTACTGGTGAGTCAAAAGTTGTATTCAATCCTGTGAGAAGCTTCACTAACATGTAAACAGCTGCTCAACTGGCCGCAACACTGTCACCTGGCACGACGACCTCGACAACTACGCTGCCACTTGCGCTCAGTGGGCCTCCAGCGTTGAGACCTCCGTCTATAGTGGTATGTTTCGTGCCGAAGCTTGTCCAATTCCGAGCTTATAGTCCCTTCTAACACTCTCCCACAGTTGCCAGCCGATTCGCCAGCTTCTGCCACCAGTTCTCCGATGCTTGCGACAGCGCCGCTACTTCCACAAGCAGCAGCAGCAGCTCAGGCCGCAGCACTTCCAGCGCCAGCACTGGCGGCTCTGTCACGGGTGCGGGCCAGACCACTGCCACCCAGACTGGTGCTGCTGCTGCTACCACCACAACCCAGGGCGGTGATGCCACTCAGACCCGCGCCGGTGCTTTCGCTGGTATCGTCGCTCTCTCCGCTCTCTTCCTCGTTCTGTAAAAAAGTCCAAGGATTGCGAGTACCGCCACGAGTAATGTAATAGTGATGGAATAATATCCCAGAGTAAATCAACGAGCTCCACCCACGGTTGGACATGTTGACGTCCCGTTCCAAGATGGTACATAGTCACGGCACGCCTTCATGTCCTCGGTAATATAAGCGTATCAATACCCCATAAAATAATGAATCTATTACACGCATCGCTTCTCAAATGACTCTAGTTCTTTAACTTGTTTTGTTTCTATCTATGCTCTGAGATCCACATTTACCCGTTGCAATGCCTCAACCGCCCATGAAGGGTAGTCCTTTGGATCAGCGTACAGATTACCGAAGAACTCCTTGATGTACTCCGGGAACCGGTCCGCGAGAATCGACTCGCGCACCTCGCGCATCAGGTTGAGCTGGTACCACACGTTGTGTATCGTCAGCAGGTGCGCCGACACCGTCTCCTTGGAGGCGTTGTGGTGGATGAACGCCCGTGTCACACCCAGGCCGCCCTCGCTCTTCGGCCGGCAGCACTTGCATCCGCAGCCCTCCTCTATCGTGCCAAAGTCCCTCGCGTACTTGGCGTTGCGCATGTTGTACACCCCGTGCCTCGTGATCGCCGCGCCGAAGCGGGCCGTCCTCGTCGGCCAGACGCAGTCGAACATGTCCGCGCCCAGGGCGACGCTCACGACCAGGTCCTCCGGGAACCCGATCCCCATGACGTACCGCGGCCTGAGGTCGGGCAGGAGGGCCGTGCACGCCTCGACGACCTTGCAGAACTCCTCCTTGGCCTCGCCGCCGCTCAGGCCGCCGATGGCGATCCCGGGGGTGTCCCGCGCGACCATCTCGCGGCAGCACTCGCGGCGCATCTCGAGGTCGAGCCCGCCCTGGATGATGCAGAAGAGGTTCTGGCGGTCCGGGTTCGCGTGCGCGGCGATGCAGCGGTCGAGCCAGCGGACGGAGCGCTCCATGGCGAGGCGCATGCGCTCGTGGTCGGGGGAGGTGGTGACGAGGACGTCGTCGAGCTGCATCATGATGTCGCTGCCGATGCTGTTCTGGAGCGACATGGAGTGCTCGGGGGTGAGGAGCATGGGCGAGCCGTCGTGGGGGCTGAGGAAGCGGACGCCCTCCTCGGTGATTGTGGCGAGTTTGAGGAGGCTGACCATCTGGAAGCTGGAGATGTGTTAGTAAATACGTTCATGGTGTTTACTTCTTTGAGTGACTGTGATTTCCCCATGTCTAGGTGTAAGACCTCAGTTTCAAAGTGAATGTGAGCACTCACCCGCCACTATCCGTTAGAATATTGCGGTTCCATCCCTGGAGTTTATGTGCCCCGCCAATGGTATCTAGTACTTCCTGCCCAGGCTTGAGGCCAAGGTGATATGTGTTGTTGAGACAGAGTTGGCAGTTTGTCTCCTCCAACTGTTCTGGAGTCAGTCCTTTCAGTGAAGCTTGTGTAGCCACAGGCATGAACATGGGTAGTTGAACGGGGCCATGGGGTAAAATGAGATTTGATGCTCTAGCCCGAGTTGTCTATTACAGTAGAGAAAGAATTAGTGACCTTTCGCCGTATGGTAGTATCAAAAGACATGGTTGATGGTGGGGATAATCATTCAAAAGGCAGTCAGTGTATCAGTCTGGTGGAGAAATTCAACATACTGAACAACGTGCGAGCAACTCAAATGTAAGAGCAGGGGATGTGTAAACGTTGGATGCCATTTTCTTCACGGCTTGCATCATCCCCTAGTGCATAAGATGCGAAGATCTTCGAATCTGAAGTAGTACACAGCCTTCAGCTCCTGTCTCTTTGACTGATTCTGTATGTGAATTCCAAGTGAATCATTAGGCTCCAAATTGTGTTGGTTTGTCTATTCCCAGTGGGTGAAAAAAAAGTGCAGACATGCAGCCAGTGAGGAAGCTGGTACAGGGTAAGTCGACATTCAACTGCCCTCCGGCTTATCACCGGGAAAATATGGCGCCGCCGACCAGCAGACAATTTTCCAATCGCGCTGCTTGACCTCATCTTGGAATACTGTAATTGTATGCCAATTCGGCCATTGCGTGAGCTCCGTCGCAGCTCTTCACGATAAGCATGGCAGGGCCAGCCGTATCGCCCGGTGGCGCTCTGCTCCGGTCGTCACGGATGTTCTCCATTCCCAAACCGCTTCCTATTCCTCCATCTGCTTCCACCTTCCTGGGCGAGCAGAAGGCTTCTGCCACCATGACCAAGGCGCAGCCCCGGCACCAGACCATCACATCTCCCCTCCGGTCTCGCCAGAAGGGTGATTGGGGTTTGAAGCGCCCGCTGCCGCTCAAGACGACAATGGCGACCACGACACCCCTACTCCGCATCAATGAGGTCGACACCGTTGAGAACATTACCGACTTCCACTCCGCTGCCGATCACTCCCTCTCGCTCGAGAAGTTCCAGGAGCTCCGTATTCCCATGTCTATCCCCAGACGCGATGGTGAGGTAGCTTCGGCTACGAAGAGGAAGGAGGACAACATCAAATCCGTTTTTGAGGAAGGCTCGGATTTTACAGATATCAAGGACACCAGCGTCGACCATCGTTGGAAGTTCAAGGGTCCCTGGTTGGCCCAGATGGCCGATGGAGACTTCCTAAACTACCTGAACAAGAAGGTCCGGCCACAGCGCGCTCAGTTCAGGGCACTGCTGAGGGAGAGGCTGGCTGAGAGACTGACGAGCAGCCAAAATCGAGCAGCCGTCGAGGCTGGCCGGCCAACGCCGGAGCCTATCAAGGGCGAGGATATCACGGAGGAACAGTTTGCCGACTACATCCGCTCGTTGCGCAGCGATCGTGTGACCCTCTACGGCCTCGTGTCCAAGTTCCTTGATCTCCCTCCCCTCGGCACGCCTATCGGATTTGCTCAGAATAACTTGATCTTCTCGGATAGCAACCAGGCGACTGATAGGGTTACGGAAAGCCCATATGGAAAGTCTGGTCCTCCCCCCAGCCATCCTTCTGCTGGAATCGGCTACCTACGAACTGGTGCCTTTATGGAGAACCACGCCGTCTACGGCCCCCAGGCCAAGAAGACGCCGATCCAGGCCAGAATTGTTTCACCTAGGATTGGGCCTTCTCCTGCCAAGCTGGGTGTTGGTGGTTTCGTCTCCACTGTGCCTATTGGCTCTAACGAATTCAACTTAAGAACCAACGCTAAATACAGAAGACCGCTGGCCAATGGTATCACCAACCTGGACATTTCAACATACGGAGGTGCCAAGGCCTACATCGAGCCGTTCAGTGCCACCGTGGACCCTGAGGGCAAGGTGGTTGTCCAGGTCCGCGAGACCAGCGCCGAGGCCCAGCTGATTGCCAAGGAGATGCGTGGACTCAGCTCCATCTATGATGATTCCGAGTTAAAGAGAACCATTCCCGAGCCACAGCCTGCAGAGGAGTATCCCCAGCAAAGCCTTCACGACCGTGAGCAGGAGGGCTACGCTGATGAGGCTCCGCGTCGAGACTCGAGGGTGAAGCAAGTGTACGATCAGCTAATGTCTGAGGAGCAGAATATGTTGAGCAACTCGAGCAGTTATGGGCTGGACACTGAGCCGCCCTCTGAGCCACCCTCTGAAAAGAAGTGAGAGATGTTGACTTGGTTGGAAAGCCCAATTGTACAATGTAAAGATATCACACCATAGTAGTTAAAAAATCTGATATAAAATGTACACTATTACGAAACACGGCATACACATCCGTTGCTTCAATCGCGATTTGAGCAAGCTGCCCAGCTATGATCGCTTTCATGCCTAGCTCCTTAGGTCGTAGTCTGCTGACGTAACAAAGCTTGACAATGGGGCCAAAGCAAGCTCTTCAATGCGGGCAGTCAATCATGTGACCTAGCACGTGAGAGTTTCTAAAAACCCTAATTCTGAATATTGGTCGGTGGCCCCACTTCAACCTCCCAAACTCTATTCTGTGATAGCATTTGACAACCTCAATTCCTCTATTCGCCCAACAACGACTAACCACCACCTCACCCCCTCAATCACCCCGAGACAACCGCCAAAATGGGTCGCGTTCGCACCAAGACCGTCAAGAAGTCCGCCAAGGTGTAAGTATTCACCTCATAACATGAAAACGCAGGAACTCACATCAAACTTTAGCATCATCGAGAAGTACTACCCTCGATTGACCAATGACTTCGAGACCAACAAGCGCCTCTGCGACGAGATTGCCATCATCGCTTCCAAGCGTCTCCGCAACAAGGTGAGCATTTGGACGCCCGGCCGCTTGCTCAGTTTTCCCGACGACGGTGGCCCAAGAGACGCCCGATTAACCTGTGTATACTGCAGATTGCTGGTTACGCCACCCACTTGATGAAGCGTATCGCGCGCGGTCCCGTCCGTGGTATCTCCTTCAAGCTCCAGGAAGAGGAGCGTGAGCGCAAGGATCAGTACGTTCCCGAGGTCTCTGCTCTGGACTTCGCCAAGAACACCGAGAGCGGCCAGCTCGAGGTCGACTTCGAGACCCGCGACCTCATCAAGCACCTCGGCGTATGTTCACACCCGTTCCCCGTCTCAATGTCCACAACTAACCTAACCCATCGCAGTTCGACTCCATCCCCATCAACGCCCAGGCCGTCACCCAGGCCCAGGCTCCCGAGCGTGGTGGCCGCCGCTTCGACCGCCGCTAAATGTTACGATCGAACGAAGAAAAGCAAATGGTTTTTGGGGGAAATTAGGTTGTCTTGGGCACTGTCAATATTTCGGGTTTTTGCTACTTGGCGTCAGAGGACGGTAGTAAGTGCATAGATCTCAAAGAAAGATCTTCTCAACCCCACAAGGTGTCGCCGACTCTTTAGATCCTCTTCTAAAGATGACGCTTGATTGCCAAATTCCTCCCTCCTTTGCTTCATGTGAATTTGCTACCGTGATGCTGTCCGTTTGCTGTCTGGGACACGTCGTTGGTCGATCCCAGAGCGAACCCTTGCTGCTGTGAGGCCTGGCGAGAAAGCTCCCAAGAAACGATTCCTGACACTGTTGACCCAATGTTTTGCGATCTCAAGCGCTACATACACGGTTGCTGCTCAACCTAGGCTGTTGACGTTGCAGATTCTTCTTGATTTCTGCTCTTTCTGTGACAAGTTTTTCCCCTGGTATCATGTGGTATCATAACTCATTCGTAAACCTTCTTATTCCGCACCCCTCGTACTCTTGTAGCCCTCCACCATGAGATGATCGTCATCCTCAAACACACCTGTACTCGGTGGCTCTTTAATCTCTGTATTCTCTTTCAACGTCACCTTCACTGCTGTCTTCCTCGCCACCCCAGTTGGCGTCGCCGTCGTCGGTAGCTCTCCACGCTCCAGCGCCAGCGCTGCCGAGTCCCTCGCCGCCTGCCTCTGGTCCTCGAGAGTCAACTCTCCCAACCTCTTGGCGGTGCGGTCCTCCTCCGTCTCTGGCTCAACCGTCGGCAGATCCATGACCTCGATCTCGATGTCGGGAATCCCAGCCCGCTCCCACGCGGCGGTCTCGTTGAGCTGTACCTTGACGTAGAGAGCCCTCCGCGCACACTTCTGCGAGCACCACTTCTCCAGGTCCTTGCGCTTGACAATCTGCCCGCTCGCCGCCAGCGTCCACTCGCCCCCCGGGCCCGTCCTCCTCCGCGTCTTGGGGCACAGCACGTACCCGCACAGCCCGTTGACGTTGCGCTCCTCGATCAGGTCGTCGTAGTCCGACGGCTGGAAGAGCCTCACGTGGGCCTTGAAGTCGGCGACGTCGGAGGGGGCGGGGTCGTCGGAGGACGTCGCGTTCGGGGCCCTCGGGTACTCAGACAGGAGGATGACATCGTCGAGGATCTGGGCCTCGAGCTCCTTCCTGTGCTCGATGATCTGGGCGTGCTGGATCGCTACTGCGCGCCGGTCCTGCTCGGTGGTGGGGCGGGAGCCGGCAGGCTTTTTGAGGATGCTCTTTGGCACTGGGTTGGACGCCGCCATTTGAAGAGAGGGGATGTGTGGAGAGGGAGACTCCTAGTAGGGGATCTGGGGAGATCTAAGAACGAAGCGCGTATGATCTCGTGGGTGAGATTGAAGTCATAGCTTTACTTGATGCTGTCGAAGAAGCGTCTGGAAGGGCGTTATCTTATCAAAGACGTTCCGCAAAATTCACCTACCCTACAGCTTTACTTACTAGCTTCTTGGAGGTCTTCATTTTGCTTTTCTCTCCCGATGGCATATTTTTTGAACAAAATCTCTTTTTTTTTTTCTATCTTGACAGCTCGGATCGGATAATAGAAAATAAATTCATTTGTGAAAGCTCGCGCTCAATTGCAGGTACTCTTTGAGGGTTGTACGTCTGATCAAATGACATTGTAGCTTTAGGTCATAAGGATTGCATAAGTGTAATTTCGATTTGAACTGTTTGCCAACAAAATAAAGCACCCATATCAACATTCCCATTCGCTCTCAGATTTGGAGAGTCTTTGTTGGAGCTGCAATTGGGAGGTCCTTTCCAACTAGTCGCCCATCATGCCAGATTTATGTCGCATTCATTATAACAAAGACACCACTCAAGGGTTCCTCAAGTGGAATCTCCACATACAAATATCTTCTTCTATCTCTAGGTGGACCAATGACGTATGTACTTATGAAATATAGTAGTCTTTGGTCCCTGGGGGTTTGAAATACGGATTTCTCTCTCGCTTTGATGAACGGATCCTCAACTGAACATTCTTGGCCTAAATCTCTGAAATAAATACTCTTTTCCCGAGCTAGGGGTATATGTTTCCATATTGTATGAAATTTGTCCCGGTCCAATTTTCAATGAAGTAGCTCGAGGGTTGCCCCCAGGGTATAAACATGGATTGCGGCTAGGCTCTGTTTTTTGTTGGTATCACGGAGAGCAAACGATAAGCTAAATATTTCAGGAGTTCTTGGATCAAGTAAAGCCATATGGCTTGAAACCTTGTAAGAAAACCGTGTCTAGCATGTGGTCTGGTACAAAGCTGTGGTGACAATATGCAGCAGGTGTAGGCATCGAAGCGTGTGGAGCAGAGGTAGGAGAAGGTCCCTTGTTGAGTTTGGCCGTTATGGCTCACAGTTTGATTCTGTAGTCCAGCTCGATCATTGTGTTGAGTTATCGGGCTCTGGCAGCTTCCATTGCTGTTAAATTCTATTCTCTTTCTCTTACGTAGTCCAGCTAGTAATATCGTTCCATCTAAGGCTGTACATACGGACATATCCCGTGGCTGTAGAGTAAACCCCCGAGGCAAAAGGTATATTTGCCACCAGACGCCCTGCTGCTCCTTCGTAATTGGTCTTTTGGAGGAATACCCAAAGATTATTTCATTGGATGTTGGAGAAACTTTTCTTAAAGAAGAGGTTATTTGCCTCGTCTCCAAATTCGAACACCCGCTTCTTGCTGTGCTCATTAATATTGGTAAATTCTTCATTCTCTTCATGAAAGAGCGACTGGACGTCCGTCTTCTTCTCCGTCGAAGACGATGTAGCTGGCCCACACGTCGCTCTGATGATTGAATTTCATGGGATCTCCTCTCCTTGTTTTCCTCAAAAGTGAAGTTGGACGGCTGCCGCACACTCTCGGATGCAGTACCTAGCTTTGCGGATATGCAATTCTACAGGTAAGCTGGGTATGGCTTAGCAGAGTGCTGATACCAGTTCGTTCTTAATCAAGGTACCCCTGTTCGAACAATGCGATGAACTAGGCTCGAAGTCAGGCCTTCTGATTTCAAGAGGACGAACGCAAGAATTATCAGTGATATCGACGTAGCTGTCGATGTTCTAATCGCTACGCTGATATGTTTCCACATACCCTACTAACCCGGAAGCGCGAGCTTTGAACATTGTTCCTTTGATGTTGAGAAGATCTGTATCCTTGCTACTCTAGATATTCCTCTCTTCGTTGGCATGTATCTGATCTCAAGAGTGTAGAATTAATAGCCCATCGTATCCCAGTCCAGAGTTTAACTGGGGGTTCCCCTCGGTCATTTCTTCCCTATAGAAAATTGAAACAGACGATGAGGCCTACGCAACAACACTACCACAGTAAAGTGGTGCGCCGGCTAATTTTATTGATTTACTTGGGAAGAAAAGAAAGAAAAGATGAATAAGATCAGCTTTATTTTCCATCTAGAGGTTGCAGAGGGGGAAATCTTTTTATGGCATCTAGCTGCCGTGAACAAGATAACTTGAGTAAGAAATCTAAAGATGGAATGGAGGCTCGTTACCAGCGACTGTAGCGTAGATAGCGGAAATAGCTTCTGCAAGCTCACCCGGAAGCGGTCCAGCCTCAAGTGCATCAAGAGACTCATGGATATGTTCAATTTTTGACACGCCAAAGATCAATCCATCGCCACATTCTCCGTCCAAGGCGCTGTGGAACGCCGTCCATCGCAGCGCAGCAGCGTGGCCGCTGATGTCGTATTTCTGAGCAGTAGCTCGAATAGACGCTGCTGAAGCTTGAACAGAAGAATGTCTATAAAATGGAACATAGAATTTCCCGACAATAGTCTTCTAAAGTTAGAATTACGTTAGATTCATAGATTCCAGATAAACACTTACATCTTCTTGCCAGCGTCTCGACGTCGAAACATGGTCTGAGAGAAGACCGCCTAAGGCAGGACTAGTGTCTAAGGTCAGTAGGAGACTAGTAATGGCTGTTGAAAGCACTTACCTGAAGCCGAAAAAAGCAATGCTGTTTTTGCGTAGGAGAGGAAATAGTTCCTTCTCCCCTCCCCTCACCATAGCGTTGTATTGCCCTTGGTATACGCTAGGCTTAATATAACCATTCTGCTCGCAGATATCCAAGATGTTCTGCACCTCTGCAACTGAGTAGTTAGATATACCGAATTTATCGAATTTTCCCTGCTTGAAAGCATCGTTTATCGCCTTCAAGGTGTCTTCAAACGGTGTCTGGCGATCAGGGCTATGGAGAAACATGGTCTCCACCTTGGAGGATTGAAGGGCGTCAAGTGATTCCTCGATGCTTGCCTTAATCTTTGCGGGTTCATGTGCTCCAGGTGGGCCACTTCTGACTTTGGTATGAACTGAAAACCGAGATGTAACGTCGGCCTTGCCGAGACACGCTTCAGATTCACCATAGTTGCGAGCTGTGTCAAGATTTCTGTAGCCACGGCTGTGAAATGCATCCAACAGTCTCTTCACATCTTCTTCGGTGTGAAAATGCACTATCCCTATTCCAGGGAATGTATTGGGGTCACCGATCTGCACTCATCTGGTTAGAGTGCATGTTGATTAGTGGAAGGCGATACATACACTGAAGGTTCCGAGAATATACTTGGGAGGTGTTTTGGAAGACATTTTGAGATAGGCTGGGGTTAGGGAGGCTTAAAATTAACTTGAATAAAACCAATTTCGATTCTCATCAGAATTTGGCTCCCCTTTGCTTTATAGGTGACATGTAGCCCCCGGGACTTCGCTGAGAATTATGTATAATGGGTGATCACGTCCCCGAGATGCGCAAGTTCCCCACAGAGCTCCGCGAGTTCTCCACCAACTTCCGCAAGTATCCACAACCCTGAAGTCGACTCCCGCAATGTTGTCATAAACCTTCCGCTCAAGTTCATAGCTTTGTAGGTTTTGGTATCACGGTAGGCAATATCTAGGTGTACCCACGGTCATATTGTTTTTAGTTTTTCTTTATGGCCTAAGCGTCTTTTTAGTGAACGAGGTTTTGGGATCTTTTCTTTCTGATATGCGAATACTCTGTCATGTCAAGGCTGCAGTGAAGGAGTAAATCATATCAATTTGACGTTGAATATCTCCTAAGGGCTTCTGACCCAGTTGTCGGATTTTACTTCGCCCTGGATTTTCTAGTACTCCAATATTGTATCCTGTCTGAGCCGACTATGACTGCCCAGACCTCCTTTACCAATTCGTCAACTTCTTCAGCTTCATACTGTGACATTATTGGGATTGGTCGTAGAGAGGTTACTAGAATCGGGGATTTCGAACAAGAGAGTTCAGACCATTCCAGGGCAGACCCAGCTTCCCACAAGCCGCTGCGAACTGTGATCATAGGCGCACCTTCGCATGAGGCCCAGCCTCTGGTCATCGCTTCAAAAACGTTGGTGATGCACTCGACAACCGCATAGGTGCGCCGGACGCTTTCAGTCAAAATCCACAATCTCCATTGCTCTACACATGCGTTGTATTCACTGTCGAGCTCAGTCTCGGCCGATTGGTCATGATTCGAGTGGCCTTCTTCACCTCGATACTCCTTGACTATCTCCCACATCTGGAACAGCCATTGTCGAAGTGTCGGGAGTTGCTTCTCGGCAGAGGCACGAACACGTACCGAGCCGTCGAAGAGCATTATGAATTCATAGATGAAAAGGGACTGGACACGTGCCAGGTGGGCCAATATGCATTCCGCACCGCTGGTTGTCGGTGGGCCTTGGCGGGTGAGTGCGGCTAAGCGGTCCAGGGCAATCTGCAGTACTACCTCTTCGATCGCCGAATTCCGACCGTTGTAGGTTGTGAGTGTTGTGAAAGCGTCCTGGAGGCAGGTAGGCAGGCCTTTCTCATACAGTCGCCGATGGATGAAGCTATTGTGGCCATTTTTGACCCAGGACTGGAGCATTTCGGCCACAGACTGGATGAAAGACTTTAATTCAAGCTCGACGTCAACCACACAATCCGTGTCTTTGGTGACACGGCCTATTTCCCAAGTATCGCCCTGAAGAAACCAGGGGGTAGAGGTGTCTGGGGGAGACGCCCTCTCATGCGTTAGACTGTGAGTTGATAGTGTGTTTCCACATGTCGAAGGAGTCTGAATGAAAGGAAACATAACATCTGGTACAACGGGAATAAAGTTGGGGGCGTTAATTACACCCCAAGACTCGTGATCAAAGCGGTCACCTAATGGATTGAGGTCCAAAAACTGCTGGGAAGAAGGGAGATGGTGCACTTGGTTGTTTTCCAAAGCGCTGTCGTCCCTATACCGCCTCTTGGACTGTGGGTAAACACAATCCAGGTGCCTGTCTAGGCAGCGCTGACATTCGGGAAGCTGCTTGTCGCAGCCCCGCTTGGAGACTGAGCAGGCCAGGCAGGCTTTCTGGCGGAGACTGCTATGCATTGTGCTTAGCAACATCCGAGAGTCGAGACGTGATGGCTGATGATCTGGGATGTTGTATTTTTTTTACTCCTTAGACGTGACGAAACTAAACAAGACCCCTGGGCTGTAATGACGCAAGTCAAAAACTAAGCTAGGGCCTCAACGGTGAAATAAATGGATCTTTTAAAACCTGGGCATTTCCAGAGGTCCAACCCACCGACAAGATACATATTTAGCAGCTCTAAATTCAAGGACACTTGTATTTGCTTGATCCTTGAGCGAAGGTTTTTTGGCCTAACAGTAGGGTCTAGATTGATTTGAAGAATGCTCCTTGGCGAGATCAACCTCGGACCAGTTGCTGACTCTGAAGAGCGGTCATGACTCAGGGGTAATTACCGAAAGTAAGCAATCCGCCAACTCTTCCGCGGCCTGTAGACCCATTTTATCCCGCATCATTTCCGCTCTTTGGTGTATGTTTCGAGTCTTCCGCATTGGAAGATACCAGTGATTATGGCGAGTGGCATTGCCAGGTTTTGTAAACCATCGGGGAAGTGAATGTTCCTTAGCGCTAGCCGAATTGGCAAATATTCGTACCTCGAGAGCTGTTTCATGCAGTGAATTAAATTTAGAAGTCTCCAATTATTCATTGTAGTTTAGTTGAGCACGATTGAACATCTCCTTGACTTAATGAAACTCAAACATGGTTCGAGGCTGCGATATAGCTGTAGAGTAGTTGTAATGTTTTGATGCTATGGAGCTAATCCTGGCAAGTCTCTTATAGAATAATTTGACAACCTCCAAGTCATCATGAGGATTGTGTCATTGAGTTGACGACCGAGAAGAGTGAGTTCCCCTTTGAGAATTGGCACGTTGAGGGCCTAATGAACGAACACATTCTTGGCGGGAAAGAGCTTGAAGGCTTCCTTCCATTGACTGAGGAAGAGGCTAAGGGGCATAGGCTCAAGTTGATGGATGCCCGCACCGGGGGTTCAGGAGAGGGTGAGAGCGAGAACCCACGATAGACATTTTGCGAATATTACCTTGGGATTTAGACAAGGAATCCCTATTGAAAGCTGATGACGTCAGGATTCGGAGCAGGGATTCGGAGCACGGGTTACTCCGGCTGAGATTTCTGTTAAATCCTACATTGTCCAGCCCGAGTGCTGCTCCACCGCTTCTTCTCAGTCCCGTATATCCAACCCAATTAACCAAACAATGCCGGCCCCACGCCGAAGCGAGGTGCCGCGCCCGGTAACCCAATTCTCATCCTATTCCGACGCCTCAAGCTCCTACTGGCCGCCAGGATGGAACTTCCATCGGTTCGTCCACGCCACGGCCGAAGAAGACGAGGCGCTGCCCGACGACGAGCGGGCCAAGATGCAGGCTGGATTCCGGGATGTCCTTGGCGAGGACGGTGTCGATGAACTGTCCCATGTCGTCTGGCAGGAGCAGTTGCGCCTCGAGCAAGAAGCGTCTTCAACCCCTCGACCGACGCTTCCGACGCCCGATTGGCTCAAGGCGTGGAAGAGACACTACCGAGGGCAGCCGTGGGGGTTTGTCGCTTTCCGGATTGGGGGAACGAACCTGGACTTCGAGGAATTTCAGAGTCGCATTAAGAGGATAGTTGAACTTCCGTTTGACGCGGCCGTGGAACGAGGCCACTCGGCGGACGAAATCGCCGAGGCCCACAGCACGTTTGAGATCCGATGGGTGGACGTAGGAGACGGTGGATCAAGAGACAGAGCGGAAGGAGATCCTGATCGCCCGAATGTTACTGATCCTGTGGAGAGACTACGCGTAGAATATCGTGCCTTGCGGGAGTCGGACGGCTTTCCACCAGGTCTTCATCTGCCATTGTTCCTGTGTGCCTCCACGGAAGCAATGGCATCAGTACTTCGGATACCGCCCTCTTCACAACCAGGAACAGATAGTCCACGCTGGCGGCTTGGGGCACCATTCCTTCTTGTCGTGGCGGCAGAGGATGAGCAGGGACCAGTCGACGACGAGGCCAGCGAGTCGTTTGGTGGCGGGGAGAAGAAGTGGTTCAAACCAGTCTTCAAAGCCGCCGCGGAAGTGCTTGTAGAGGAACTGTGGGGGGTAGCAGAGCGGCAAATCACCTCGATGAGAAACTTGACTAGATTTGTTCGGGAGGCTGTTATCCCAGATAATCCATCGCTGGAGAACAAAGATACTGATATCCTACAAGGGGAGGAGGAAGCCGATGATGGATTGGATGATATGTGGTGGTCGGCGCATACACCGCCTCATCGCATGGGGAGGAGGAGAAGGATTCTTGACAGCGACCAGTAGCTCGATTAACAGTCTGAGTTATTTTCAAACCATCTTGCTCGAGGTTTGTGGCACGACCCTGCCTTCGCGTACAGTGCTCAAAGAAAAACGTTCCAGAGTAATCGACGCACGGAGTGTTTTGTATCATCGGTAGTTCTTCTTAGACGAAAGAATAGAGAGACCAGTCTAATTATAAATTAACCACACCCAAGCCCGTGAAGAACTTATCGAGGAGGCTTTACTTTCTATGCCATACTATGCTCCAGTGCAATGCAGTCCCAACTCCTTCCATGAAACCCATCGCTATGCCTTGTCGCTAACCAAAAAAACAAACAAGAGAAGGTTGACAAAAAGAAACAAGTATAAAAAAACAATTGACAAGAAGAGTAACAACCATCATTATTCCTACCCTGCTAATAAGCCAGTTCCCAGGACTCACGCCCAATAGGCTTATTCAAAAGAGGAGTGAGACCAACAGCAGGCGACCGCTCAGGCTCATCCTCCGCGTAGTCCGTACAGTAGCTCGAATCGCTCTCGTAGCCATCCTCCTCCGCTTCCTCGACGACACGCGTGGGGTAGTACCCCCTGTCCTGGGCGCCCACCGGCCACGACCTCTGGGTGTACCCGATGGTCTTGGTCCTCAGCAGCTGTCGGATATCGCCGAGAGGTGCCCTGGCGGGTGGCTTAGGTGTCGGATCCAGAGGTGGCGTTGGGTCCAGCGGTGGTGTAGGCATCGGCGCCACGATGATGGTAGGGGCGAGAACCTCCTTTTCCTGGAGGACTGGGATCTCGGCGACCGGGAGCTCGGTGGCCATTTCGATTTTCGGGGTCAGAGGCTTCCGCAGGACGATTTCGGGCGTCGAGGCCCATCTGTGGTGTCCGCGGTTGGCATTCACCTTTTGGATTGGCACACCGAGGGCGGCTTTGAGCTGCGGTTGTGGCCGAGGGCGAGGCGGAGGGGGAGGAGGAGCATAGGCGCTACCGTATCCTCCGCCGTACGGGTGAGAGCTCGTTGGAAAGTTCGACATGGAGTGACGAGCCTGGTGGCGGGCGACGTTCGGTCCAGGACCAGGAGGCATGAGGAAGGAGTGCCTGGCCTGGGTGTAGGGATTGAGAGGCGAGGGATGAGGTGCCTCGATCTGAGAGAGGGGGATATCAGGCAGGACTGGCGGGCAGTCACTGATGGCTCTCGGTCGGAAGGCCGGGATGAACGTGTGAGCTGGCGAGACGGGGCGCTGCCTTCCCTGGGCAGCATGCTTGGTATCAATGCACAAGCGGGGAGGCGAAGGAGGTGCCGCCCTCGGTGGAGGGGGAGAGAAGAATCCTGGAGTCAAGGGAGCTGGATTGACGTTCCCGGTAAAGCTAGGAAAAGATGTCAGTTTATGTGTTGGAACCTCACTGGATCAAGGGACACGGGGCGCATACAGATGCTCAAACCCAGACATTGGCTGGCGATCCAGGTTCAGAGAGAGATGCAGCGTCTTTGGGAACTTGGTAACTAGAGGCGATGGAGCGCACTCATCCCAGTCGACTGGCTTGTGGCTGTGGTCGATCGGGCTGTAGGCGTTGGCGGGGATGGCGGCGTACTGCGGGCGGTTCCATTGGGACTTCCCAGTCTGCGAGTTCACATAGTACCACGCTCCGTACGACTGATGCCACTTCGGTTTCCAACCCGCGGGGACTGAAGGCTCGCCTCTGGACGGTGTCGTGGGGCTGACGGGAGGAGTGAGGACATGTCCCGGCGGCGGCTCGGTTGGGCACATCCATTGGATATTGAGCGACTTGAGGTCGACATACACCCTACGGCATACAGAGTTAGAAAGACATGGCGAGTATTTCAGTATATGCAGGGCTCACCAGGTCTGGTGTCTGGCACTCCATTGGGCGGACCACCCAGCAGGGACCTCGGGAGGCAGTTGACTTGACATGATAGACGGGATCTATTCGCAGCGAAAACGAAAAACGCAATCGAGGGGAAACGGCGTCGTAGAAATGGAGGGACGGGTGATCTTATAATAACAATAATAACCGTTAGAATCTGCTAGCTCCTCCATAGTCTCACTCGTGTTGTCGCTGGGCTGACGGCAGACTGTCACTCGGCCACACGCCGCCAAGCCACACCACCCCGGACCAGGCGAGGCACTGCAGGTCCTCCATTTAGACAGGGCACCGAGCTTGACGCAATGCCATGCGCTTCTAGGCAAGGTGGTTGGAGCTAGCGGGCCCTACGAGATGCCCAGTCGGCCCCACGGCGTTGTGCTCGGCGATCTCTCGCTCGCTCAATAGCCTCAATGGGGACCCAATTGGCGATTGTGCTTACTGAAATGCACCTACAGATAATAGACTGTTGAAGAGATTTGTTCACCTGGCACTGTACCGTGGCCTTCAAATACGCACTTGGCTTCATCACTCTGGCCACCTGGAAGCTATTGATGCCCAACTCTAGCCCCAAGACAATCTTGAAGATTTTACTGTTCGTGTTCCCAGTCAGCACCTGGGCTCGTACCCTAGGCAATGCATTATTTCCCGAGTCGACGGCGATGCCCCTCGCCTCTCCATGGATGTGAGCGGATGGTGGGACCCCTGAATCCCGACACTTCACTTCTCCTCCGCGGACGAAAAATTCAACCAGCACCGACCTGCTTCAGTGTAGCATCCTCTTGTTACAAGCGCTAAATCATCTCTCATCCTCTCCGTGGTAGCCGTTAACTTTCTTCCTCGCCCCCCACCACTCCCAGAATCCATCTTGTTACAGGCGGCCGCGCCCCTGCAGCAGCTCTTTTTTTAGTTGCAGGGGGCTCAGCTAAGCACGGAAAACGTCACTCGTGCTTCACTGCATCTGGTAAGATCAACTGTGAGCTGGTTGGGGCACCGCCGCGATGGAAACGACGCCACACTAGAGAAGACAGGGAATGGCGCCGTTGCTCAGCCTTCCACACTTCCACCACCAAGTCTGTGCTGGCGTGGCTGACCATGAAGACGCTTCCCTCTCCCCCTCCCTCCAGCGTTTGATTGACTGGCGGCTGATGGGGCCTTCGTGTCGGATGGACCAGACCCAGCCATGACGTTGAGCAGCCTCGTAATCACAATTACCTTTCGGAGCGCACCGGCAGATTCTTTAATGCCGCCGAGGGTCAGGTGATCTATTTACTTCTTTACTCTCGTGTTCTTTCCGAGCGTTGGGATTGCTCGAGCACCAAATCAGTCAATCATCATGTGCTCCGTACACACACTTCCAGAACATCTGACCGCATTCCAAGGATAGTGACCGCCTATTTCCCAAACCGCTGATTGATTGATCGCTGTTTAGCCCCCAAATAAGATTTTGGTTCTTGCGCGGCGGAGGATCCTGGAGTGAGTGAGGGACCCCTGCTATCCTGCGCCGGACAAACCTAAATAAAGTCCACTTGTTTCGAAATTCACCATGACATGCCAAATTTACCCGTTTAGGATTTGTAGATGGAAGCACCGCTGTAACCCTGCAAATATGAATGTATAGCCATCAGAGGCTCGCTAAGACTCGATCCCATGTCTTCCGTTATCACAGCCCGGTATGTTCGGCAATTATGAGGGCCTGTTTTCACAGACCGCCGGATGTTGACTGTTCCGCGCCTCGCTTATAGCAGGGGTTGTCTGCTTTGCCTCAGTCAGCACTTGGTTGCAAGCGAAGCCGTGATGCGGTCGGTACCTAAGAAAAGACACCCTTGGCAGGAATCATATCTTTAAGCATTCTCTGGGGGGATTTCAGCCCGACTTCATCGTCTCTTCCCTGGACCCATAACCTTAAATGCGATAAAAGAACAAAGGTACCATACAAAGGTCTTTACATAATTTGCTGAGCTTGTCGGGCTAGTAAGTGTGTTGCTGTCTCCGCTTTCGTTTCGTCTGTGAGATGGCCCATGTGATGTGTTCTTACTCAGACCACCAACACTACGACTTGACGAACTGAAGATGTCGCAAACTGTACCCGTAATGATAAGATGGATTGAATAAAGAGCTAAAGGGATCCAATTGTCTGTAAAAGACATATGTACAGACTCAAGGAAATAAACAAGATCCTAATTCTCGATGACCACATAGTAGAGCCCCATGCTTAGAAAAAAACAGCAAGAATATCGTTCTTTGACGTCTGGAGATATGGAACAACATGAAACTGCACCTGTGTCTTCCTCCGAGACCTCAGAAAGACCGATGCCAGTATGGTATCTCGCTCACCTCCTTCCAATTAGAAATCGCAGGATTGATCATGTCGGAGCTGTGGGCAGCCTTCGCATATCGGTTACCTCTCTTGCTATCGTACTCCGGACCCATGACGTATTTCTCAAATACGGTCTCCAGACCGAAAAATATGCCGAGGACGACGTGAAGGTCTGCCAGACCAGGCAAGGTGAACTTTACCCACCGCATGATGCTTGTATAGGCATCATATAGGTTTTTCATCGTCGGTTCGCCGAATTCCCTTTCCAGACATGGATAATAATCGTTACTTGTGTCTATGATAAGGAGAAGTTGGGAAACATCGAAATGCTTGCCAATGAACGAGAATAGAGAGAGGAAAGAGGTTTCCTGCTTAGCCCAGGCCTTGGTTTGCTCAAAATCGAATTCGAACCGGATCCGGCGGAAGAGCTTCAGAGTCTCCGGCCTAAACGACTGCAGCATATTCAAGGTATCCAGAAACGAGCCTGAAAATGTAAAGGTATTCGTAGAGTACAGGACTTCGGCCCCGTCTGCGTACATTTGCCAGCTTGCAAGGAAGAGACCAAGGGGCAAGTCTCGACACTGGCAATGGGGAGAGAATGACTGCCACTCCAATCCGGATCGGCAGAGGCAACGGACCGCCGAAGTCGAGCATTTTATGCAGTTTCCGTGGATGCAATCGGGACTGAGCGACGGGGCAAATTTTCCGTCCTTGACGCATATCCCCTTTCCCTTTGACAAGAATGGTCCATTGTACCTGAGGTTCGTGGACATGAGAATACGACGACGAACTTCTAGTGGTAGCAGTGTTAAGGGAGTTTGAGGTATTCTTGGTTTTGCCTTAAACTCTGGGCTCGGTTTTGTCAAGAGTTTGAGTGCGGTCGAGCGTGCAAGTGAAATGATGCTTGGATCAAGCTGCCTTCCCATCCAGATATTGCAATCTAGGAGGCGTGGAAGACTATTTAATGAACCCAATATCCGTTTTATGGTCGGCAAGTCCTGGGCGTTGTTGATGAGATCCAGCTTGAGGTGAACTGGTGCAAGTCTCCGTGCCAAAAGTTGGCAGACAAGCGCCCACTCTGGGAGCATAGATTGGGAATGCCGCAGAGACCCAGGTGCTCGACAGATCAGACAAGGGCCATTTTTGTAGTTGCGAGCGTGGAGGAATGGCGCGCTATTCACCCGGATCACAAGCCGGCGTAATGCGTGCAGAGCGTCGTCTGAGAGCATTTTGAAGACCTCGAAATCTTCGCTCTCATGTGCACAGATGGCGAATGTGTTCTCGCCGTATAGAATCTCCAGCGTCTCCTTGTGGAGAGCCTTGTTGATGAGAAGCAGCTGCTTCGGGACGGCGGGACACGCGCATTTCCTCTGCCCAAGCAGCATATGACGTTCCAAGGCCCCCTCTGATGCAGACTCCTCAGATCTGCAGAATGGACCTGGAAAACAAGCCGGCGAGTCTGCCACGGCTCTTGAGCGCGGGACGATGAGAATCGGACATGGTCGCAGCAAGTGAGCAAAGCGATAGATCCGTTTCCGAATCCGGGCAGGGAGGGCAAGAAAAGGTGACGGAGCTGGATCCATGATCTGCAGCTGTTTTATAATCGATGAGATGAAATTGATGAGATGAGGTTGGAGACTGAAGAAGAGCCCGATTGTTGCTGCCTAGAGTTCGTTTGCGTCAGCGGGGGATATCCCTACATCGCGATATCTGACTTTCCGGCCGCTGACTACGCATCCCAGCTTGGAGCGACCACTCGTCTTGACGGGAGACGGCTAGGCCATGTTCATAGCGATCCCTGGTCTTGGCGAATGTTATCTTTTGCTAATGTGTATTGAATCGAGGGTTAATCTGACTGCATGTAATCAGATTTAATACGCCTCATGCTCAAGCCTACGTCACCTGACATTGGGCTGACACTTGCACGTGAGGCGCAGCTGTCTTCATGTTTTGAATGGGCTGAATCTTCATTTGAGGTCAAATTAGCCCTTTGCATACATCAATCGAGGACCTGGAAGAAGCTCGACATGGCCACTCGCCTGGAATGGGCTCGGAGGGTATTCCGATTGAGAGGCTTGCCGAACCGTGTTGGTGATCGATCCTCATGGTTGCCTCTTTAGTCGGTCCACCGCCCCGTAAACTTTAGAGTTAGGCCGCCAGGGATATTGTACTCGGGGGATACGTCGTTTTTTTTTGCCCGTGATTAGATACCGTTTGGATGGAGGTTGATATGCACCGAACTCCTACTAAGTCCTGTAATGAATGAACGTAGCTGGACCATGATGAGTTCTCCCATGGAACAGAGCTGCATGAGGTCTGCCGTGCACGATCACGTCTTGCCGTGGATGAACAGGGCTAAGCTCTATTGGTGTATGTGAAGGATGAACGGGCTGAAGCTTAATAAGGTGAGCTCCATTATCAACAATCAAGAGACACGAAGACGGGCTTACCTGACTGCTATACGGGGCATGTCGTAAGGGATATCGTTTACTTCTTCTTCAGGTCATCGCGTCAAAGAAGGATCGGAGGATGGGTCACTGGTCTGGGGGTAGAGGCCGAGTTCTTGAGAGGGAATTTGTATTCCTGCTGCGAGGCTCTCGTTTACTAGTAGTGGCTTTTGCAGTTTTCAAGCAAGCGCGGTAGGTTGACAAACGGCTGAGAAGCGAGATTGCTTGATGCAGCTGAATATTTCAGACCGTGTCCGTATGCTCACCCGCCGCGCGTGTTCTGCTCATATATGCACACCACTCTAGGTAAGGTAGTTTAGATACCTGAGGTTAGGTACCTACCTACTGGGGTACTGGCAAGTGGGTGACATTGAAATTGAGACACTCAAACATTAAGCTGCTTATTGTCAAGTCTGCGATCGGTATTATCAGATTATTGAGTGCTAATAATACATACCACAGGATAATATAGCGGATATTATTACTTAGTTTCATTTTATATAACTGAAGTTCTCTATTGATTGTAGAAAGTAGTCTGTTTATAACCATCTCTTCCATTAGGTGTCTCATTTCTCCTGTCACCCACTTGACTGGGTGCCTGTATGCTAATGCGGTGTGCGAGCAAATGGGAAGCGCAGAAAGCCAACTCACTCAGAACTTACTTCACACCATCCAGAGTTTAACGTGACAAGTTGACATTGCCTGTTTTGCAGAGTTTTTGTTCCGACTTTTCGTATGCGCATTCCCCTTTTTAATCGCTCTCTCGAAGTTACATCATTCTCTTCGACCTCATTCATCGCCCTCGCGCTCAGACTCTACGCCGACAGAAGAAGAATTCGCCGCATTTGAGCCTCCCATTCTCCCAGTCGGCCTTAGGTGGTCTCGGCAATCGACTCGCTTCGTGCGGTTGATTTTTCTTGCAGTTCGTCTGCTGCATCTATCCCTCAATCCAGCATATAAAGGCCTCAGGCTTGACGATTTCTATCTTTCATCATGTCTTTTCGATCGCCTGAAGATAGAGCCCGCGCGGCGTTAGATTTTTTCCCCCAAACGGGACCTACCGTGGAAGAAATTGAAGCCTCTATCAGGTTCCATAAGGCCGATGTATTGAGCGGAGGAGAAATGGAAGGAGACGGCTTAAGTATTTCAGACATCGTGGAACGTATCTCCCTTGCCGAGCGAGCCCAAGCAATCCTCACCAACGGGGCAGGAAACAACCCAGCCTCTACCCTCGCGCCTCTAAAGCTCAATTTAGCACACCTGGCATTCTTTCTATACGGGGATAAAGCTCGGCTTCGAAGAGTGATGTTTAGTGCAAACAATCTTGACCTATGTTTACGATCTCTCGAGCCTTTCCTGAAGATGAGTAAGTGATCCCCCCCTTACTGCATGTACCCCTGCTCACACTAATAAACAACAGTCCTTCAGAAGTTGAGAGACAAACCTCTAGACAACCTTCAATCTCCTACTACTGTACTACAATCCGACAGTGATAAAGAGGGGCCCCTATACCAGCTAGGCGTCAAAACCGATAAGCACGGCAACAAGACAAAGGAGAGAAATCAGCCCGAGGCAGATAAGGCACGACAACGCGACCAATGCTGTATCGCAACAGGCTGCCCTGAGATTGAAGCATGCCATATCATGCCATTCTCGGCCAACAATAGGCCCGTGAGACTGTTGAATCTACGTATGATATTAACTAATCTTATGGGGCTAATGCTCCATGAAGCTGACTGGGAAAAAGTTCAAGACCTTCTTACCCCAGCTAGAGGAGAACTTGCAACCTCGGATGAATCTTTCAATATTTTCTGCCTGGAACCCCTTACCCATACAAGTCTTGATAAGGGCTACTGTGCCTTAGAGTGGATTGGTCTTAGTGATAAAGGAGAGCTTGATTGTAAGCTCGGGGAAGAGACCTATAAAACTGTACGACTCCGCTGGCATTGGCTACCAAACTGTATTGCTGATGCCCTTGGCCAATCCTATCTTCACGAGAGGACTACGCGTAAAGGTGATACTGGCAGACTTTTAAAGTTTGGTAATGGGTCAAGCCACTATGCTATGGCTACTGCCATCTATAAGCACCTCACCAACACAAGCAAGATTAGCTCGCATGGTGTGACTATAGCCCGGAATGCTGACTTCAGACCATTGGTCTCTGGACATATCCTCTTCATCAGGGTTAAGGAGGAGGATTTGGACAAGACAAGGCTAATGATTCAACTCCAATGGTTTGCTCTAAGAATGGTAGCGATATCTGGGGCAGCTGAGGTGGTGGATGACCTGGATCCCGAACCTCCAAGTTCTCCCGATGAGCTGCCAACATATTACAAAATGCCAGACTTTGAAGCTGACGAGCTTGAAGATGTCGATCTACCCTCGCGCGGAAAGAGCTTCCCCGGACAACGACGGCCAGATTAGTGCGCCGCCCGGCTTGTAGCGAGCACTCCCGTCGTCTTGACGGGAGACGGCTAGGTCATGTTCATAGCGATCCCTGGTCTAAGGGAATGTTGTCTTTTGCTATCGTCAATGTGTATTAATTAAGGGTCAATCTGACTGCAGTGAACGTAATCAGATTTAATACGCCTCATTGGCCCAAGCCTGCGTCACCTGACATTTGGGCTGACACTTGCACGTGAGGCGCAGCTGTAACTCTTTTGAATGGGCTGAATCTTCATTTGAGGTCGAATCACCCCTTCGCACAGATCAATCAAGGAAGAAGACTCGACATGGCCACTCGCCCGGAATGGGCTCGGAGGGTATTCCGATTGAGAGGCTTGCCGAACCGTGTTGGTGATCGATCAGATGTGTCCCAGCTGCTGAGCCAGGTCGTGGGCATCCCCGAGGAACGTATTGAAGTCTGCTCGCTCGCCAAAACCTGCAACAACTGGGAGCCGCTGCCGTCGAAGGTCGCGACTATCCGTCTCCACGTTATACCAGACTGCCTAAGCTCTGCGTCTCACCTTGACCAGTGGGAATTTCCTCTTGCAGAGGAGCCGGATCAGCGGCTGATTCTCGACACGCATTTCCAAGGCCTGACAGCTCTCAATGACGTGAAGCCAGAGGACCACCATACAGAGTATGTGATTTCTTTAGACTTTATTCTGATTACTAGTCACTGTGTTGAGATGTCGGGTCTGGCATCTTTCATTGCTGTTCTTAACTTTATACCCGGACTCTCATCTGTTATTCTGAAGACTTATTAAAAGTGACTAGCTGTATTGCTATATCTGGTTTAGCAAGCCATCCCTTTGGATCATGGCAACCACATAGAGAAGATAAAAGCTTTATATGGATTAGGGATGAGCTCCCAAGATCAGTACCAGGAATACGAACGATAATATATAGCTATAAGTCTGAGCTTCTAGGCAGCGAGTCATTTCAGACTATAAGCGATATTGCACTTAGCCTTATTCACCAACTAAAGGCCGGGGGATAGAACTTTAACTCCTCGAAGCCGATCGTGTTTCTAGCTCACAGTCTAGGCGGCATAGTGTTAAAAGATGCCATCGTCCAAATTGCTAGAGTAGAGAGTGTTATAAGTATCCTAAATAAGTTTAAAGGCGCTATCATGTTTGGTGTTCCTAGTCTTGGGATGCATCAATCCCATTTAATGACAATGACCAAGGGTCAAGCTAATGAACTTTTGAGCCAGGATTTGTCTCGAGAGAATGGCAGCGCATATCTCAGACAATTAAACAAGGGCTTTGAGGGACTCTCGATTCTTCAGAACGCCCCTATATACTGGGCTTATGAAACCAGAGAGACAAGAACCGTCGTAGGTAGCCTGCATCAGGTCTCTATGCCGGATTTGTCGCTAATACGGTCATTTTTAGCAACTGGAAAATAACAAATGGACCAACAATGGGCATCTAGAAGTTCCAGTGAATCCAGATTCCGCAACATGCGGCCGAAACATCGGGGCCGCAAAAGTCATGACGATTCCTATTAATGAGAATCATTCCAATATCGTCAAGTTCCCTAGGGGACACAAGGATTTGCCCACCATCATACAGACTATTTCTGAGTTGTGTTCCCAGGAACCAAACAACATTGCTACCTCATCAATTAATACTATTGAGAAACCAAGGAGCTGGTCTAAAAATCCGAAATCGTATCTCGAGCTCCCCAACTTATCTGAGGAGGACTGTGTCACCCTCAAGGATCTTGATTTCCTCCTTTCGTCTATTCAAGAGTTGCACGGGCTCTGTCCAGCCGAACTAGACTTCCGCGCTGAGCAAATCGAGGATCCCTTTCAAAACACTTTCAACTGGGTTTTTGACCGCACTTCTTTCTCGAATTGGCTACAAGAAGGGATGGGTCTCTTCTGGGTGAATGGGAAGCCTGGTTCCGGCAAATCTACGCTGATGAAATACATTTTGAAAAGCCAACACACCTGGGACCTTTTACATGACTGGAGGCGAAGTTCTTCAAACATCGAGGAGATTATTGCCAGTTTCTTCTTTCATTACCGAGGAACGGCTCTCCAGAAATCCTTTGAGGGACTTCTACGGAGCCTAGTTGTTCAATTGATATCATCTCAGTCTACTCAATTCCAGGATCACTGGCGTACCTTCCGTCAACTGAAAATACAGACATCGCAGTTGATATCCGAGCGCAAATATGTCCTGAATGGGAACAATAATCGGGCGTCAAGTCGTGAGAGCCTTAGAGAAGCACTGCTTCGGATAGATCAAAGCCTTCAAGAGTTTGGGACCGGATTGAAAAGTGTGGCCAGAGAGTTCCGACAACATACCAATGCACCCGGAACTAGATTTTTATCTACAGTGACCCAGGCGTTTCAGAATTGTCGAGGAGGGCTGCTACATAAGCTTGAGACAGCTTTGCATCAGATCCTCAATCAAGATGCCGTCAGGATGGATATCGTCTTGTTTTTTGATGCCCTCGACGAATTTGACGGTCACCTTGACATGATAAGCAAGTTCCTGAAAGGTCTTGTAGAAGACTCAAACCTGAATCGGGTCAAGGTGTGCTTCTCAAGTAGACCTTGGGAATCGTTTGAGGCACATTTCTTAAAGGAGCCAGGCTTCAGATTGCAAGACTACACGACGCATGACATTGCAAGTTTTGCTGCTGGAAATCTAGTTGGTCTAAACCTAGATAATGCGTCTGTTTCTCGACTTGTTAATGGGATAATTTCAAGGGCCAATGGTGTGTTCTTGTGGGTCCGGCTCGCAGTCAAGGAGATACTCGATGTCAGCTCCCACGCCAATCCGCATGTTTACTTACGGCAGATGGAAGATACGCTCAAGAGGCTCCCAAGCAATATTTCCGAGTTTTATAAGCTCATTGTTGAGCATATTGCTCATACTACTCATCGAAATACATATGCACTCCTGGAACTCATGATACGCCGTCGTGACCTGGCCGTCTCGGTCGATTATGCATGGATCGCCGTCTCTATTGCGTATTGCTGCACCCATCAAGAAATTAGAGATGTGTGGGAGAGAGGAGATAAATCTATTTCCCGGCGATACCAGGGTCCGGGAGAACTACGACAACGGCAGAAGGGGGATATCACGATTTGGGGTGGAGGCCTCGTCGAAATCAATGGCGATACTGTGCAGGTAATGCACCAGACGGTCCTAGAATTTATCATGGGGTTCTCTTTCAAGAGAGATATCCTCGGGGACCTTTGCAGTATTGTGGTAGAGAATGGCCATGCTTTTCATTTCAAGTATTTGTGCTCGATAGCCTCTGACGGTATTACGGGTACCAGTGGGGATGAAGCAGCGACAGGGGCAGAATTGCAATACCACGGGGAACAGTCTGAACTAACCACGGGGAACAGCCAGCTGGCATATATCGGAAGTCTACCGTGGGGAATCTTGAGAGCCCTGAACAGAGAGTCATCCTCTACTCTGAGAAGCACCGGTGAATTATTTTTGAAATTCGTCGTCTCGCGTGGCTTGCTTCTGTGTCTCAAAGAATGGGTAATCAAGCATCCCAACCAAGTTAGGCACTTCAGTCCACAGGCAACTGCCTTTCCATTGCTTAGTGATCTATTTTTCCTGGGCAGCTACGGAGCATTTTCTGGCAGATATATCAACATGATGTGTCTACTGCTTGAGAATGGCTTCAGTATTCAGCAAGACCCTTTCATCTTTGCCACGGTCATAGAACGAATATGGAAATTGGAGGCGAAACATGAGACGAGAGAGGATATTCGTATCCCAATATCGATTCTGCATGAGATATTCAGGCTGCTATTGAATCATAAGCAAGAGCCTAATACTTCTATTGGTCTCAACGCTATTTGGGCTCATCCCCAGGTGATGTGCGGGGTGAAGCCGCTTCACGCTCTCCCACCACATCTGGCCCAAGTTCTAATTCAGCATGGCGCAGATCCCAATGGTTGTGATGACTACGGCAGAACCCCCTTGGATTGGGTTCTGAGGTTCCCATATGGATGTATCCGCAGCAATAGGGTGTATGACACGCAATGGCGGTATAGTTTGTGCAAAGTTCTAGCGAGTGTTGGCGGTCTACCTGCGTACTGCAATTCCCATGATTGGGTGAACGCCTTGAATCACTTTGAACTTGAAGGTCACAGTACCACTTGTCTTCGTGAGAGTCCTACGGGAACGAGTTTCGCTAGGTCCATACATCCTGCAGCAGCTCCAATGTCCACAAACAACACGATGAGAAACCGCAAGCGCAGGGAAGGAACTCGACCAAGCCACCATCAATTCCGCCGTTAACACTATCCAGGGAAGACATCTTGGGCGTACTGCAACATGGTCGGACATCGTGTCGCAAGGACTTGCATCTCCAAGATTATAAATACGAAAGTCGCTGTGCGATACGAACATTATGTGAAGGGGGAAACATCTACCGAGAGAGCCCACGGATTCGTACTTATGTCCCGATATTCTACTATTGGTCTTAAATGCTGGTGAGAGCAAGAGGCGAGGAAAAGAAGCCTTTTGTTTCGTTGCTCAAGACATAATGTCTGTACCTGGTGCTCTATGAGTGCATAGCTCTTTCTAGTTCTCACGACGTTACAATAAGTCATATTCTTGTCAATTTCCACTGTCAGAAAGGAATACACATTATTTCGCTGCTAGCTTCAAATACTGCCGAACGACGTCAATGACAGCTTCCCTGTATCCCTTGAACTTCCTGCCGAGCATCTTTTCATCCTCTGTAGAATCAGCCAGAACCTGCACTACAGGAACAGTTCCACCAAATGGGAACATGCCGCAGTTTGTTGCTTCAGGAAATTCCTCCCGGACAATATTCACTGCATCGTCCCATTTGAATAGAGTCGGATCTGCCTTCGAATTGAAGACCGGTAAAAGGCTGAAAATATCTCCTGGTGAAATATCCAGGTTCAGAGTCTTGAGATGTGCAAATGCAACATCGTCAACATGGGATACAACGGAGGGAATAGGCGCAAACTTGATGCCCAGCAGTGGCCCCATCACAACCATATTTGAGCCAACTAGGAGCTCTCTGGGAGTTGATGCTAACTCATTCGGCCCAACAGTAGTCCCTGGAAGGACGTTGACAACGGAAAAGTGTAGTTTGGGTTCGTTCGACTGGACGTATTTGCGGACGCAATCCGCGACGTAGATCTTCGACAAAACATATGCTACGTTTTCGGGTGCCTGGTCTGGCCATGACTCGATTCCGCCGATGGAGATTGGGGATTGATCTGTAGAGGGATTGTCAATTGAAACTCCTTCAACTGAAAAAGGGACGGTGGATCTGACTGGTGTAGAAACCCGACGTATCATGTTCTGCTGTATCAAAGAAGGGTATGATAGCGCTGATAGAGGAGGTGATCACTACCCGCTTCACTGAAGGCGTCTTTGCAGCAAAGTCCAGCACGCTCTGAGTGACACGCCACGATGTGGAACAAAACTCCGATACATTGACCTCCCCAAACCCAGAAAATGTAGGGGAGGCAACGTGAATGATAGCCCAGAGTCCGTCGGCAGCAGTATCGAAGGCACCTGGTACAGTGACGTCGGGTATCAAAACAAGCTCGAGTTGAGAGAGATAAGGCTGAACTGATGCTAGTGCTTGGATCTTGGCCATTTGAGACTCTTTCCGCAGCACAGCCCGGACTTGGTGACCACTTGCCAGGGCTTCTGTCAGGACGCGGCAGCCGATGTGGCCCGATACGCCAGTGATCTTGATGTGATTAGAGAAAAGCTATCATCACTAATATGCAGGATTTACTTACCAAGATAGTTGGTTGCTTTGCCATATTGATGCTTCCAAGAGGATTCACAGCGATGAGAGAAGCCATGGCGAAGAAATAGGAAAGGAAGAGGTTGATATTAGTAGATGTCAGGAGGGCTATCTTGGAACCCGAGGTTTGGCAGCTTATATTCGCTTTGAATCGCCGAAGCCATCTAAAGTTTAACTGGTCATGTTTAATTCAGTAAGGTATTAAGGACGATATGGTGGAGAGGGATAAGGGGGCAATGTTGCGGCTGGCGCACGGAGGGTGTTTTTGTTGGCGGGTATTATGGCCAACAGCACGAGACGACCGTGAATATGGAAGTCACAAGGCAAGCTGGCTGTTAATTGGTGAGTTTCAGGACTTGCTGCAGGTATTGTGAAGCTAAGAAACCCGCGGACTCCGTGCAGTATTCACGCATTAATATACATTGATGCGATGATGGTCGCTCTCGCTTTTTGATTGGGTTTCGGACTTTCGGTGTTTTCTCTCTCTGGAAAGGGACAGGGTTATCTTCCATAGTGGATTTGTTAATGTATTTGAGAAATGGAGATTGGCCCGCGGAGGTTACGTTGAAGCAAGGCTGAATCTAAAGTTTGGGACGGGCTTACTGCAGGTGGATCAGACCTGGGCGGATGGTGCCTTTTTGGTAAGGGAGCGCTGGACGTCTTCAGTGTTTGCAGACTCTGCTATGCCCGAGGAGAGTGGGCAAGAATTCCCTGGAGTCGTTCTTCCGGATACTACTCAGCGCTGCATCCTGGATGTAAGAACTATACCGTAAAATGCTGGTTAATACGGATCAACCACTCCATTTATGCAGAATCTACGTGAAATCCCGACTCTGCCAGCTGTGAGTTGCAATGCTCTATCCTAGCTCGAATTATAGCAATAGCTTAACTGGACACAGTATGATAGGCGAACATAAGAAGTACAAACGACCTCAAACGACTTACTTTGGAGTCCTCTCTAATGATTTAGATTAATGTGATAGGTGTCGTCTTGCCTTTAGCTTCGCGCATGAACTTTTACTTAGACAATAGTTTATTATTGCATGGCAAAACTCCAAATTATGTATAGGGCATAAGAAGACCCATCGAGGTTCCAGCCATCATGCTAAAGACAAAGGTATAGGTTCTTCTGCCTACAGAGAGGCAAAAGCGTCTGTTAGCGCTCACCGAGTTGATGGGCATTTTAGATAAAGACAACATATTATTCCACCAATATTGTCGTAGAAATCCTGCTATTGTGCCAAACACCATAATGGGGGCATATTTCCGACCAAGATCCTAGGTCCGATACCATTGTTTGAGAATAGCTACCGTGATAGCCTTTTACAATTGTTAAATACAAGTAAACAGTAGGGGATGGAAGATATTACCTGCAAGATGAGAGGCTGCAATAACATTTACCAGAGGCAGGGCATGATGATTCAATCCATAACGTCTGAAGTACATACACACGGCGGGGAAGATGGACACGACTCAGAGACACCGTCCCGAATGGTACGAGGTGGAAGAAGTTCACGCTGAGCATATATACATCTGAACACACTGACCCTTTGAGAGGATCACATAGACCGGGCCACGATAGCAACCATTGGGAAAACCCCGACAAGAAAATACCCGCATGTCATGCATAGGGTAGAATGAGTAATTGTGCGGGTGCGGGTGCGGGTGCGGGAACCTGTCATCCTCTCACATTAGCGTCAAGTCCTAGGCGCGACATGGGTCCATCTGGACCACATGGTTGTTTATTTAGGCTTTCTGAATGGATAGGTGAGTGGTATGAGGAGACGAGAATAAACTCGCAGCCGTTGACTAAACAAAGCAGAGACCCTTACGCTTATACAGGGGTCTATTCCGAGAGTCCGTCTTCCGTCTCACAAGGCTCCGAGATTCCGCTCCATCAACAAGACGCTGGGAATATCCCCAAAATGAGGCGGAGATTACCAATAGGTAGTCTGTATTCCGCGGAGATGTTGGAATTTCGGTAATCCCCGGCAGCTTTGAGACTTATATAGTTGAATCTGGCTCCTATAAAGCATCTAGAGCTTCCAACTACTGTGGCATGAAGCTACCTCCACAGCATTGAACAAAATACACCAATAATAACACTATCATCTAAGACAAGTACTTTCTCTTTCAAAGGACCGAGGATGGATGCATCTCCAAGTGTCGAAGAGCTCCTGAAGCGCAATGCGTAGGTATCGCTGACTCTGGCACACAACACCTTCAAGCTAACGGCGAGCAGGAAAAGGACAGAAACCTTCGAGCCTATCTTATCATTAGGCGAAATCGCCCAACTTCCGCCTGATAAGAGCCTTCCTATGCCCAAAATATTTATTGGTAAAGTTGTCTTGTCTATTGCAGGGGAAGGCAGCGCTGACTGGATCATGTTAGTGTCATGTTGCGATCCGCGTATCGACCCGTGGGATATACTAGGCCTCCAAAAATGGGGTATGTCCATATTGCTGCTAATTTTCGCTCAAAATGCTTACTTGAAATAGATGCAGTAGTAACCCGTGGTGCCGCCGGACGGATGGCTGCCCAGTTTAACAATCTGCTTTTCCTTGACCACATCCTCAATTTTACAGATGTCATGATTATACACCATACAGGTAAGTTGGATACCTCTATAGCTGTCCACCAAAGATTTACAATTGCTTACTGGCCTAATATAGATTGCTCAGCTGAGATCTTCTCAAACGCCGACGTTCGCCAAGCGTTGAATGAGCGGGCTCCAGGTGCCAATGATACCATCGGGACCCTTAGGCTTCCTGGGTTCGAAACGTATGTTTCAGAATCTCCGTAACGTTCAAAACGCATATCTAATGATTCATATACCAGCGAGAGTTTAGAGCAGAGCGTTCGAGAGGATGTTCAGCTTGTCAAGAGCTCAGCTCTGGTCCGAAAGGAGCTTGCGGAACGGACTAGAGGCTTCATATACAACCTCAAAACGGGGAAAGTTGAACCAGTGTCTTAACGAAGCACACCTTATCATTCCGGGACAAAGACTTTCTTAGTTATATCTTAACAATGAAACAATAAATCTCTTATGGTCTGAAGTATTGGCTTTAATTGGCAAGTCTGTCAGCTGGGAATATAAATGCAAGCAACACACTTTTAGCTAGTAATGACAGAATAAGGAATCCGGGCTTAGTATGTAAATGTTAATCCAACCAACTTCATCCATTTACCAGATGTAATCTATCTAACAGAATGAGCTCTCTTGGCAGACCATCCACGTGATTTGGTGGATTCTTATGCCTTGAGGAAGTGAACAAATGAGTGAAAAATATCGCCTGGGCTGTACGATATTTAAGAAGTAGGATAGTTGATGCTTTTTGTCTCAATGAAGGCATAAAGCCTATCGTCGATACCTGGTGATGCGAGGAATGAGATAGCAGAAAGTAGGTAGTAGCAGCCTCCCCGCAAAGGGCTGCAAATCCCAAACCAGATCCATGATATCTCGGCGCCGAAATAGCGTGTTAAAGTTTCACGACAAAACGCTCCCTCAGCCACTCCCCGTAACGATAAAAGAGGAACGGCACCGGAAGAAACAACAAGCTTATGAAGCCCAGCACGCTATTCCCCCACCCAAGTCCAAGGCGGGCATACAAAGACGGCCCCGCCAGCGGAAGGAAAGCCGCGAAGAGACATCGGAGGATCGTGTTGGCGGCCAACGCGGAGGCGGCAGCCTCGGCGCCAAAGGCATCCACCAGGTAGAGCTGGGTTGGCATCAGGACCAGGAGATAGCCGAAGCCGAAGACGGTGGTGGCGATGATGGGCACGATCCAATGAGTCTGCTTCTCTGCTGACCAGCCATACCAGAACATGCCGATGGGTACGGTGGGCAAGGCCCACATGAGTGGCTTCAGGCGTCCTTCGGGTTTGGGTGAATCTCCGAGTGCCTTGTGCATCCTGTCGCTGAGGGCGGCAAAGGCCACGAGAGAGGAGGCCGTTCCAATTCCGAGTCCAAGATACGATAGGCCAGACACCCCAGCGGAGAAGTGGTATTGTTCTTCAAAGACCGTAGGAAAGGAGGTGAACAGAAGAAACATGAGGCCGAAAAAGAAGGCGCACAGGAGAGAAAGGAGGAGGACGATTGGAGACAAGAATAGAAGCTTTGTTGGTCGAGAAATAGCAATGATGAATAGCTGGCGGGGAGTCAGGTTTCGTTCCATCTTGGAAACCAGGGCAGCATTGCCGGTTTCTTTTCTGAGACGAGCAGCTTTCCGTGATAGAAGAACGGCGGCATTGGTCTCACGGAGAAAGAAGATTGACGCGACAAATGATACAGCAGCCTAGGATTGAACCGTCAGCAACTTGAGGATCGTTGAGTGTACACACTACTCACGAGGATTGTGATGATCCAAAAGGTCCATCGCCAGCCAATTGATTCGGACACAAAGCCACCAGCTATTGGGCCCAACACCTTGAAGAATCGTCAGCCTCAGTGCCATAATAGTTTGCTTGGGTCAATGCTAATTACCGGTCCGAGAAGCGGTCCCACGTAGAACAGAGACATTGCACTCCCGCGCTGAGCTGGCGGGACGACATCGGCGACGGTTCCTCCACCAACCGTCAAAGGGCCTGAGGAGGCACACCCAGCAAGGAATCGAAAGGCCAGAAACATGCCGGTGTTTTTGCTCAGAGCACAGCCGATGGTAAAACCAATGTACATGACGTTGCAGACATGGTAGATCATAAGCCGCCCGTACAGTTCGGAGAGAGGTGCAATGACCATGGGCCCAATTGCGAAGCCGCAAAGGTAGATGGACACGGTGAGGCTTGTAATGGTGGAACTCGTGATGTGGAAATCGTTCGCAAGCGTGGCAGCTCCAGGAGCAAACATCGTCGCGGCGAGGTTGCTAAGTGAATGTTACCGTGGTCAGTACGGGGGTGCTTCATAAAAGGGGCAGAGGAGCTGCCTTACGCAGTGAGCAAGAAAAGGCTGCCAAAGGCGACTTGGATCAAGCGTTTCCATTTCGGCCAGTTCATCGGATTTTGGGGATCGTCTGGCCCATCCCAGTCGACGACATTGTCCTTTGTCTCCTGTTCAGTTGCTGTTTGATCAGGGTCGCTGGATTGGTCATGGCGGCTGTTTTCCGATACTGCCTGTTTCTCATGGGCGGATTCCAAGTCGCTTGCCATGTTTTACTGCCGAGGATGGTGCGATGATAGGTGAATGGCAAGTCTGGTTACCGGTGCCAGGCTTTGCTTGCTATATATTTCAAAGGAGGGCCAGGATGGGGACGGTCGCGTAGAGGGGCCATATTTTGAGAAAGGGCTATTAGCGCGACCTGTCAAATCTTCAAGTTTCTTCGTAAATACGGAGCGCAACTGGAAATTGCTCAATGGAAGGGTGGCTCGGAGAGTGGGCGGACACGGAGGGTGCGAGGAAGAGGTGGAAAGGAGGATCATCAGGAATCGTTGTTGCTAGCTGACTGTAGCAGAAAGAGGGTATATCTACTTAGATCCCCATAGTAAGCCCTCACATTAGTAAGTACCAGCTACACAAAGTGGATCAAACGTATTACTTAGTAGGGATTTTGAAGTATAAAGCGGAGGGTCGACGCGGAGGATCGGACGGTCGGACGGAGGGTCGTTGCTATCTCCAGGTTCACGCCGCCAGACCTCCTTGTCCTCTTCTTGAAGCAGCAGTGAACTGTTTGAGAGCGGAGCAAGGCAAACTCCTGCTTTGGGAACACTCAGATTGCCGCGAACGAGATTGAGCTTAATCCAGTCGCCATGGCCGACGAAGGCCACCGTCCGCGTCCGCCGCCAAATCGGCGCAGAGACAAAGCCCAGCTGTCCTGTGACCCCTGCAGACACCGAAAGTATGTAGTAAATATCCATCTCAAAGTCGTGCACGATTGACTTTGCCAGGTTGAGATGCGACCGGCAGCAGCCATGCGGCACTTGCTCAAGGCGTGCCATCACCAACTCCTGCCATTATGCGACGCCGTCTTCGACGCCTGATGCTCAGCGGCCTGTTGCTCCACGACAGTCCACCAGCCTCCATGTCCGAATAACCGAGCTGGAGAGCCTTGTCGTGACGTTGATGGAAGGCCAATCACTCCCAACTCCACCCGGGGCCCTTAAGTCACCGAGAACAAGCTTGCCATCATTCGAAGATGAGTTGCCTGAGATCCGGAGGCCAAAGAAATCTCAACATGAGGCGGAATCTCCAGCCGACCCAGGTACCCTCAAGTTGCGCGAGTCTGGCGCCAGTTATGTTCAGAGTGCACACTGGGAAGCCATTCTTACCAAAATCAGAGGACTGAAGGAGGACTCGGTGACTGATAGCAGGGCTCTTCCCGGCTCACACTTGTTCTATGGCCCGAACCGCCATGCAACTCGAGAGGAGATACTAGCTGCTATTCCTCCTCGTCAAGTCGTTGACCGGCTCATGGCCCTTCACTTCGATTCCTACTTTGTTACCCCTTGTTTGTACATCTGGTCCTTCATACCTCTCTCCGAGACATTAACCGTGTACTGTAGATATCATTCATGGCAAGAAATTTCTCCGAGAGGTAACTTCTTAATTCAGCCAGTCAAAAACAATCTAACATTTGGGCAGTACGAAACCTTCTGGGAAGACCCAGGTGCAACTTCTATCTCCTGGATCGGTCTCATGTTCTCCATGCTATACATTGCTGCGCAGCTGCAGACTTTCACCATCGACGTCAGCGATGGACGAGCCGAGTCGCTCAAGGCGGAATGTCTTGCCATGAAGGATGCCTTCCGGGAGAAGGCCATCCAGTGTCTTGTTCTGGCTAGGTACACGATGGGGGGACCATACATCTTGGAAACCCTCATAAACATCCTTACTGGAGAGTTTGTACTGTTGAAAGACGGCGGCGTTACCGATGGCTGGCTTTTGATCGGCATGATACTTCAGCTTGCAACGCGGATGGGCTGCCATCTAGATCCGGATCACTTTCCGGGAATATCCCCATTCGAGGCTGAGATGCGTAGACGCATGTGGATTGTTATACTCCAACTCGATCTGAGTCTCTCCTTGGAGACGGGGCTTCCTCGAAATGCCACAAATACCCACATCGATCCAAAGGAGCCCCGTAACCTGCGCGACTGTGATTTTGACGAGGACACAACTGAGATGCCGCCGTCGAGGCCTGAGACAGAGTGGACGCCGGTGCTCGCCCTAATTACACGAGGGCGACTGGTATCCGCTCTGGGCTTGATTTGTGACATCAACACTGATATCAGTCCTCCTTCCTACGAAAAAGTCAGCAAGGTCGAAAACCTTCTTGAAGACGTGCGCAACCATGCTATCCCGCTCGTGCTCCGCTGGGGAACTGCGCCGCACCCCATCACGGATAGCCCAAACCTCGTGATACAGCGTGTAAGTGTAGAGACGACCTACTATAAAGCACGCATCCTCCTATACCGAAGATCTTTGGTCAGCGGCCAATCTCCGCAGTCTCAAGAGCGGGACAAAGACTCAATTCGAATCTGTTTGGATTCCGCACTCAAGATTCTATCGTTTCAGGAGATGCTCCATGAGGAGTCTCAACCATTTGGCCGTCTGTGTCAGCTTAGATGGAAGGTCACTCACATTTTAAACCAAGATGTGCTCCTCGCTACTAGCGTACTCTGTCTCTACCTTCAAGATGTCGATAAATTTGAATTGCCACAGACTGCAGGACGGACAAGGCGGTTACCGAGAGCTGAAGAGGTTCGACAGCAACTAACAATCTCCCACAAGATTTGGCTCCAAAGGAGTACAGGGTCTGCAGAAGCTGGAAAAGTAGCGAAAGCTCTGAGCATCGTCCTTGGAAATACAGAAGGGTCTGATGAGAACGGTGACGGACCACTTTCTTACGACTTTATGGCTGACATTGACGCTATACCTGTGAATGGATTTGGCGCAACGTTCAACAATCAATGTGAGAAGCACACCCCCTCATTCCGATCACAACTAACAAAGAGACTTGTCAGATTTTGCTTCTGGCTTCTACTCCCCTCTCAGCTTTTTCGACAATGTGCTGGAAAACCGAGGGACCTGAAAAGACGACTGTTTGCCCATCAATCGGCCCCTGGGATCACATGATAGAAAGCTGGAACCGAGCTTCGAGGGATGCGATATCAGGACTGCCCCAGTTTGACAGGCAGTTAACTCTTCTTGCATCTCATTTGCTGCCTCATAAAAGTTTCTTCTTGATGTCGATTTTGATAAAAGATGGAGGAGGAAGAGTAGGCTCAAACTCCTTGTGCCTCTTTATACGGCTTCTTATCTATATCATCTTGATTTCTCCAGTAGGTTTGTTTGGTCGTGAACTTAACGCGAGGAAGGTTATCGATTCTCGGTCGCGTTGCGCTCGAAGGGATAGGCTTCGTCGATAGCGGGACGCGCATTTGGTAGGGCAGTCTTCAATGATTAAAATCCCATTCCTCCTTGCTCGAAGTGAGCCACTCTTGGCACGGGTTGACCTTCGCCGGTCCGACCCCATAGCTGGCCACAACGCGAACCATATCTGGGGGCATCGGTTCTTCGAGTATCTTTGGCATACTGTCGTCGTCATCATCTGGGATGAGCTTGCTCGGGTCCAAATACACGTCGAAGAGTAGATAGCGTGTCATGTGTGCGAGATAGTCGAGCCTTGGACTTTGTTGATGTCGAGAAATGGAAGAGGCTCTCTCGGGAGAAAGAAAGGCCTGCGGGGCCTTGACAAAAAGGCTAGGAGTCTTGCCAAACGCTGAGTTCAAGGCCGTGCGTGAATCAAAGTGTCCACAAGGAGATGGGGTGAGGATGAGCGTAGAAGCTGCGATGAAGTTGATTGGGAACGGGAAGGGATATGGGAAAGTGAAAATTAACACGTGATGGAAAGGTCAGGAAGAACTCAGATTGGACAGAAGAACGCTTGTACCAGAAGAAGAAACATTTGGAGGCTTCTCCAGCTTTTGGGGTGTGTTTGGCCGTTGTGCTGGAGCATCAAAGTCTGTTGTTCTCCATTTGGTACCTCGACCGCCTACCGACCATTTCTGATTGTGCTGGCAGAACTAACTAATTTCCATAGACTTTTATTCCGGCGCAAATTGAGGCTGCTGTACTGGACAATGGAGAAATGGCAGGCTGTCTCGCAACATCGTACCGTCTCAAACGTGGAGGTCAGTTTACTGTAAGTCAGAACGACAAGCCTTTGAACAATGGAAATAGCAGGGATAAATCAAGTTTTTATTATTTCCCGAAAGGAGTTCAGATAATGATCCTTATCTGTAGTCGCCACATTGTCTAACTCTCCTAACAGTAAGACAGCCGCGACGGTGACAAAAGCTGGTCGTTTTTTTTTAACGTCCACTGCGCGCGCGAAGCCGCTGATTAACAGTAAGTTGCATTCTTGCAATCATACTCCATATTCCACCCTTCACCAGTACATCGTATTCCACGCAGATAACATTACAGGAGGCCACACATAGCCAGCACCGCTTGATCCGAAGCTTCTTCTCCATTGACATCACCAATGTAGCCAAGCCTGCCGCTCCCAACCCTGACGAAAGCCACGGCGGCCTCCCCAGATCTTGTGCCCTCTGAGTACCAAGTTGCCGATCTCTCCACGTTCTGAAGAAAAGTTGCCTTTTGGCTGCATGAGGCAGGCAGTTGGCGAGAAGTTCCGTCGGCACTCGTGTTCAAATAAACCGTCGTCCGATGATACGATCCTCTTTTCCATGGAAGGCCGAGCCTGGCAAAAAACCTGTGGAATTCACCCTCATTAACCATACTACTGAACAAGCCAGCTAGCACAACCGTCGCACCATCGCGCAGGTGGTCAATGACGCGGTCCCAGACCCTTCTCTGGCGTGCGAGACCTCCATCAGTGACGAGAATGACGGATGGGCGCGGTTCCTGGTCAAGCATCGTAAAGGCAGCTTCTGGTGTCCTGGCTCGTTCCATCTGGGACTTCGCAGTGATTCGTGAGACAAGTGCTCCAAAACAATCGTCGAACAAATTCTCGTTCTCCAGGCAAAGCGCAAGAATACGGCCCCGGAACTGTCCAGAGTTAAGCGTGACATCTTTAAACTCGTCCACCGCAGGTCCGGTCTGCGTGATGAGTTTGGCAGCTCTGTCGGCTTCCTGGTTTAGCTCTCTTGGAATCTTCCAAAAATCAACGGCAAACCCTTTGTCGACCCATCTCTCCACCTCGCCGAGGACTAGCTCCCAAAGATCTCTGTTTTTTACATCGCCGCCAGTGTTGTTCTTCCATCCGTTCCGCACCCATTTTTTTGTCCACTCCGTGGCACCATCTACCACATATGAAGAGTCGGTTGCGATGACAAGGTTGGCGTAGTCCTCAGCTTGCCAGTCGCAGAGACGAAGGGCAGCAATGGCCGCACGTAATTCAGCTCGGTTACTGGTCGCTGTCTTGCTGCCCCCAAACGGACCTTTGTCCTCAAGTCGTCCGGACACAGTATAGCAGCCGTTATTCATTCTTCTATTGGTTGGGAGCCCGAAAACCACTGCCCAGCCAGCTCGGGGTTCCTGCTGTCCATTGTTGAAACAAGCACCGTCGACGAACACCAACACCTGTGCTGGGTCATTGCGATGAACAAACCGGGGGGTGTCGCTACCAGCAGTAACTGTCGACACGAAAAGCTCACCAGGGGAAGAGACAGACTGAAATTTAGATGGAAAGGCTCTTCCAATTCCTTGCGTCTTGTCCCATATCTGGGATGTTCGGTTTCTTGACGACGTGGAGGATGTGTCTCTCCCACTGACAGTAGCGGCTTGGCCTTGATACACACTAGTAAAAGCTGCGGTGTCTGCATCAATCATCACCATTGCGTCTCCAGACTCACTCCAGGCATGATGACATTGGTACACGACCAAATCTGCCTCTTCCTTGGAACCTCTACTATAATATTGCGGGGGCGATGGTGTCTCTCCATCAACTAAAGCTTCCCAGATGTAGGGGTTCGCATCGTGTACCTGCTTGCAGAGCGTGAGATATTGATCCTTCAACATTTGCGCCGTTTGTTCCAATTCGTATATGTCCACCCCTCTCATCTTCTTTCGAATATAATGCCCAAGCCGCGGTTTATCTGTGTCGTCTGTGTCGCCGTAGAGGTCAAAAAGACTAGAGGGGGCACCGAGCTCAGCGACAAAAGTAGAGCATGCGTCCATATCCAGATAAAGACGCAACTTCAAGAGTGTCAAGGCCACCAGATGGTCGAGACTGATTCCTTTTGAGGAGAATATATCCACAGGTTCGAGAGGGTCGGCCTCGGGAAGATGTAGGTATGGTGTCGTAACATCCGACACGTTGTCAGCAGTAGCCCACCACTTCAAAAAAGTGGTAACATTCCTGCTCCCGCCCAAGTCGAAGTTGTACGTGGGGAATGATGTCACGAACGCCCTGATTGTCGTGTCGACACAGCTGGATCATTTCGTTGAAATGCTCGAGGGCACTCTCTACCGCACGTTTCGTATGAACTTGAAGTAGTGCGTTGGCAGCGGCGAAGCGCGCCCTCATATAGTCCCGAGTCTCAACGATGCCCCAAAAGTATCCCACGCGGGTCTGAAAGACATCTCCTGAGCTGGACTGGGCTTCAAATGCCAGGTCGGTTCGGGCTTGAAGTTTGGACCTTTCGTGCTCCAATGTTTCTCAGGTCTTCTTAATGGCGTTGCAGCTGACTTTATGCTTCGATCGGTGGAATGCCTGGTGTTCAGTGCCACAGTAATGGATCACCTTGCAGCCACCGCAAAGAAGTAATCCGGACTTTTTGAAGCAGACAGCGCACCTCGGTGGGCCGCTTGGCCCAAGTCGTGGTAACATGTTGTCGGAATCCGTGCTGTCAGAACCGAAGCCGTCAGAATCGAAGCCGTCAGAACCCATGCTCTCAAAATACATCGTGGCAGCTGATTGAAGCTAACAGGTGTTGGTTTTAAATTCGCAAATCTAGTTGACGAAAAGGTTTCACGCAAAATTTGTTTGTTGCAGAGGCTGCCTCAATCGTGTGTGGTCGCTCTTTCCCCATGTTCGCTTTTCTACAGCGAACTGGTGTTGCTGCCTGAGGCTGCCGTGGCGCCAAACGCCAACGCGCTGATACGCCTCCAGCTGATCAGATTCTCCTCATCTTTCCGGTATCTCGATGTTGGTTACAAGGTAGTAACTTCTAGGTAATTGCGATTTGCTCGCCTAAAGCCTATTTGTTCTTTGTTACGCGAAATATGTGACCTACGAATGACCGATCTAATGCCTCTTGGATCACCTAGTCACAAAACTACACGAGCGACAAGTCTTGCTGAAATTTCCAGTGAATGAATTGTGAGACGTCTCAGATAGCCTCCATTTAATTGAATATCAAACATCATCTGTATACTCGACGGCAGCCACCCCGTGTCTTTAGTAGAAGCCCCGGATCCTACCACATCCCGAGATACGTGTTTACCATGGCTTTTGGCCAACCACATTTCCAGCAGGCGAGTAGTGAGCAACGATGTAGTCGTAGCCATTGGCACCTCTGGCGGAAGCAATACCAACCTTTTTAGTGTTCTTCCACATGACCTGAGCTGAATTTCAATAACAGATTAGATAATGTATTCCGGTGTCGTCATAGAGTAATGTTCTCTTACTGTAGTGACCATATGATGCAAAGTTGCCCTGGGGAATCTTCTCACCATGATAATTCTTCTTCTCGTTGGTCCTAGAGCAGCTACGGTTAGCTCATCGCTGTTTATTGTCTCATTCAGTTAAAAGACTCACCAATAACTCGTACCGGTAGCAAGAGGGGTGTTAGATTTCCTTTAGAAAAGAGGTAAGCATCAGTATTGGGGCCATTCGAGGCTGCAGGGACAAAGGCAGATCTCACGGAGCCTTGGACAAGTTCTCTCCCGACTGAGAATGCTCGAGGCCGCCGTTCTTTGCAGCGAGCTTCTTTGCGTATTTCAGAGCACTAGCATGGAGCCCCGCATCCCATTTGAGAGCTGGGATGGACCTCTCGGCCCGAGCTTTATTATGCATTTGGAGGGCTTTTTGCTGGTCGTTGGTGAGAGCGAGGTTCTCTAGAACCACTTCAGAAGCAAACACATCATTTTCAGGGCCGTCACGAAGGGTGATGTCATTGCTGACTTCGGGGACGGGGTTTGCCAGAATGGTCTGGAGGGAGAAGAGGAAGGCCGCTTTGACGAAGAGAGTAGAGAACTGCATGTTGATTACTTCTAGGGAGCACGTTGGTGAAGGAAGTATCTGATGGCTAGTATATATTGCACAAGATTGACCAGAGGCTGCATGGCATCTTGAAATTATCCAGGATGCCTGCTGGTTTAAATAGCTGCGAGATCGCTGAGTCAAACCCCTCACATCATCACCGGAATCCGAGAGTGCGCCACCAAAGGACATTTGGGCTTAGCTAACTGAAACAATAATCAGATGCAAAGTCCGAGGCAAGCTGACAATCTCAATGGTCACGTTGGCAGGTTCAAAACAACCTGCTGACGAAAGATCTTTCGGCAGTGACTTGATCAAGAACACAGTCCCGATTTCGAGGGCGTCAATACACACAAGAACGGCTCCGTATCCCTTGGTATGTGTCTTAGTTTTTTAACTCAACGTTGTTCTAAGGGCAAAAAGTGAAACAAAATGCATTAATATGGTGGTGATTCTTATCAAGCGGTTTGATTTGCGCAGCCTAGACGTCGGCTGAGGGGTTGCATCCTGCCTGTGAAAATGCAGATTTCACAATCTTACCTCATCCGACGACTGATTTGACAAAATTGTAGCTGAAAACACCGCGCAGAAAGTCAAACGCCACCGTGTTTGGGGCCACAAACTGGTGAAGAACTTCTGCTTGATATTCAGCCCACATTCCTGTGATAGGCCCCCATGATCACCCAAAGACCCGAAATGCTTATATATTAAAACTAGCCTGCCACACTCTGCAATGTGTCTCAGTATGGTATTCTATAATAGAACGCCGTATGAAGGTCAATCTCTCTTAAAGAAGAAGAGGGGCATTTTATCCATAAACGGCCTTTTGAATAATACGCCACCCGTCGTTCAACATCATGCAAAAGGCCCAACGAAAGACCTATCAACTTCCCAATATAATTTACACCAGACATAGCGGCCAATCGAAAAAGAACCACTATAGCAGTATCATATAAGCGACTTTTGCAAGAAACATGGGCCGCAGGAGAAGTCTCATCTCGCGGCGGATGGGCAGACTAATCAATTCGATACATGCGGCTTAGATTGCTTCAAGACCTGATGGTTATGGTAAAGTAGAAACCCTCGCCCATCTCATGTGCTCCAAAATATGTCCTCCAGATTGATGTTGGTTTCCATACTGAGGGTTAATAATACATTGGTTATGCTAAATTAAATTACTTGAGAGACTTTCCCTTGATTTCAATTTTCTTACGTCTTTAGGGCCATAGCTAACAGAGGATTTTTGAACATCGGCAAATACCTTCCTAAAAACTGAGTTGAGAAATGGTCTCTCCTTGCTTCTCTATGAGAGAAGCTTTTCTTCCACTTTCTTCACATCGGGGTAATATTGGATTTCATGCTCGAAAGAGCTTTCCTAACATCATTTTATTCCTCAAATTGTCGAGGATTAAGGATCATCGTTTTAAGAACCACAGTTTTATTGGATTGGGCGGGTGCTAACCATATTTGATTCGTACATCTTTGACTGAACGGCCTCTCTATACCGGACGTAGAGCACTTGAATTCGCTTCACTATGCATTGCCCACCGAGAATGATACCGAACTTTATTGTTCGCGTATCAAGCCTTCAGTCCACGCCAGGATGACTCTGATATAAACTAGGCATGTTCAAAACACCATTAGTGCTACATTGCATCACGATTTGACCACAATGTTCGAGTCAGTAACCTTGTAGTCATTGCGCTTCGACCATCGGATTTGCCACCCCTCAACTTATTGCCCGTAGATACTTGCAACCCTCTGAGGCCGTAGTACCAATTTTATTTACGCGAGAGCTTGTTCATGTCCTACGTTATGCATCGGATATCGCCTCTCCAGGACAATGGACATGGGGGTGAAACCCATTAGGCAAAGAGGGTCGGTTGGGGAAGCATACAACCCGGGGTTCTAACCAATAGGGGTGTGGACATCGTATCAGCATGGGATAGACCAGGTTCGGGCTTCCTTTTCTGCCCACGCCTTTTTCATGGAGCGGCCGATTCAAGTTACCAACTTTCCGGATCTTGCAATGCCTCGCGATCCCTCCCAGTCAGAGGTTACATGTTGCAACGCTTACTTAAATTCTCCTTCCTAATGTCTATAGTGAGCCTAGGCTCATTTCCTGCATCGGTAAGTAGAAGTCTAGTCAAAACTTTGATACGTCACTCAATAAACTTGTTTATTACTAGAAATATGCATAAAAAGAGGCCAATTTCCACATTATCAAAAAGCCTCCTACCATTGTCACTGTCCCTTAAGTCCCTTCGAATTCTCAATCGACAATACTTATCGTCAATATGCGGTCGATTTTCAACCAGATCATTGGAACTTGTGCTCTCATAGCAGGTGTCGCTGCCGCTCAAAGTCAGCAGCTGATAGTCAAAAGTGACACAGCGGAATGGCGTGCTTGGGTTGGTCAAGGCCATGCCATTTTCGTAGGAGATGTGTGGGAGCCTATGGAAACTAAGGCCAACATCAGTAGTACGCCACTTTTACTCAAGAGCACGGAGTGCCTAGCAACTGCTAACTATGATTTTCTGATTGAATTAGTTGTGGATTGGACCACGTCCCAACCTAACATTTTCGTGGAACCAGACCTAGGCTCCACGAAGGAAGAGATCCCCGATGGTACATACTTGTATATGTATACTGGAAACCCAGAAAACGGCAGCAACATATATCTCGGCCATCAGGACTTTCCTCCATACTCGGGTTACAGCATCAAAGATGATTGGGAAGTTGTCGATGGTCAGTTGTTGCCACAAGGAGAAACTGAATCGAGATGGTATATGACGGACATGTGGTGGTATGGAACCTTGGGCATTGTTTGGTGGACTGTTACGCCTGATGATCCAGAATGGATTCCCATCAAACTGTCCCTTTCCCCTTAGTGTATTCTCGCAAAACGGCTGTTGATTAAACGAATGGGATAAATCTAAAGGGGCACCTAAAGATGTACCTGAGGGGTCCATAGCTAGTTAGAAGGTTGATAGTCAGGGTATGTTTTGGATTTAGGCCCGCCTTGGAGCTCATTTCACCCAAAACGAAATCAATTTCTCATGCCCGAAATAACGCACAATACAGACAAAGATTCAGACATCTCTCTATATTGCCCTCTTGAGGCCCCAATAAAGTCGTGTAGCTGTTACATTTGCTCATATAAATCCAACCCAGCCCTCCAGTCACACCAGATACAACTTATCCACGGGGGTTCGAGGCTCAGTCGAAGCTGACCAGCCGTGAGCTAGACGCTGCCTGGAATCTTATAAAAAAAACTGACGACGCTACCTGCACCCGGATCATTGGAGCCATCCACAAGGAATGGTCACAGATAGATGATCTCTACAGGCCGTTTTGGATCAAACTCCAGACCCTGTTCCATCAGCTTCCTCCTCTCGTCGAGCCATTTCCGCCATTTCCCATACTCTCTATTCCGATCTTGGTTGAATTCAGGAATTCCGGTCCTAGGATGCACCGGAATCTGCATCGTCTTCGCCCGTTCGGCTACGTCGAACCGCGTATGAAGTTCTCCATTAACCATAAAATCGATGGTATCGCGTACCCCCTCCAACACAATCGCGCCGTACTCTAGGCTTTCAGTGTTCAAGTCCCAAAGTTTTCTGAACCCCCAGAGCATGTGCTCGACCAACCTCGTTTCTGGGGCTATCTGCTCGTTGTCAAGAAGACCGTTCCGAGCGCGAGCGCTCCGCCACACAGGACTGGTGCCAAAGTCTTCGTTGCTTGCGCTGAGGCTTCTATGCCTAACACCGTCCGTCGGAGATAAAACATCAATCACAATTCTCTTAATGACGTATGGGGAAGAGGGATCATATTGGAGCGGGGAGGGCTTGAGGAAACCTGGCCCAGACTGTAACAGCGCGGCCAGCAAGAGGTGGAAACCCCACATTCCCCCGCCCGAGCATCCTTCTGAGCCTCCAAGGAATAGACTATGCTTGAATTTCTCGTCCAGATCCTGTGTAGGCTCGAAGATCCTGAAAGTCGCGTGGACAGAATCAATGTACTGCGTCTTAGGGAACGCGGGGATGGACCACGTTGTCCAGAAGCCATGGTCCTTGACAAACATGATGTCGACGTGGTAGTTGGTGCCAAAAAGTTCAAGGACCTTCTGAATGTCCGTATAAAATTGCCGGCTCACCAACATGAGTGGCAACGAGAGATTCTTGGGAGTCAGATGCCAGATGTAATAGTCATCCCAGAACTCATCGCAGAGATGTTTACGGCCACGCTGACTTGCGGACGGGGATTCGGGAGGCGTCACCCGAGTGCATATGGCTAATTTGAGTATTCGCTGTCGAAGTTCGGTTGGGAGCTTTAGAAAAGCCATCTTCTGTTTTGGTCCTATTTTGTGCTGCTCGGATTCTGGTGTTGGGTTGTTGGCTGATGTGTTCAAAATTGTAAAAGAATGGTGACATCGAGTACCTGGACTGAGTTGAAGGAGTACGGAAGAGAGTTCGAGTATAAAGTTAAACAGCAGTGGAAGATGCCAGATCCGACATCTCAACACAATGAGTACGAAAAACTTGACTTAAAGGAGTACAAGGGAATTTAAGTCGTCGAAAAAGACTCGTTCTTTACACTGCCTAGATCACGCGGAAGTTTAACACGAACAAACTTTCGTGAAAAAGCAACACACTGAAATATTCTTCTGGTCTTGGAACTAAATCGTATTATATAATCTCGATCAAGGATGAGGTGGGCTGAGCTGGAAGCTAGCTATGGTTATACTCCGTAAACCACCTTTCTTGTCAAAATCACCTACGATAGAGTTTTGAGTAAATGACTCACAGACATAGGCAAACTTTTTGGCTGCAGTCGCGAAGTCAAGTCCTCCGCGCACACCCTCTATTGAACTTTCAGTGCGATCCCTGGATTCTTTTCCTCTATTGTCGAATAAAAACGGCCCTAGATATTTCCTTCGCCCTTTTTTTACCTCTATTTATACCTCTTCCACAGCTTGTCTTTCGTTGAAGTGATTAGAGTACCTCCTCGTAGGCTCTCACTCACTTATTATTGAATGTAACTATAAGGTCATGCCAAGCTAGGCGTTCACGACACATAATCTTCCATCTATCAAACAGTCTAAGCAATTTATAAATATAATCCCGTAGATCTTTAAACAGCAGATAATTGAATGAATTCCAGAAAACCATCCCGAAGCAGCACGCGGCGTGTTTAGACGCGGGGACCGAGCTTACCCCTCAGGGGCAAGGTTTTTGATGTGTCACTTATTGCCAACATTTAGCCTGCCCCTGGCGTGATTGCTACGCTGTGCCGCATTGTGCCACACATTCGCAGGTCAACAGAGACTTTGGTGTTGGAGTGTGACCGGCTGACCCCGCAGCGGTGAAAGCTGAGATATGCCTTATTTTATTATTGTGGTTAATTCAACCCTTTTCCCAGAGGTTTCTCAATAGTAAAAAACAATCAACCTCAAGATTATATAGAAGAAAGCAATTGCACATTAACTCATATTTCAAAAGGTCAGTTCTCGGTCCTAATGGGGTGCATGACTAGAGAACTAAACGTAAGCCGACCAACTCTCACGTTCAAGCAGCAAGCAGGATGAAGACCAAGCCAAGAAGGTCTTAGCTTACCAATTAATCAACTTTACGCACTACCTAAAACGAAATAAATAAGTTAGACCCAGACGAACCCCAGCATCAAAGGAACTTGCGTTGTTTCAACACCTGGCTTCGTGATGTTGATGTTATACTGCCATCCTTCTATTTGCGTACTAAATCACTTAACAAGTTCTCTCAAATATTTGGAGTACTGATCTAACTCAGTATTCCGAGTCACTCTGTGGGCTTCCCTCTCAATTTAGTTAACATGTAAAATATCACGAATGCTCGGCGTATGGGCCGGAGTTCGATAAATATCCCACATACAGACACAGATCAACGGTCACAGATGAGGTAATGAGTGGCCAAGGATATGATTTGAATCATTTATTTATTGAATCAACGCATCGCTTTATCGTTAAAATTCATTTCATCTAGGCTACACTAGTCAGACAGGCGACTTCAAGTCTCAAGAGTGGTCGTAGCATATTTATAAGATCAATCCTAGACCATCATGGTCTGCAATGCACCTTCCGGGTCTAGCCCTTGAGGGATAACGCTCAAGAGCTAGAAACGATACCGCCGGCAAGGACGGTGGGCTTCTGGTTGGAGAAGTTGGGAAGATCGGCAACGAGCTCGGCCTTCACAGGGCCATCACGGGCGGCCTGGAGCTTCTCCTTGTCGTCCCACTTGAGGATCAGACCGGCCTGGTAGGCGGGGGAACCGCCGTCGGCGCCGTGGGAGTACTTGACGACCTCCCAGCCGACAAGGCCGAGGTCCTTGAGGGCCGCAGTGAGCTTAGGGACGTGAGTGCCGACGAAGTACTCGAAGTTGAACTTGATGTCGTCGTTGTTGGGGTAAAGGATAGTAAGGTTGATGGCGACCATTTTGAAGGTTGATTTATGGGTGAAGAAAGGGATAGATTGTTGTCTTGTTTGGAGGTGTTGGGATGATGATAGAAGAAGACAAACAGATTTTGGAAGTTCGAGCAAGCGAGCTTCTTTATACTCTTCACGGAGCCAGACCAGATGGTGAATTCATGGCCAACTCGACTTTCCCCTCGTTGCAACTTACCTTTGCCCCTCCGTGCCCCTCGATGCCCCTCGTCTGCACACGCACGCCTCGCAGGGATGGCAATCCTCAATTGGTGCACGTTTCGTAGGTAATATCTATTGGATATCCATTCACTTAAGAAGTGAGCCCTTGGCTCATGCCATCATGTCCCCCGGTGACGAATCTGTCGTGCATTGAAGACCAAAATAGCCCCTGTTTCGGCCCCGCAGCATGTATCATGAGAACCTTTGAAGACGAAGGAGCGGTGAAAGTGTTGGTTGGAACGTCGTAAACGTGATTGCCAAGAGCAGTTTTGTAGTAATACCTCGAAACTTATGTCAGACGGCAATATCATGGCCTGGAATCCCACCCTCTCTCTACCGAAGAGGGTGCCAACCGAGCGGGGCATTATGAGGAATGTTAAAGCCCGGACCATGATTACTGCTTTGAGCAGCTGCACCTCCATTCTTGGCCGGATGCTTACTTGCAGCCTCCAACAGGCGGGCAAGTGGGCGACAGAGGCAATGGTACGCAGAAGCACTCGCTTGACAAATACTCGATCTACCATCCTTCACAGCGAGCTACAGAAATTAGGTAGTAAGATAAAATTAAAGGAAAAGAATATCAAGATGTTAATTTTAAGCATCTATAATCTCTGCTTAGAATTAGTTACTTATTTTGATATGTAGGTGTTTATTTGGTTGTTTATTTGGGTGATTATGGATCAACGTATCCCGTCTCACGCGCGCGCGACCCTTGGAGCTGTAAGAGACACTTACCTTAATAGTAAGGAGTGTCCCAGATATCCCTGTTGGGAATTATTTGTGGCTATTGTGGCTAATAAATGGAGGAGTTTTCTTATTTTGTTTTACCCTTACCCGGTCCCTGGTACCGTCGGTCTCGTAGTTGTGAGTGGATGTAGAATTTGACATCAAGTTTCCGGGCATCAAATATTCGCTATGGACCTGCTGATTAAAATAAAATATTTGGTCCTTCCACTTAATGGTACCACTTACATGTAGCCAACAGAAGGAGATGTTGTTCCCTCTATGGCACTAGGGTAGTTGCGATGCCGAGATCCTCTCGGATCTCATCTGAACTCATGCCATGAAAGAAGCAGCCTTGTTCGTAAGGCCATGGTTATGGACAGATATGCTGCTACGACCGTACGTATAGGAAATGGTCAATGATTCTTTCTCGAAAAGAAGTTTAGACTAGACCAAGTAATTAACATCGATGATCGACGTCTTCTCTTTGATAGGCGTTCCTTAGGCTGTGGCAATGATTAAGTTCCGTGATCTTGTGGTTTCGTTCTGATAAATAATCTTCTGATACATAAACTGAAGTCTCAAGTAGGTCCCCGCCTTGTTCATAGCTCTCATTGGGAGGTGCAGTGAATGCTTAGCCTTTAGTCATTACATCTCAACATACGTTCCTCCTATTCCTAGTCAAACTTCTATGTTAAGCGTGCCGCCAATGGCTAACATATAACTGGCCAGGCTTTGCCCTCACGAAGTGATGCTACAGATTTGTAAGTAAGCAGTTTCATGTCTCAGGATGGGCGGAAGCAATGGTCATTGAGAATTCTACATACAGTAGTGAGCCTGCTAAGCCAAGCATGACTTATGATGCCTACAGAGCATCTTGGAATAACTTCTTCATTCCGCGCTCCAAGGTGTCCCGGACCTCTTCACCAACTGAATCTTCCGCGAATGCTTCTGCCAGGTCGGTGAAATTCAACGATTCTGCCAGTTCCAACACCATTGAGATTTCGTCAATGATTTTGTGGATAATACCGTGCCTGCACATCGGGTCCCCCGCGGCAATGATGAGACTTTCTGTGATCAAAGAAATTCTGGTGAGGCTGATGCCAGCATCCTTCTCACGAAACTTGGACATAATCTCATCATAAACAATCCGATAGCGTTGAAGGGCCTCAGGCGAGTCCTCCCAACAGCCAACCGGCTCCTCGCCCTCGTCCATGGACTCATGGTAGCCGTACATCGACGGGTCCCAATCTCTTGTAAGCCAACCGGGATAGGCTTCATTTCCATAGCTCCTGGCAGAACAACACACACCATCCCAGTCAATGATGCCCAGCAGCTGGCCATCCTCGGAGACAAGGAAATTCTGTATGTCAAAGTCAGGGTGCGCCAACACAAATGGTTTATCATTTATCGGCTCCGGGATGCACTTGATTAGTTCTTTCAGCAGCAAACTGACTCCTCTTGCAAAGGGCTTTGTGCGGGGGTGCAAGTCTAGAAAGAAGTTGTATTGCTGCTGAGGATCTTCAAAAGCCGGTACCTCGACGTAGATAGGGTCCTCGCTGTCATCCTCGTGTATTTGCCATCGATCGAGCATCTGTTGATGGTCGAGGCACCGCGAACGACCAACACCGGAAGGATTGCCCTCTTCGTCAAATTTGACAAACCCAGAAGAGTCGAAGGAGAATTTGCCCAGCTGAGACATCGCTGCACCGATATCACTCAGTGCCCGTACGCGACGCGCATGGGTCGTCTCCATGTCAACACCGCTCAAGTGATGTCCAAACCAGACATCATACAAGGACATGCTAGATATGAATGACAGGAGAATGTATGGGCATTTGACGTCATTATCCGTTGTTGAAGAGAATCCGAATACCTCGGGAAGCGGGATGGTCGTCTCTCGGTTCAGCAAACGCATGGTATTTACTTCGGAGATCATCGCATCGGCAGACAGCTGGTCCCATTTTCCTGCAACTCCGTTGACAGGAACTTTCGCGAGCCAGCGCATTCCATCTTCGAAGTGCAATGGGAAAAGAATGTTGAATGAACCTCGAATAGGAGCCCCAACGGAGGGAAGCTGATCTGCGAAGGCGGGTCGAACTTGGGAGGCGGCCCTTGATAGTTGCTGGAGATCAATGCTTGCAAGCACGGGAGCGAACATGTCAGGCTCATCTTCAGATGCCAGATCATCTGTTGGGGTATCAATAGCATCGATGGACTCATCGAATGCCTTTACTTCATCTGCATTCGCCATTGCAGATGAGATGCGAAGGTTGGTTGGTGCTTGATTGGATGGAACTTGCGAGTACGTTGTGGGAGAAAAGAAAATGAGAGAAAATTTTCACACCAAGGGAAGTTCAACCGAATTAATAGGTGCATCATAAACATGAGTAATCACTCTCCTTTGTCACGGATGACAAGATGCATTGTTTGTACGACAATCAATCTGTGATCCAGAGCAAGCCGACCCAAACCGCTGTGTAACCGAACTCGCTTGGACAAAGCAGAATTTCGCCACTAGAAATTGAATCCGAAAGCCTTTCAGTATCCCATATGCGATTCTAGTTTCGTTGATGACTAAAGTGTACGTGCTTCAAACATTATTCATTGGGTTGAGATGCCGGGTCTGGCATCTTTATTGCTGATTTTTACTTTGTGCTCGACTCCTCTCATCCGTACGTACTCCAATGCTTTTTAGCTAATCATCTTGTGGTTGTTCAGCCTCTGTGGACCAAAGTTGAGAGGCTCTCCTACCTTGTTATTAACTCAGCATGCCATACTTATGTTATTTGAATAACATTTACGTATTATAGTAATACATGAAACTTCTACTGTTACTATCAGGCTTTGTTGCTTCAAGTATATATTATGTTACCATCGTCGTTTCTGCTGGCCAAAGTGCACCATTCAACACTGACTGGGTATACAAACTAGCTACACAGCTGCCTCTGTGAACTCTGACTCCTTGCGTAAGTGTTTATCGCCTCTCTGTAGCTGTTGATTCTCACTGACAGGATCTTATCAAGCTTCAAATAAAGGTTAGCAAAGCCATTCATTGCTCATATTTCGCACGTATACGCATAAAGGATGGGTGGCCACCACTGGTCAGTGGCAATTCTCCCCTTGGCAGATGAGGTCTCGCTAACATAACCATAAGTCCTACCTGTAAAAAGGCAGCCACCAGCCGATGTGTTAGTAAAACACACATCGTGCTATGTAAAACGCACGAGGCATACCACATGCCGGGACGGGAATGTGCGTCGTGTCATGGGCACGCAGTGCGCGAGAGCGGCGCTACTAAAAACACAAAAATCAAATCTAAAACTCCAATGGAAACGATTGGGGAAGAAAAGGAGTAAAATGATTTTGGTTTTAGAGATGCGGACTGTATCTTTCATGATTCTTATATAGATACTAAGTATAGTGACGGGAATTCTTACATACCTTGTCATGCGAAGTTGATTAGTGGGATCTAGGCCGTTTCAAACAGTGACGGCGATGGCCTCAGCCTTTGCAACTTGACGGAAACATGGAACCACAATGCGAAAAGAAGTTCATCATACCCGTAATCGTGTAGTAATGCTGAGTGATTTACACTGCTGAACGGAGGATACGCAGTTCGCTAGCTTGCTTCGGCTTTCCTAAGCGTCAATCGACTTCAAAGGACAAGGGAAAATGTTTGTTAGATTTGGGTACTAGAAAGTCGGGATGTGTGAGCTAAGCCCGCTCGGTGCAAGACGACCAAGTTTCTTTACCATCCTCAACGTTTCGACAGAATACTATATCCCTCATATTATGATTAATAACCTTGGCGTTACTACTCCAGCTCAGAAAGTCGGCCAATCGACCAATTTTTGTTACGGCTACTCAACGAGAGCTGGATTCTTTGGTCGAGTGATAGGAAATTCAACGGAGAGCGACGCTAGCAACTTCAAAAGGCAGCACGACTTGTCCCACAAGCAATTCGAATCCATAGGTGAAAGCTTTGGTCGCACAGAATTTGAAAGTGGGAGCTCAGTGTTCCAGGCAGTCCAAAGGGAAATAAAAGCATTGTGGCATCCTCGCCCCAGAGGACACGAAAATATATGCCAAATTATGTATACTGGCTAGCGTGGAGAGAGTATGTCATGATCTACAGCGAGATTAAACCTAGGAACTTCATTGTCTAACATCATGAGGTTCGACAACTTGTGGCAAAATCAATCTGCTTCGCTGGGTCTAGGGACCCTTGAGATGGTTTCAATTAGGAGTTCTGTCCTAGAATGGATACTCAACTATGGTCCTCCCCCTCTCCAGAGGCTTGCATTGATGGTCTGCTGACTATGTTGCCTTTTACTATAATCTCTTTATTTGATAATAACTTAAAGTAGTATTCAAACGGTGTGGTTTAAAATTAACGAAGTAAAATGATTAAGATTGGAAATAAATAACAAGTCAATGCCTGCAAAGCAGTCCTAAGGGCAAGCGAAGCTACATAGGGGAGTCAGCGTGAATAAGATCTAACTTACCTGCTCTAGGTAGCTCGAGGTAGCAGCTGTCGATCGCATTTATCGTCATCGCGGCAAATAAGATCTGACTAACCTGCTCGAAGCAGGCCGAGGCTACGGCTGTTGATTGTAGTCGCCTGGATCGCGGTCAGCGGGATCAAGAAGGGGACTTACCTACTCGAGGTTGAGGGCTGTTGATCGCATTCATGAGTGTCGCGGCGGATAGGATCAAAATTACCTCTTCGAGGCTGCTTGAGGCTACAGCTGTTGATTGCGTTCATAAGGGTGAAGGTAAATAAGATCACTGGAAAAGAAATAACAACATACCTACGCGTACATAGCCAGTAATGGCAACTACGAAGTCACGATGTCACTCAGACCAAAGCCGGTATTTCAAAATTGACCAATTGTCAGTCAGTATCGCGAATCATGTGATGCTTTAACGTCCCATTATAGAAATGAATCTAGAAGCTGCGCTCCGGCTATTGTCTTCACACATCATCAAGCTTCGCTTGATTAAGAAGTCAACACATAGTTATACTTCGAAATTGTAACACGCTCTAAATAACTTAACATTAATTACTCAAGTGGCGGAAATAAAATACAGCACACCGAAACCTCCAAGGCGTCTAGCTTTGAATTTCGACATAATATCAGAAGAATTAGCCTAGTAGTCATCATAATATGAAGCTAAACGCATTAATTTTACGATGCTTCTATTTAATATGACTATTAAAACTAGGTCTCTGGCTTGCACGAAAAGAGCTCTGGCGTGCCATGTTTTATCTCTGTCACTTGTTACTGTGCCGGCATCATAGGAAGGGAGCCATGAGCCTCGACGATGAGATCTTGTGAAGCTTCATTACGTAAACCTAGTATAAGTGGCAAGGTGAGAATTCCAAGGGTTTCGGTATACAGAGTTCCCCAAGCTCTTTCTACGTTCTACTAACTTTAATCCAGCAAAGATCATAGACTCTAGGCCAACAGTGTTCATCTAGTCAGGTGTTCCTGAAATGAGAACCCCTGATGCTTAATTATAAGGTTTTGCAGTCACAGATCAGCGAAAACTTAGCATCAAGCCGCATCAGCTCCTCGCCGACATGACTCATCAGCAGAGATATAAGAAAGCCCGGATGCTCCTATCGATCCTAGTTTTATTCTCGCACATCTTGCGACAGCGTCGGCCGATCTTCATATTTACCCAGCCAGCTGAAAGTCTACACACGAAAAATGAGTTGGAGCGGCTTACCGCCAGAGCTTCGACTAGAAGTATTCAAGATAATTCTTGAACCTGAGTCTAGTTCGCCTCTAGATGCGGCAATTCCAGACCATATGGCTAGGCCGCGTATTCTGTCCACCTGTGCCGTTGTGTGTCAAGAATGGCAAGTATATTTTGAAAAGGAAAATTTCAAACGACTGGTACTCCATCAAGACGACGTTTCTCAATTCAATGAAATCCTCGCTCGTCACCAGCGCATATCATTCGTACGGTGGATCTGGCTGCGCATTGAACTCCCAACATACGACTGCAGCAAATGCGGAATACCAGAGTCTACCGCTGAAGATGTTGCGAATAAATACATCTTCACCAACGCCATGTGGGATCTTCTGGGGACGCTATCTACCTGGCCTAGGAACCAAAAAGTTGAACAACAGCCGAGAGGTCTTACATTGGAACTCAGTGTTCATTCGCCGAGCGACACTGATCACTACTGTCAAGACTTATCTGTGAGGGCCAGCGATACGGCCTGGTCCCTGCATACACCGCCACCGAGGATTTATCAAGATAAATTTCATGGATGGGAGAATGGCCGCCTGTCTCGTTGGGTGAAGGATGGTGCCCTGCAACGCGTTTTTGGGCATCCTCGGGGGCTGCGTTTTGATCTTCGAGCCCGGTCTGCTCGGCGATGGAGAGGAGTTTTGCCAAAAGTCGGCGTTGTTCAGAGCTTCAAGATCCGACGGCAATTCTTTCGCCATTTTTCTGTGAGCAAAGCCCTAGTGCCAATTATTGAATCACTCAACCGCCTGGTAAGGTTTCAATACGAGCCATGGCGAGGTATAGAAACAGCCTCCCACAAAGGCAAGGATATTCGAGACGAAGAGCATCGGGAGCTCTTTGAAGCCCTCAAGTCCAAAAGGAGTCTTAGGCTAATCTCATTCTTCGAAGACCTTGACCATTTTTATCACAGACTGAACAAGCATGAGAGGGCGAACCCGACACTGGGACAGACCTTGGCAAGGTCGAGTCTTAATCTAAGGCATCTTCATGCTGCAATGGGCGTTGATGCGCGGGATTTTTTCTTTGCCTTTTTACCACAAACAATCAACCCCCCGCAAGATATGCTTTGGCGTAATCTACGGTCCCTCTCTCTCTATACTTCTCACTTGACTCCAGAGGGCCAAGATCGGCTACTTTGTGCTGCGGCGGTTGCAGCTAAGGCAATGCCCAACATTGTGCTATTCGAGTTATGGACTGCCTGGCCACAACGACCATGCGTATTCATCTATGGATTCAGGAAAGGGGGAGAACCACTCATCTCGCTAAATAGTACCTGGGGCGCTAGATTAAGCGATCAAGCAGCAGAATTATGGGAGGAAAAAGCACAACTGGATAACGAGAGAGATAAATTGTCTGTTAGGTACTGGCATTTTGGCCCTTGGGGGATCCCGGGCCATGTACCAGTCGTCGCTACTCTGATTTCGAGAAAGCAGTTGTTGGACAAAACTTCCCTGCAGCAGCTATTGAATCAAATACGACCTGGGTAGTTTGAGCAAATTTTATTCCTAGAACGGGTTGGATGTTTTTCTTCAGCAGCTTTATTCAGTTTAATACGAGAAACTCTACAAATAAACCAGTATTAGCCCACTATCGTCAAGTCCCTTTCCATGATTAACAACATACAGTCCCGAGTAAGACGACAATTAGGTCTTCATGTGGCGGTTATTGCTGAGATTTACAGCTTCTTGTTATATGGTATCGTATAAAGCAACGTATCTTTGGATGATTTCTTTTGTTTTATTCCTTTTCAGGTCAAGGCCTCATCAATACAGACAGGTCAAATTAAGACAGACATATATTGGAAGCAAGTAGATGAATAAGGGCAGAGGTCTGACAACTTGCAGGGGAATCTTGGCATGCTTGGAGGGTTAAAGGAAGAAGTTCAACCCACACCGTGAATTATAGTTACCCACATATGAGCATGGATACGAAAGGCTATTGTTTCGGCTTTGGTTATAATGCCGCCACAGGAGCCAAGGGGTCGACGGTCAGTGAAGGTGTTCCTGCGATATTTCTGATAGCCGGAATTTACCTTTATCAATGCGATCCTACGGTGGTTGAGACAAAGTCTCAAGCCATTTCCAGCGAAGATACAAAACAACTCCTGGAGGCAACCTACCTAGAAGTATCACCATCTGGAGGTTGTTGTTGATCAGACAAGTACGTTTGGTATAAACAGGAGTTAATGCCCCACAAAGGTTTATCAAAAGACGCGGCATATGATATCCGAATCATTGTTCTTGCATCTTGATACCATTCATGTTTTTTTCGTACAGCCGCTTCTCAATGAAAATAATTACTCGATATCTTCACCTTGTCAGACCCATGGTGTTTTGTAAGGGGCTGCGTTCTGTTGTATGGAACCCCCCCAAACCGATGAATAAGCTGTCTCGGTCTCTCCTCCCGAGAATAAGGATGCTCTAAATCGAGAACATAATGAAAAGGACCCAAGCAATGATCACCAAACTAAGCAGCATCGAAAGGCCCACAATAGTGAAAGGTTTCCCAGGCTTCTGACCAATATGCAACTCAGTCTTACCCTCTCTCTCCAAAACGAGACGCTTCATCTCACTTAGAGTTAGAATACCCCCAAGATATCTAGAATCAAGATTAGCTTAATATCATGGCGTTTTGGCGCTGGAGGAATAGAACGTACTTTCTATCAAGGAGACCATAGAAGAGACCTAGGCAGAACTCCAGTCCCTTGACAGCGACAAAAAAGGCGATCACGCGCTCATATGTGCCTCCAGGGGTGATGTCTTGCAGCTTGCCAGCAATCATATCGACAATGACGCTTGCGCAGTTATTGAAAGCCTTCCAGATACCGAAGACGAGGCCCAGCTCCGTCTGGTTCGGGACCATAAGGGGGATGGAGGCAATGAACGGCAAGGCATTCATGGCCGAGGCAAATGATGCAATGACCATCCCGCCAAGAGCGTTGACCTTGCTGAATCCGATGAGGCAATATACAAGGATCCAAATTGCGGAAGTCAAGCTGACGAAGAGCATCCTGTGCCCGAAGAAGTCGAAGTAGGCCCCGACCAAGGGTGCGCAGATAACAGGTATCACCTGCTGAACGGCGGAGGTGTAGCCGGCAATCTGCTCAGTAGAGCCTCGAGTCAGGCGAATGATGTCAGCGTTGAGGCCGTTGAAGCCACCGACGACTCCAGCCTGAAGAATCTGGGTGCACACGACGAGCCAAAAGAAACGTGGCACACGTGTCAACACCCTCCAATCGGGGATATAACTTGTCCAGCTGGCTCGGCTCGTAACGGAGGCAGTGTCGGTGATCACCTGGTTATTAGCTTGCTCTCTCAGGCGCTTTTTCTCAAGTCCCTTTGCTTTCTGGCCGGTTGGCATGTGAGTCCACTCTGGCCTTGATCGAGCCCACCAAAAGTAGAACATATTCTGTAGCAGGTTGGCGAAACAGACGATGGCTGGAATCCACAGTGACCAGCCCCAGAAACTGGACGCATCCCTCATTGGGATAGCAGTAGCCTTGGCGATGAGCACAATAAGTTTCCCTTGAAATTGAAAGTGAATATTAGAAAAGCTGCATTCATTGGTTCATTGTTCGAAGGTCTGCAGTGCTTACCGATAGACAAATCTAAACCGTAAACGAATCCAAGGCCTCTGTGTTGAAACCAATGGGCCAGAATCTTCACAAGAGATGTCAATTAGAGATCAAGGGACTAATCTCCTGGGAGGAAGACTTACCTTGGAAGTGCAAGTTTCAATGACTGTGCTTCCAAACCCCATAATAATTCGGCCTGCTAGAACAAGGCTGAAGGTATCTTGGTTGGATCCCGCCGCACTAACTATGGCTCCGATGAAGATGAAAATGGAGCATGTCATCGAGCCCCTAATGTAGTGGTATCGAATTAGCGCTATTCAAATATAGAAAGAAATTTACCATGGCAGCTGGTTTCTTAGGCTTTTCCTTATTCTTGGATTGTGTTGTGGACATACCATTCAACGCCATAATAATCAAGTCCGTATCCTCCAATGATTGGCAAGACGGTATTCACGAGCGAGGTTGCAGATGAAATTGCTCCGTACTGAGCGATGAGTGTTAGATTTTGATTTTGATACTCTGAGTGATAGTAAAGACATCGGTATGGTATGGTGCTTTAAAGGGTTTCATCTTACCTGGGCATTGTTAATGTCCAGTTCCTTTATCAACGTGCTCTTAAGTGGTCCGAGGATATTCTCCGCAAATGACGAGCCAAAGGAGAGCGCAACACCGCAGCAAAGGGCAACAGTTTTCCAAGTCCATGGGAAGTCCTCATGGGGCTCCTCAGTATCAGATGCGTCGTGGCTGTCAACCCTGGCTTGATTCTTCTCCTCAGATTCGTGAAAGTTGGACGTGACAACAACGCCCTCCTTAGCAGGCACAGGCCCAGAGGCAGTCATGTCTGAAGCCATGGTGAGATTTCTCAATGCTTCCTGGTTTGGGAAAAGGCAAAACAATGAAAAGGGATGGTGTGGTGAAGGGGAGGGAAAGTCTAGGAATGTACACCGCGATGCCAGACTTTATATCCAAACCTCATACCATCTAATCTTGAAATCTGATAAACGTACCGTGGGGCACAGTTTGTTCCATACACGCCACTGCTCCACAGCCGGCACCAGGATTTTCACGAACACATCCACTAAGCACGCCCAAACTGATCGTTCGCATGCGGTATTTTGTCAAGATCTTCATGGATAAGGTGGGTAGTGTGCCATTCAACATACCAGTGGAGCCCTGAACAAGCATCCCTGGATAGTTCGTAACACACCCCCTACTTTGCCCTAACTGCATCCACCTGCAAGGGTGCAACCATCCACCCTTACGGACGTTTCCTGGGCGCATGGGATCACATCAAGGGTCTGCTCAGCTCAGATCAAGTCACGCCGGCATCGGCGAGAAGTCTGCATGAGCAGTGACGGGGCCTAGAATAGAAGAAAAGTTGCATTTACTCATCATATTACAAAATCTCCAAACACACTCCACATGTCTATTAACTACTGAAATCTTCACAATAAATATCTATGGTGGAACCAAAGTGACTCTCGTAGTCGTCGACTGAATCCCTCAAATCGGAAGTTAGTGAGGCTGGCCCGCATGCTGCTACAAGAACACGATCTTGACTCCTCACTGCTCGCATTGCGTCATGGATCAGAACCGTCGTACACAGTTTACCGTATATAATACTTGCGTTGTTTGTTATGGCCTTGATAGTGCTCTCGGATCCCAAGACTTCCGGTCTATCATATTCTCGAGTCCCGTAGTCCGGAGCTACCATGTGTTGTGATATAGTGTGTAGTCCACTTTGGGTGTCGTTGGGTATGAATTTTGGCCCAGAATCATCGCAGAGAGTTGATTCTTCGCTCGTGATGTATATCGTGACTTTGATACTCGAGCCACATTCTGTGATTCGTTTCAGGTGTTTAACGAACCATCCCAAATGCTCTAACTCGTCGTCAGTTTTATTGAAAATTTATATTATCTGGAATACGAACATACCGGTAGACTTCACGGCCCATATAAAGTCAATAGACTGAACAAGAGTGCGTTTGGGGCAGTTGAAATAGTAATTCATCAACCCAAACGTAAAGGCGCCCCCGCTGCCTCCGGCAATCAGGACGAGCTTGTCATAGATATTTATGTCAGGCAACGAGCCATAGGGACCATCTATAGAGACCCAAGCTACACGACCGGGATTCCGCAGGGCTAAATCATTCACTCGTTGGGTGAACCCTTCGCGTCGTTTCATCAGCAACTCCAGGCCCTCATCATCATTGCTGACGATAGTGAATGGGTGGTTTTGGCAAATGCTGACTTGCGGAATCCATAAGAAGCAATGAGACCCGGGCCTCGCAAATTGCGATGAAGGCTTTCTTAGTAACAAACGTGTCGCACCGCCCGGTAATGGGTACATGACTACCTGGTTATTGATGAGATTGTATGTGAATCTGGATGCTCGAATAAGACGGTCGATCGCCCACAGAAAACCAATAAAAGACATCACAACGGGTAGTTTCTTCGCCCAATCTGGGCGGTGAAGGGCTGTCAGCACAAGAGCAAATACAAAGCCAGCAATGTGGCTTGCGTAGAAGACCTCGTAATGCCGATTCCTGAAGAATCCCATCAGTAAAATGAGCATACAGATCCCGGCACCGATCCCTGCGAGGTCCTCAACCTTCAGTAAGGACTGCAGTTTGCCGTTGCGGGCAAAATGAACAGTATAGAAGGCAGCATGAATGGCTACCAGGAAAACAGTAGTATAGCCAACGATGCGATGAAGACGATTTATATGCGTATGTGAGGTGCTTGCGAGAATTCCGAGGGGAGTATTCTTCATTCCGAGAAAAACACAGAGGGCCATATTTGCAGCGGCAAGCCTAAGGGTATATTAGATGTCATTGCTATTCATGACGACGGCGGAGAAACTAACCAGCCAAATCTAGAGGCAAAATGGTTGACTCTATAAAGAGCAAGAATAGTTGGTGATAGGACGATGTTGCCGGCAAGGTAGATACCAACCAGTACAACGAGACCCCAGGCTGGTTTATCAACCCATTGCAGATTTTTAGCACGTTTCCGTAAGAGCCTTGTAAAACCTTATTAGCCTAGTTCCCATGTTGAACAAGAAAAGACGAGCTCATTGTACCCAAAGATTGGGAGGCAGCGCCTGCGGAAAAGGTCCTGGGGTCCCTGAGACCGTGGTGATTCTGGCCAAGTTTTATGGAAGAGAACGTGTAGACGGCGAGCCATAACAACAAGGAGAATAAGCGTACATAAAAAAGCACAATACACTTTTAACGTTGTCTCATTCTTTAATTGCTTGGCCGTTGGCGGCTTGGTCAAGGTATCCATGATAATCGTGCCTGCGTTCATGATTGGTATGAATACCATTTGATGGCTGAGTTCAAGGACTACCGAGATATTTTTGAAGGCTTTGATTGATAAGATAATCTATGTGCCGAATCAAACGGTAAATGGCAGGGCCCCTTGGACCCTTCGAGCACATCGGGGCTTGCTTCTTCCTCCTGGCCTGACGGCTTGCTTAGTCGAACTGCATCCCTGTATAGCCTGTCAAATTGTTCCCACTGTGGAGTGTCCAGCTGCCATGCATATCTCAAGTCACTGCGGGTCTTGCTCGGTTTCCGAGCAGGCTGTATAAGGCTCAGCAATGAATGAGATGAAAGGTTAAAAGTTTACTTCTTTTTTTTGTGTATTAGTTGGGCGAGCAACTGCATCATCCTTTGCTACCCACACATGATAGTTTTACGCGGCTCAGATTCTGCCATGAGGCAAAGCTATAGAGTCTTTAGTGCTGGTCAACTCGCTCTTCTCTTCAACTAGTGGGCAACGCCAAGGACTGATCTAGGAATGAACGGTGGAGAACTTGGTAGAGCAGGGATGTTGGAGCTGGAACTCTTTCACTGTGAGCAAACACCCTCCGAACCGACCCCGGGTTGCAGGCATGTTGGCCCACCCGAGGTCTTCACTGTGATTCTGGTCCACCGCCGCCAATTAGGTGCACGAGACGCTTCCATCGCCTCGTTCATGACCGTGGGAGACGCGTGTCTGAACAGTCTAAACAGGGATAGAAATGGGGCAATCTCTCCGTAAGGTAAATTTTAAGCTGTATCCCACAGTAGCACACCGATGCGACTGGGAAATCTACCCGCTTAATTTTGTCAGCTGAATGTAGTCCAGGCGCTTCTCTCCTCCGCGCACCACATACAACTCGTATGTGAAGGGTAGTTCCGATGAGGGATTTCCATCACGCTTGGAGGTCACCAAGGGGCTGAATCTTTGCTCTTCACCCAATGAGGATTATCGATGGAGTTCTTAGTTAGATTACACCAAAGACATGTCTTCCCACCACAAACCTCTTGAACCACCCATTTCCCAATTTCCTTCCCTTCCTGAAATTATTGAACACTGCTTGTGAACTGTAGGCGGGAAGTCGTTCGTTCTTTTCAGAGCCGCCATGACTCCAAAACCGCGTTGCGAGCCCCGAGAAAACGAGCTCACTTCAGCTGAGAGTCCACTCCTTGACGCTGAAAGGCCAGCAGGGTACACGAGCCTTCCTTTACCTGAAGAACCTCAAGCCGTTTCATGGGCATCTATACCGAAGAAAGGCCAATTGGCTATCATCGTACTGGCTCGACTGGCAGAGCCCCTGAGCGAGCGTTCACTGACATCGTACCTCTTCTACCAGCTACGATGGCTCAGCCCGGGGCTTGAACCATCTGAAATTGCGAAACAAGCGGGATATCTAACTGCTGTGTTTGCTGCTGCCCAGTGTTTGACATCCATGTGGTGGGGACGAGCTGCAGATCACCCTCACCTGGGACGCAAACGAGTTCTGATAATTGGTCTTTCTGGGTCTGCTTTGTCTGCGCTTGGGATGGGCTTCTCGACATCGATCTACTTTGTGTTTTTGTTTCGATTCCTGGCTGGCGCTCTCAATGGAAATGTTGGCGTGCTTAGAACGATGATATCCGAGATTATTGATGACAAACGGCAAGTTGAGTTTTGTTTCAGCATTCGTCAACCAAATTCTAACATCTCTCATAGATACCAGTCTCGAGCCTTTCTTCTTCTACCAATGTGCTTTAATGTCGGTGTCATCATTGGGCCACTTCTCAGTGGGTTTCTTGCCGACCCCATTCACTCCCTCCCGAACGTATTCGGGCCCGGGTCAGCAATTGGTGGCACCGATGGCGTTTGGTGGATGGCAAAGTTCCCATACGCGCTACCGAACTTGCTTTTCTCGACCATCCTCAGTATGGCAGCTCTTGGAATTGTTCTCGGCCTTGATGAAACCCACCCACAGCGACGCCATTTGCCGGATTTTGGACGTAAGCTCGGGAGGCTCCTGACGGGAAGACTGCTAAAGCATCAAGAACCTGGATACGTGCTCATCTCAGACGATGATTATTCTGGGACAACCGTCTGCAATGACGATCATGAGGCAACAGGCGCCGATCGACCGAAGCTCGTTGACAAACCACGGCCCCCTTTTAAAGCTATATTCACAAAACAGGTGACTCTGGCATTGATGCTACTGTTTTTGCAATCAATCCATGTCTCCGCGTTCAATTCCATCTTGTTCAGTCTTCTCCCCACTCCGAAAGCAGCGAAAGACGGCTTTGAGCTACCATTCCGCTTCACCGGTGGCCTCGGACTCTCCACGCAGAAAATAGGATTTGCTAACACAACGATCGGACTTATTGGACTCCCGCTACAGCTGATTCTCTACCCAATCATCACGTCTCGAATTGGGGTCAAGAGATCGTATCGCATGTTTCTCCCGGCTAGCATTGGCGCATACGTCCTCCTCCCTTACCTGGTGCTGCTGCCCGAGGACACAAGAATCATCTGGACGTGTCTATCCGTCGTACTGGTCTTACAGGTTGTCTCTCGAACATTTGTCAACCCAGCTACGGTGATCCTAGTCAACAATTCTGCACCGAGTCCCAATCTGCTTGGCTCTGTGCACGGGTTCGCAACCAGCGTCTCAAGCGCTGCTCGCATTGTAGGTCCGACGGTCGGTGGCTCGATGCTGGGATGGGGTCTCTCGCACAATTTTGTTGCTTTGCCTCTCTGGATACTGACCATCCTGGCCGCCATGAACTGGATGCTCCTCGTGTATATCCAGGAGGTGCAAATGTAAATTGGACAGGGTCATGGTATGGACGAAATAGACGTGTGCTATGAAGAATTTAGATATCACCCGTAATCAACAGACACCTCGATGATTGGTGACGTCTGATGAATCAATACTACTCTTGAATGGCTAGTGCATATATCCTTGATTGAAGTTTGGGCTTCTGGTTTCCCGCACTTTGCTATGCTGTCTCGACACGTCCCTGGTTTATCTGTGCCCCTAATTTTGTCAACCAAGCTCTGCTTCACCTAGACCCCTGTACAAACTTTGCAGACTCTTAGCGCTATTAGTGCCATGGAAAACAGGCCATTCATCTTATCAATCAGATTAACAGGGATCTGGACTCCACCATCGCGCAGAGTTTGACCCCATGGAGAACTTATCGCCGAGTTTCTTGCGAGATATTTGGGACATCTCACCATCAACAAATTGCACGATTGAGAGCTTCATAGGGCTACTCACCCAGTCCTTTAGCCTATTCATGGATATCGGCTTCTCTTGAATTCCTTTGGTATGTAGGGCAGACTCGTTAGCCAATATCGATCAATACCCCTGCGCAGTCCAAGCTCATCCCCTTCAACACGGAACTAACGCGCTCAATAAGCAGAAGGCATCACCATTATCATGCTATATCATTTATAGTAGAAGGAAATATATTGGATGCTTTCAGATAAAGGGGAAACTCGTGGTTCCTCTGATCGGCTCCTCCGGCAGCACCTGTCTGGTTCCTGATGGGTACCGCCTTTTCTCGTTTTGAAGATTTCCAAAATGCAAGAATGCGTTTGCAGTACGGTTGGGAGGCTGTCTAATTATTTCGATGAGACTCGAACAGCGGAATTGGTATCAGCTCTCAACAAGCATCTGGAACAACTTCGGACGCTCCTGGCTCAGTCTAAATCTCTTTCCCGAGATGTTCAATATCAAATCATACCAAACAATCTACGAACATCCAAGGTTTTATCCATCCAATCAATTGACTTCTCGCCAATAAATCGAGTCCACGAAAGGTTTGCTGGAGACCCTGATTCATTCTGGGAACATTCTGAGGATCCCGCCCATGTTGAGCTACGACGACGGCTCATCTGTGTGATTCTTTTCCTCAGGTCAAAGCTGGAATCCACAGCGGCGGTGCCACCTCGGATCGCGAGACTTTTGCAAGGGCAAAAATCTTACACGGAGCTGAAAAATGCCGGGCGGAAATACATCACAATCGGGCGCAAGCTTGGAGGCATCGGATGCTTGTTTTGGCTTCCCCTTGATGTCCCTCCTTCGACGTCAGTGTACAAGGTCCCTTCTGTTTCAACAATAACTTACTTTAAGTAGCTACGAGAGGTATCTGAACTTGGATGATGATCAATCCTTCAATCATCTGAATTTCCTGGCTCCCCGGACTGACATTTACACCGAATTCGTGAGGCACCTTATCATAAGCCAGCTCATCGGTTAGTGAGTTCTGCCGGCATCGCTCTTACATGTCTAACTCGGCTACAGACCCACCTACTTTATGTTCTTGCCTAAATCTTTCCGTCTCATACAATGAGTTTCTTTCGGGCGAAAACCAGCTGTTGCTGTTTCTGTATGCATTAGGCGGCACTGATATTCCAGACCTACTTCTAAGCAGTGTGGAATTCCCACAGAGGCGATGGACTGCCGACGGGGAGATAGAAGAAATCACAGCCTCGGGGTTGAATGTTCCCCCTGAACTAGTGAATATTCTCTCGGACAGGGGGAGGTCCAATGATCTAATGGACAACCCAAACGTGACGCATCAGCTCTTGGATGATGGGACAGTCACATGGTCATTATGTACTGATATACAAGCTTCGTTTTCCCAATGCTTACTTCCTCAGACAATAACTCATCTGGGGGATATGGCACTCAAGCTCATATGCTTGGCTTGCCCCCCATGCTACGAAGGCAATACAAATTGGTATGAAACGCGACCCCAACGATAGAACGTCTAGCTAACTAGTTTTTCCGGGTCTCCATCGTTAAAGAAATCAATGTGGCAAGTGTTTGAAAAGATGATCGGAAGGTACACTGTATCTCCGTTACTAAGATCACAAGTCCTTGAGGCAATCCTCTTCTTCTGCGAGAGAGACTCCGTGATGATCCGTCGTGTTGCTGTCGAGCAGGCCAGGTCACTCTTGAAGAAATCAATGCCGTACTACCTTCATGCCTCGGTAGTGCTTTTTCAAAGCATTCTCTATCGCATTGACGGAGATCTTGCCAAAGCCGAGGCGCGGATACGAGACTTCATGTGGCGGGGTCCGTCGGTTGCTACGCGGCGTGACCACGCACTCCTGGGGCGTCTTCATATTTCTCTGATTGAGAACAAAATTAAGTGCTATGATAGCGATGTGCCTTCATTTATCTACAAATGGGAGCCGAAACAGCCGTTATCCACGTTGGAGATAGAGGTGACGTCCAGGCTTCAGACTGCCGCATCACGCTTCTTCCAATCCGTTGGTGACTTTGGTGCCGCAAGAATCTCGTTGGAGCAGTTTCTGTCCCTGAATACAACCAAGCCAATACGTTCTGGGACACGACATATCATAGCTGGAAGATTGGCAGACATGCATTGTGAAATGAAGGAATACTCCCAGGCAATGCATCTTGTTCAAGCGGAACTCAACAGCGTCGACGACAGCGAACGACAGCGCCGCTCATTTCGACGTTTGCTGCTAGCCTCAGCGGAAGCCAATATTGGACTGAACAGGCTGGATGTGGCGGAAGCATTGCTCGAGGAACTCTACAGCACCGTGCCGCCTAAGTTGGATGACCTCCACGACCAGCAGCTCCATATGCGGCACCTGCTAGCCGAAGCACGAGTGGCCCACATGCGGCCTGACACCGAAGAGGCCATATCACGATGGAAGTTTGCTCTACAGGAGGTTGAGCGGATGCACACGCTCAAGTCGAGGCGTGGATTCATAGCAGCCATCATATACCTGTCCATGGCTCACGCTCAGCTGAGTATCGGGGACAGAGACAGCGGTCGGCACTCCTGGGCCATGGGGGTAGAGATTCTAAGAAGCGAGATTTGCGAGTTCTGGATTCCCGTTGTGCCAACCATATGGCTGCCCTGGGTGGTGATGGAAATTCACGTGTTGCAAGGCTGGTCGTTCCGCATGGCACTGCCTGGCGGGAAACCGGATATTACATACCCGTGAATAGATTTGCACGAAGCCATGATATCTTGAATGAGCATCCGGGGTGAAACAATATGACATAACAAGCAATCACCCATCAATCCCAAATGAGGACAACGAAATTGACACATACGGAACAGTTAAAAGTAGTGGCATCAATTCTATGACAATAGCCCCTGACTGTGATATTGCGAAACCGTATGGATCTCGTGCTGAAAAATCCTTTTCCCCATACCAGAACAACCAAACTACCTTTTCATCGAACCCGTAACTTAGCAGGTGAGCTTTCCATTGTTGTTGATTATATACTGATGCGCACTTGCGACCTCTGGTGAATATAATTAGCCACATGCCTTTACACGAGATTTACAATGTGATGACTTACCAAGATTAATAGTGACCTCGGCACTCTGGCCAGTGCAGGTGCAACTGATCCAGTAGACCTCAGTGAGGTACCATGGGTCTGGGGCCGTGTAAAGAGAACAACCGCTGCAGCTTGCGCCAAAGTTGCCTGGACGAGTAGCCTAGAGAATGGTCTTGTTAGATTGTACACTCATTATCTGACAGCTACGTCGGGGAAGGACAATCCCCACCGTGAGCTGCGATCCGTCGTAGCCAAAGCAAGCGTTAAGGTCCAAGGATGTTGGAACGGCGGCTGAGTGGTCGGCGGGCGTGCACTTGGCTGATAACACGTTGGTAGCAGAGTCAAGAGCGATATCTACGCAGGACTTGCTGATTTGAGCAAAAGTGCTCCCGATCAAAGAGAGGATGACTGCTGTTCGAAAGGCCATTTTGAAGTTAGAATGCTGAAACAAGGTTATCAGATGAAACAGATGTGTGAGTGCTGTCTGCTTGGATATTGGTGTCTAGATCTACCGGAAGCTTTCATGTATTATATATAAAGTCGATCCTTGTCGCTTGCGGCAATACCGAGCTTTCATGACACTCTCATCGCAACCATCTTGCTCTGCCATGTCTAGGATAACCCTTGTTAGCTCACGGCACATGTTGCCTAGCGTTTGGAGACAGAAGATCCTATAGGATCAGTCAATCTCATCCCCCTTGCTCCCCATGGGCGGCACGCCAGCTTTTGCGGGTCATCCTTCCACCGGCATTATACCGTGGCCGGCGGCTGTTACAACTTACAACTTGGACAGGAAATAAGCCTAAATCAAGGATGTCATTGCACGGCAAAACCGGTTTTTTGAAACTAGATGATACTTGGTTCTATCCACTAATAGTAGCAGGCCATGAGTAAAATCATAGTAACACTTTGGATCTAGCAAGCCCTACAGTCTACAGAGTATACAGAGCTCGGCTACAATCTCGGAACGAGCATAAGGGCCAGATATTCATACCTCTCGCACCCCTGGAGGCCTCTTCCTCGGCTAAAGTCAATAACAAGCGCCCTTCTGGCGCATAAGTTGCCTCAAACATACATGACATACACAAGCGCAGGCCCCGGCAGTGGTCCGTGAGTTGCGGCGGACAGAAGTGGATATCTGCGGGCTCGTGGGACATCCGCCCGGAATATTAACCGACAACGGGCTCTTATAGCCATTCACAAATCGCCTTACAGAACACGGAGATTTGTGGGATATTGGGTCAGGGAAAACTCACGACGATGACAAATGCTGATCAATCAGGGCAGACTTCCCTTGCTCAATGTGCCGCACCGAAACAATGCACCGTAATCAGTTTAGCAGTGTAAGACAGGACCATCTGTAACAGAAGGTGCAAGGATGAAATGGGCCGAAGCACTACACCGCTTATCTCATATGGAACTTTGGTAATGGTTCCGAAGCTTTGCGGTCTTAGCCGTGTCGACAGACGACTGAGCGTGGATATCATAACATTCTACTCTCCGCCTTCTAGTCAATATCGATATTTTATTTTCGACTTCAGCTTTCTTTAACTATTTTACAAAATCAGTCAAGAGTTGCAATATGGAAGCTCTATTGCGTTTTATCAAGTTTTCTTGATATCTAGGGTTTTCGGTTTATCAAGTTCTAGGTACAGGATTTTTCCAGTTTTCACATCACTTATCTTGTGACAAATAACACTACACTTATAAGGCTGCAGCCCCTTCACCTCATCGAGAAACTCTTCCCTAATCCGGGTTAACTCGTAATGCTTACAGAGTGGCCAATAACGCAAGCCACGATCCCCCTTATTCGTTTATCTTTGGCTCAGAATTGCACGGCTCGTCTATGATATTCACATCCCATAAACAACGGACTGGTAGATTCTTCCTTCAATAGCCAAATCCATTCTTACTCTTGCACATAGCTATGAACCACTGTCGTGCCTAGACAGTTACTAAAATGCAGAACAAGACATGAGGGATAACAGATATCAAGTGTTAGCGCCTTCGATTTCTTTTCGTTCACCACGTCATTGGAATGAATCTAGGCCATACTGTCTGCCTCTCAGCAATGCTTTCCATTTGATCTCGTTCTTGCACTTCAGCTTTCGACCCAAGGCAGGATTATCGGTATCGGTGGTATTGGTCTTGTATCGCAGCCCCTTTAACAAAAATCATTGGCAGACCCAGAGATTGCGTATGATGGGCTGGCGTTGTTCTGAGAGGGTTTCCTTCTGTTCTGGAATAGACGCGATCTTCAAGCAGCAATCATCCGAGCAAACTGTCGCAGCCATGTGTTTTCCATTTGCTGCCCTCCACTCGCGCTATGAAATGGGGATAGATCTGGAACTGTGACTCGTTTGAAAAGAAGGCCAAGAGAGCATATCGTTAAATGATGCTAGCCGGCAGGTTTCAACTTCCATGTACAAGATTTCCAGCTGTGCGTTTTCAAGTACGAGCAACCATTTTTTTACTCTGAGGAGGTGGGTAGATTATTTTTTGGCCCTATAAGGATGGACAAATCGTCTCCCCAGTCGCGTTCCTATGTGCCGTGCGCAAAATGGCGTAGTTCTCGACTCCGGATGTGGCTCGTAGAACTTCATCTTGACATTCTTCGTCACTTGGTGTGCCTTTCCAGCCACACTGATCCTTCTTCTTGCCTATCTTCTTCGCCATCGACGCCTTGTCCGCAGGGTCGTCACAACTCCGCAGGATAGCGGTGTCATAAACCCCCCTCTTGGTATACCGGGGGCCGAGAATCCTCCATCTTGGTGGAAACTTGAACTGCACATGGACTAAGTACTGAGGAAGCATGCTATGCTCCATTCTGTGACATTCTCCTTCGCTCCATATGTGCGAAAGGTCCGTCGGCCGATATCTGAATCCAATTCTTTCCGGTGACTCCAGAATGGAGCATCTAGAACCTGATTTCCCGTCTTTCTTATTCCTGTTTTCTAGCCTCGATATGAAGTCAAAGAAGTGGTTTTGGCCTCTTTTTAACAGCACATCAAATTTGTAGCAAGATGATTTGAGGAACTGCGTGGGCTTTAGTCGTTCCATATCACGCGAAGCATCACCATGTGAAGATGCATGTTCAGCTGAAAATCCACGTGCTTCGAAGAGATGAAGGAGGGTTTACTGTCTTCATGTTCGCTTTGGTTAAGGATCAGATCCGCTTCTCTTCCTAGACTCGTGATCAGGTCTCCCCTCGATTTCGATAGAACATGATACCCTACATAATGCTCTTTCCTATGTTTCGAATAATATATATTGTCTCTTGCTTAAGCAACGCGCGTGCTTCTTGAATCAATGCTATCCAAACATGACCAGTTGTTAGTTAGCTTTCCTAGGAAGGCTTCAGACGTTCAGCACGTCTCGCGACATGGTTGCACTACTAGACACGTGTGGCAACCACTAGAAGATTGCATCACGATGGGGTATCGTAGCGATGGCCGTGGACGCAAAGCATGCATCTAGATATTCCCCCTACACATCCCTTCAAGTATTCGTAGTTTAAGGACTGTGGTTTGTGGTTTGATTGCGATATCCCGAGCTTTGCACCCTAAGTCAGTGAGCCTCGTGGCCACTCTTGAGCTCGAAAGTAGTCATTTGAATAGATCCCATACTCTCCATCAACAGACGTTGCTGGTGCAGTCCTCGTAGTCGAGTTGCTGGGATTGATATCCTTTCTAATATATGGGAGGTAGATTCTCCAATATATCTAACTCCATCATAGCTAAGCCTAACTCCAGAGTCTGTTCCTCTCGAAAGACGACGCAGGTCTTCAGGTGTCATATTACGATATTTCTTCAGCGTATCTCCTCGTGCATCAATGGTAGCCAGACGAGCACCTCCCCCGTATAGATCATGGGCATGGTTTTGAAACTCGAATGTCTGGATAACCACAGGTCTAAACTTTGGGAACCACTGAGGACGCACACCCAGCACCACAAATTTGTTGCGTGTCTTTATGTTGGGCACGGTCTCAAGGAATAAGAAGAGGTGACGAGCCGAAATGTCTTCCAACGTCGCTTCGCCTGCTTCAATTGTCAAGCTCTGTGATAATTGCCGCTGAACGAACACCGTCACTGAGTTCACACTTCGGCGAGTAGGCGGGCGGCAACTGGGCTGGGATGTGTGATGAGACTTGTAGTGGACACTAGAAGGCAACTCCGCCGCCTCGAAGATTGCTCCGTGTGTCCAGCTCGTCTACCTAGCTAAGACTCGAGTGTCATGTAATATTCTGGGTCGATTTCCTTGAGTTAATCCCGGCTTCGATACTTCATTGTTTGGTCCTGTATGCCACGTTTGAAACAAACTCAGAGCCTTCACAGCAGGTAAATGTTTTTCCTTGAATAATTGTGTCGCTAGGCACACTGGTAGCTGTCGTCTTAGGTGTCACTCAAATTTGACGTTCAGGCGGCAGGATGGAGGAAACCTCCCCGGCTTCCTCACAAGTTGTAAATTTAGACTCAGATGAAGCTTTTTTGATAATGGGCGCACCCGCTATGATCATTTTGGGCAAAACCCACTCCTAAGCCACGGCCGGATACTCATGAGATGTGGGTGAGACAAAACCATCAGGTTGAAGATTAAAGTTCTCGGCTATATCCTAGCAACCTAGTTGGAAGGAGTAGTTGCGATGATTAACTAACTA